ATGACAATAACAGCTGTGAGTGATGTGCAACCACCAGGATCTCATGTGCTCTATCTTGACTCTCAATCGTCAATACTGCTCTGTCTCTCTGATACACAACTCTTGAAATGTGCCCCAAGAACTCCACATTTGCACTTGCTAATATGACGTAGCCATGTTTTGGTATTACCATTGGTCCATTGATCGTGTTTTCGGCAATTGAGAAGATGTGTGATCCTGATCGAATTATGACAGGGATAAATGGGACTGTATATGGGTTTACAACTTCTTCAGTGGACATGGCTGTAACGGTGTAAGTGGGTTCTTTCAGATATTGCTGAACACGTGTATTTTTGAATAAAAATAATTATGTCTTTAGTATCATGTCTAAGTATTATCCTATTATATATTTTCTTTTATTGAATATCATTACTCGTATTGTGAGTCTTCTTCAAATACAAAGTTACAGAAATCTGTCCTGTCTATGTACCAAACCAATTTGGTGCAGGACATCAGGCTAAGCCCCGATAGCTGCCTGCATGTTCATGATACCTGCTCCACTTTATGATGACATGCTAAACCATGTAGCAGCAGCTGCGTGTACCTGTGCTGATGTGAATACAACATAACCTAACTGCTTTTAATTACAATCCTCTCCCCTCTACATAGTGGTGTCTATTTATTGCCTATTGTTTTACTGCTCGCCATCTCTCAATGCCGCTTCCTGCTTCCCCCACCTGATTGGCAAGGACAGAGGCCTCGAGGTGAGTTCTGAGGTATTCAATTGCTGTTATTGTTCACTGCTCGTGGCGGCAGCAGTTTCATTGGCTGAAGGTATATCAAACCTTGCTTGCATTGCCAGCACATTGACGACAATTACAGCAGGACTGACACTTGTCTATGAGTTTATTCGTGCATGCACAGGTTGCGAATGACACATATTTAACTATTCACCTTCTTACCATTCCTCCTCTCCATTCACAACTTCTCTCAAGGACTGAGTATCCTCTTCTGCTATCATCTTATTGAATGCCAGTTGCATCTACATTCCAACTTCCTCATCAGCATGACACATTGCAACTACCATATGCCTATCAACTTTTAGCTGCCTGGCCACTTTTGCATATATAATCTAGTTCTGTAAGTGTAATTATTGTATAGGCTCAGTCTATGGGGCTAATGTGTTCAATTTGAATCTCGCACAGTCTCACTATGTGCTCAAAGAATTCCCATAGTAAGTGGAGGATCCTGGATTCAGTGTTGCCATTGCTAATATTTTCTCTTCTATCTAGCATTAACTGTTATGGAATGCAATCCTCAAACTACTACCACACACATAATCTCTCATCCACCTTCACCTCTCACTTGCAAGCACACCAGAATTGATGTGCAATCTGCCAAGATTAATTTTCCATCTACAGGTTTCAATGATGTCAATCTAGCATTGGCACCCTCCTTCATGGCAGCCTCACCACCATCCAGCTGCTTCGAGATGAAGCACAATACTTCAGGTTTAGAGAGTCAGACTCCCATGGCTATTCTCGATGAAGCTGATATGGCAAACCTTGAAGTTGATGCCTCATTGGCTGAGCTCGAGGTAACTTCTCATACCATCTGAATGGCCCTTGCGGCTAAGGAACAGAGTGACAAGAGCACAGCGAACTCCTATGCTCATCATGTCAATAACTATCTCAAGTGATGGGTGTCATACCAGGCTGGAGAGTGTCAGTGGAATCCAAACCACGTACCTCTTCCTGCAGAGCCCATCACTGCTGCAAAGGTGGCGATGTTCCTCAACTATGAGACCATACGGCACTTGACGAGCAATCCGACGACCATATCTTCATTCCTTAAGAATGCTCCGAATAGTGTGCCCTCACTGATCTTTAGGTCTACCTGATTTCCAATCTCTGCAAATGTCACCCTCTGCTCTTTCACTGCCCTCCTCATCATCAGAGCCTTCATGCAATCTGTGACTTTGTGTGAATGACCAGAATGGGGGCAATTGTGTGTGGTGCCAGTTTTGATGTACTTATGCCAGATGTCTGATGCTGTCTGGCATGGGATGCCTGTAAGCCATGCTGCTTCAGTGATGCTCATGCCAGCTTGATGACTCCAACTAGCCAGTTCTTCTTAGGAGAATCATATTGAGAGCGAGAAGATTTAGTAATGAGCATAACAAGCATATGTGTTATAGGTGAATGCTGGAGTACAGACTAAACAAAACTACATTCGTATGCAATGCAACATGCTGAGCATCTAAATGCCAGTTACTTATTATGGATGTGAGTATTGGCACCTTGGCACTTCATTTCTTTGCCCATTTCCACATTCTGCAGACACTGGTGCCCAACTTTGTAGCAGATCTCAGTGATCGCAGCTTTGGCGAGTATGGCCGATGTGACTGGTATCAGTTCTTCATCTTCTATGCATCTTCAGTCAGCAATGAAATGTCATATGAAAGTAGGTTTTCGTGCACAAAATAGCCTCTTTTCTTCTCCTGATGACAACTTCTTTTCAGATCATCACAAGCACTGTCCTGTACCAAATTGGTTTGGTACATAGACAGGACAGATTTCTGTAACTTTGTATTTGAAGAAGACTCACAATACGAGTAATGATATTCAATAAAAGAAAATATATAATAGGATAATACTTAGATATGATACTAAAGACATAATTATTTTTATTCAAAAATACACGTGTTCAGCAATATCTGAAAGAACCCACTTACACCGTTACAGCCATGTCCACTGAAGAAGTTGTAAACCCATATACAGTCCCATTTATCCCTGTCATAATTCGATCAGGATCACACATCTTCTCAATTGCCGAAAACACGATCGATGGACCAATGGTAATACCAAAACATGGCTACGTCATATTAGCAAGTGCAAATGTGGAGTTCTTGGGGCACATTTCAAGAGTTGTGTATCAGAGAGACAGAGCAGTATTGACGATTGAGAGTCAAGATAGAGCACATGAGATCCTGGTGGTTGCACATCACTCACAGCTGTTATTGTCATTTTGGAGAGTACTGTGATGAATATTGTTGATCTTTATGGGATGGATCGATCACTCAAGACCCGAAGCCTTCATTACAGGCAAGCTATCATCATCCTATACTACTCCTCAGTTCTTATGACAGACTCCGTGACTAGAACGTACAATTGAGCCTACATCCCAGCTCATTCAAGTCCTTATGCGCGATTGCTTCATATATGAGCATCCATATTCAGAACATAGCTTTGTTGGTCAATTCTATAAAAGCAGATAGTGGGAATAAATGTGTATTTGGATTGAATCTGAGTCTAATAGTGGGAATAAATGTGTATTTGGATTGAATCTGAGTCTACTGTCTGGATGAATATTTGAGATGTTTCACCAAGTAAAGAAGCACAAATAAGTAGTCTTCTAAGAAATAAGGCCCATTTATGCAATATGCAAGAAATAAAGATGAAATCATATATAGTCAGAAGAGAAAGAAGGCTATGCAGAATTATAGAATAGTTTGGAACCTCATAGATTAGTTTAGAACCTTGTAGAATGCTTATAAAGCTTGTAGAACATTTTGGAAGCTATTTGAAAGGACTAGAATAGAGTAGAATGTGATAGAATGATCTGGAAGGTTGTTGAACCTTCTGGAGGCTTATAGCACTTTGAAGAAGGTATCAGAAGATGCTAGAATGTTCTCAGATTTTCTACTTGCTTATTAATCTCTCTGTAAATTTGATAGAAATTTGTATTATAATTTAGTATATAAGCTGTTCACTAGAGGGCAGAAGGGGAATAGACATCTCTTTCTGAGACCACCACAGTCTTAGTATACAGTCTCACCCCAGTAATACAGTTCAGAGTTTATATCTTATACTTATACCTGAAAGTCAAGCAGGACTTTCACTTGTGTGCATCAACAAGGTCAATAGTGATCTTACCAGCAGCTTGGTAGACTGCAAGTCAAGCAGGACTTTCACTCTACAACTTTTTACAAGTCTATGACTCTTTGAAGAAAGTATCTTCCAATATCAGAGAGTCATTATCAGCATTCACGTTGTCATTGGTTGCATAGTCAGTCAGCATCCACTCAGAAGTTACAGAAGCCATCAGAGCATTCACAGATACCCACAGACATAGAGTCACCAGAGTCTATTAGAGAGAGTTTAGCACAGAGTTCTTTAAGTAGAAGACATCATTTTCAGTTTAAGTTTAAGTTTGGACATTTGAGTAGCAAGGCAAAGTCTTCTGAATATTCAGTGGAATTTACTATCGATTTGAACAACTGAGCCTCCAGTCTGACTAACGTTTATCCACTGTGCCCAGTATAATTTCGGGTTAGAAAGAGTTACTAATATTCCCTTACTAATAGAACTAGATACCACCCTTCACTTTTGATTTTGATTTTATTTCTTTACTTGCTACAAATATAGAATTATCATAACTTAGTTTTTGCTAAGTCTCAACTTTTTTATACCTTTTCAACTCTTTCTCATCCGTACCAAGTCAGCGCATCAACTGCATGCACTTGCAAAATGATATCTCAATCATGAAGGTCACTCATGCAGGATGGGCATATGCAGCATAAACCAGTTGAAGCCATGGTGCCTCTGCGAGTGACACAAAGGCCTTGAGAGGGTGGAGTGAGAGTGGCTCATTCTGTTCATGCTATGACCGCCAGCTGCCATTGAAAGCACTTATCAGCACAGCAATATTTGATGGTCAATGACCGGCCAGCTACTTCATTGCTCGTGACAAGCTTGGTGAGCATTTGAAGTATGTGCAATGTGATGCGACAGACTTCTGACCATTTTCTTTCTTTATAGAGCCTCCACTCTACCTCAAAACAGAGCTTTTCCCTTGGGTTGAACATGAAATCCAATCATTACAGGCTTGTGAGTGGGAAAATCCACTGTCAAAGAATATTGCACTGTTGCAGTTCTTGCAGGTGCTCATCTGATTCTGACATGTCCTGGTGTAAGACATGGCAGCTATATATGCAAATGCACTGACCATATTTCTCTTTCACTTCCCTCCGTTCAATGGCGAGGCCTTTCATTCATTTGCTGCAGGTGCCCAAGAGCAGATTCAAGCAGCAGAGATGAAGACCCGCCATATATTGAAGCACCTTTTCAACAACTTCACCTGCACAATTCATGGAATTGTCTCAACTGTCAACCTAGCTTTGAGTGAAGATAGAAGAACCAGTGTCCAGCAATACCAGGAGTCTTATCGCTGATCTGCAGAAAAGCATACAGATGCTTCAGGAGGCTCACAGCTCATCCCACATGAGAGCATGTCATTGGCAACAGATCTCCGGTATGTATTCTTCTAAGTTTGCATCCAGTTTCATGGCTCATATTCAATTCCACCTAGCTCCAACTTCAGCTGCAGCTGCAACTCCTACGGTTGCTTCTCCACCACCTTGCACTGTTTCAGTTCTGATCTCATCTGTTCGGGAAATACAAAGCCTTACCGTGCCGCCCCCAGCTACTTGTCCAGATGTTCACAATATTGAACCAGTGCAACCACCCTCTGCCACATCGGTCCAATCTCTGTCTTCAGGATTTCCGGCAGGCACATTCATATACCCTACATACTCCAATGTCAGTATCACAATTGTGAATTCACCGCAAGCATTTCATGAAGGCCGGCCAGCTCCTGAAGCTCAAATGTCATCCCAGGTGACCACAGCCACTCCATCGAGTGAGCGGCCAACATCCTCAAACAATCCCTCAACCTCAACAGTGACCTGAACACCCACACCTCCATCTTCAGCCCAGCACCGTTTGAATGGAGATGAATTTGGCAGCAATGACATTGGCACTATCAAGTGGCGTGCATTGGCAAGTCACTTTGGTGACGATCACCTGAGGCGTCATTCAGGGTGGTCCTTCAATGATGGTGAATGGCTTTCGATTTACCACTTCCAGTCACTGACCTGTATCATAGACATTTGGGTTGAATATGCTGATGGCTTAGGTGGTCACCTTCCTGTCCGGTTTATGAATGAAGTATGAGGTGCGAAGTGGAAGAGGAACATCCAGACGATCAAGATGACAGCAAGCTGCCAGATGCGTGTTATCGAGCTTATTCTTGCGCTTGAAAAGAAACCTCGATGGAACCTTTCACTTGTCCTTCAGTTTCTGCGTGAGAAGTACAAGCTGCAGTACACTGCTCGCAAATTTAGTGGGAACTGTGAAGGAAAGAAAGGTGTTACCTTTGTTACTCAAGTCTTGGCTGCCGCAGATAGCTATCCATCATAGTGCATACTTTAGTTCTATACATTTCGCAGAGCTACTTGTATCCAACAGTTTTCAAGTAGCAGACAAAATGTGAAAACACTATGTGAGGCACTATGCAAGAAGAACAAAATAATAAGGATGTGCGAGTCATAGGTGAGGAAATACTTGATCAAAGACCGACAACGACAATGATCTACTGAGCACCTCTACTGGAGTGCGACACATGACTACGACGACTTGAACTTAGTGACGGTGTGTCCCTTTTCATCCTCGCAGTGATCCAGTAGGATGCAAGATGATCTCGCACTTGCCCTGTCTTCTCAGCAAAGATGCAGAACGAGATGAGCCCATATGATCATCCGCCATCAACGGAGGTGAGCGGGTATTTCAGCAGCGGAACGGGCATACCAGGACCAACTGGAGCATGTCCAACCAAGCCTGCACCTATCGGTTGAGGGTGAGGTGGAAGCATGGTCAGAATAGCGGGACTCGAGTTGTCGACTTGACGAGACTCTGGAGAATGCAACGTAGGTTGCTGGCGGAAAGGAATAGGTGAAGGTCGTCGAGAAGAGGGTCAGTGTGGATCGACCACCCAGTGGTGAAGTGTTACGACAGTTCACACTACCAACCTTCGCACGCTTCATCTCGGTATGGTCATCAGGACCTGGACTGAGAGGACGCATCATGTTGATGGGAGGCAAATTCCTGACCACTGCAATTGGGTACCTCAACACTATATGGGGGGAACCTTGAGGCAGTCGGTTCGTGGACGGCGAATGGACGGAGCTGTTCATGTTAGCACCAGGTGGAGGAGGAGGGTATCCACGAGGATCCAAAGGATGCTACAAGTGGAGATGCATGAGAATCTCCACAACCCCCTCGTAGTTTTTGTCCAGCTCCCTTGAAGGCGGCGCATGTATCGAGTTTGTAGGTGAAGGCTGTGTTAACTGAGTCAATGATGCAGTGGAGACTTATCGTTGCTTGACTTGAACGGCAGTCCTGCTGAAGGTGAACGGCACCCGCAGCGTATGCGGGTTGTCATCTCATGGGAGTTCCCTCCTTTGCAGCAGTCCTGCATGGTGCCTGCTTCTTCCTTTCCTTCTTCTGAGGCTCAGTTCCGGAATTGGAGTCGGCATCCTTGTCCTTGGCAGCCGCACCTCTTCGTCGACGAGTAGGTGGGGGTTCTTGAACAACAGGCTGGGGTGGGACTCGGGGGCTCTCTGATGCACAACTGCTCCCAGTGAACATGGGGGTTGGGGTGGGAGGGATCTGCGTGCACATGCGGTGAGCCTCTGGCGATGAGACATAGCATCTGTCGATCATTGAATCATTCGCGTACTCGCATGGGTGAGCAGTTTCCCAAGTGTCGTACCTAGGATTGTAGCGTCTACCAGTAGACTCAACGTCTGGATACGGAAGGTCAGTGTGTTGGAGGTGAGCGAAGAGGCATTGCCGGTGGACCACCAGGACCAGGACACTGGTGACTGTAGCTAGGATGTGAACCCGAAAAGATCTATCCACCGAGCTATCACATCCTCTTGGACCATGCGGTCATTAATGAGGATACGGCGGCGAGTGCGACCTTGGTGCGTAATATGGCTGTTGTTGCGGAGGATGGTGGTCGAGGTGTACAGGAGCGAGCGTGTGTTCGTTTTGAGACAGCGCATAGTTGTCGTCGAGGTGAACTGGTGGCGGTGGTCCCACCTCTGAATAGGCGTGGTGATGAACACCCGAACACCCATTGAGTACGGCGATGGGAGCGGGCGTATGCGGCACTCAATCCTCGAGAGTCTGCCCCATCCTGAAGGTTGGATGCAGACAGGAATGAGGGAGTGGAGCAATAACGAGGGCTGCTAGTAATGCAGCCCTGCGTTACTCCTCACCACCCGTTCGCAGGCATCCTCTCGCACGGACAACTTGTGAAGGTCGAATAGATAAATGAGTGATTAGTACTGCAATGCGAAGGTGAACAGCAGCAGAGAGATCCACTCACTTACATTGTGCCTCTCTCTCTGCTCCTAAATGTGACCGATCGGCGTGCGAGAAACACAGATTCGAAGCGATCTTGAGGGTATCCGGTTGAAGCACTAGAAGGAGAGGGAAGAGAGAGGGGGGACGCAAGCTCGAGCATGCAAGCAGGAAAGGTGGCATCCACCCACCGATTGGGAGCGATCTTGAGGGATGTCTATGCGGTCGAAGCACGAGGGAAGAGGGAGGGGCGTTGAATGTTGACGATGGGAGGGACGCAAGCTCGAGCTCGAGCAGTACTGGGAAATGGTGTGGCGTCCATGCCCGATTGGTAACCAACCAAGGGCGTCGGTAGCGGTAGTGGCAGTCGGTCGGTCGATCAGCATCGATCAGTATACGAGGGCTCGGCGTTGGTCAGCGGACGAGAGAGCGCAGAGAGAGGGGGGGCAGGCCAAGGTCAACAGTGCACCGTACATGATCTCGATCGAGTCAACGCGCGGCGGGAGTACACGGAAATTACCGGATTGGAACAGCTTACGTAAGGGTAAACGTTCACTTGGCCGGTGATCACCACGCCTGCGGTACATTCTACTATCTTGATTTGATTACCCTCACTGTGGATGGTGCTCCAGTTACTTGACGGAACATCTGTATTCCTCCGCCTGTTTTGGTATTATTGAACAAACAAACCATCAGTCAGCCACCATGGTGTCTGTAATGTGAATCATCGCTGATCTGAACCCGCATGTAGGTCCGGAAGCCTCTTCAGTCTGGTACCCTGTAACATCTGCTCAAGGTATCTTACTTGCAACCCATCCAGTCGGTGGGACATTGTGACTAGCGGATCTTCAGACTCTCGCTGGCTCACCATTATTCGGTGGTAAGAGCATGGGTCGAGCAACAGAAACATCACGAAGGATGGGCATTAGAAGATTGATAACATAACCACTACGCTGCTCTACAGATATAAAAGATAAGGCTCAACCTATGTATAGTCAGTCCATTGACGGTCCAAAAGAATACAGCCCCAAAGAAACGACATCTCATAGTTAAGAAGTCTGAACTCTGATGAGAATAAGACTAGTTAGCTTATAGTCTACCGTATAGGTAGGAGAGAACGTACTGTATGTACCATCTCTGGTCATCCGCAACGCATTTACCGCCATGAGCGTTCTGTTGAGCCTGACAATTGAAAGCAAGAGAATCGACATGTCCGGCCTACGACAAGGATAGAAACGACGATTAGTCAATCACCATTAGAATAACTTGAAACTAAAAATGCAACATACCCAGTCACTGAGGCAGTATTGTTCATCAACGCCAGCCTGGTTGGCAAAATAGGTCGTGCACGAGCGGTACGCCATTTTGATTAGCCCTTCACCGGCTGGGATAGTGAAGACGTTGTCTAAGAATGGAGTGTGAGATAAGCGCGAACATGAACTGCAGGTGGTGTTACTTGCCGTTTTTTCGATTCTTGTTTAACAAGTTAGCAATGACCTTACAGTCAAAAGGATTAGGTCCTCCTCCAGCAGGTTTGAAGCAGCGTGTGTTACCTTGGAATAAATGGAAGGCTTAGCATGACGTCGCAGAGGCAGTAGAAAGAGGCTTACAGTGGGTGCCACAGACGTTCACAGATCTACCCCTCTTGTCTACATCAGAGCGCGCGGTGAGATCGTTAGCACAGCGGATGTTCTCGACCTTCACGTCCTTGTCTTCGCCGATGTATGACTGAGAGACGACGGTGGGGGACTCGCAGAACGAGGGGGATTCGGAATTAACAGCGGTGGATAGCACTGCCGCAGGCAAGAGGGCAAGCAAGAACAAGAATCGCATCATTTCAAATGATGATGGGTATGAAGGGAATTAGAAAATGTGGTATGTGGGAGTAGTGAATGAAGGTGGACAGGGTCGACCAAGCGGCATTGGGACGACTTTTATACCTTCTCGGCGGACCCGTCGAGGCTGACATTCACCACAACCCGGACAGTCAGCCTCCAAAACAGAGACAAAGCTTGGACACTTGAACCGGCACGCAGACACAGATCAACACTTAATCCGTATCGTTATTGAGAGCCAAGGCCCATGTCCAGACATCCTGTTGAACTCGGATAACACTCCAACAACATAATTCACGTACACTCGCGCAGAGCAGCAACCAAAGGGTTCGAACTTAGGCGATCCTGCCATATGTGCTTTTCTAGGTGTCGTTGCGAGCATAATCTGGTATGAAATGAGCGACATCAGTTACAGACTGCAACTGACAGTGGAGAAAAGACATCGAGGATGATCATGAATGCAGGTGCCTAGGTTATTGACTATGCGACCGTTTAAGTGAATTTTCGTGCGTTGGCCGGACGAGACGTTCCTGACTGTGAAATAGCTTTCAGAAGAGAGATAGTCTAGAATTGACGCAGAGAAAATGCCTGCATGGCCGTCGTGATACGTGATGGTAGTGGGAAACAGCATACGTGCATCTCAGCGACAATACTCAACGCCGGCAAGATGAAAGAAAGTATAAGTTCTACTTATATCAAGATATAATGTCGTCTTATCTAAGCCAACGCTGCGAATCCAACCCTCGAATTCCCAATGTCGAAGGCGGAATAGACTCCGCGCAAAAAGACATCGCCAACGATCCACAACCCCGGATCGATACCATTCCCGTCATGTCCAACCAAACCACCCAAACACCTCTTAGGATGAGCATGAATGTTGTCACCACCAATATTCTCGCTTTCGTCATTATCATCACTGTTGCCTCGCGTTTCAGTCGCATCGGAAGCTGAAGAGTTTCCAGTATTCGTGTCGGATTGAGAAGCATCTTCTCCGATATTCATTATACTCTTCTTTATCTTAAACTCAGTCCCATTGAATATCAGTCCGATGTCGGGTGTAGCATCACATGGGAAACTGTAGAACCCAGGACCAGCATAATGTTCGGCGGATTGAGCTCCAGGAACGAGTGAATATATACGCTCGACGGTCTTTGAATCACCGACAAGCAGAGTAGTGCCTGTGTCGACGATTGCGGCAATCTTCTTTGATGAAGTAAGAGTCGATGCGCCGGAAGGCGCGGAATGATGCGGAAGGTTGGAGGGTATGGAAGCCTCGGAAACGTTGGCATTGGAGGTGGAGTTGTCCGTGACAAGAGTACCATCGAGAGTCACACCATCCATGTGTACTTGCCAATAAGCCTAAATCGCAAAACGTGGTCAGCACGAATTGAACAACTGATTAATGTCGATTGAACTGACCTCTTCAGTAAGAGACAACCAAGTAAAATCGCCCTTATATAGCGCCTTGTTCACACCGCCAAGATACAGCTCTGAATCATCATGAGCAAGTTTGAACGCAAACATTGCTTCATCGGACTGATTTTGAGTGATGAGGGAAGAGAACACGGGTTCGGCATGGTAGTCAGATATGCTTTTGAATGCCATACCCATCAGACCGTCCGGCTCAAATCGATCATTGGCGAATCCTGAGGAGTACGAGTCTGCAGCACCAAGCGTCTGATTATGTGCCTAGAGTACGATGTCAGCAATGATAAAGGAGAGACAGAATGAAGGATTGAAGATCACCTTCATCCCGGCAATCTCGATGGTATCTTCATACTGGATCCCCGTAACCTGACTTCCATCCCCGTAATGAAGATTGAACGTCTTTGAACTACTCTTCGAAGATGAACTTTTGGTATGATCGTATGCTTTGTGACCAGCACAATTGACTGAACAGTGGAGTGTGGGAAGAAACAAATCACTGCTTCCGGTATCGAAATCGACCCTGAAGGATTGAGGGGGAGTACCAACTTTGATGGTACCGTACCAAAGAGCATTCCCGGCATCCATTAATGCGTTCGCACCAGCTGAACGCTTTTCGGCAGAGAGATGTTTGTCATTCTTTGTATTCATATGACGATGCGATGCTACAGCATGCTCGAAAGCATGACGTTGGCCGGTGTTACGAGCATACGCTGTAAGGCCTTTTTTAATTTTACTGTGAAGAGGAATTCAGTCACAGCAACGTGGATGAAAAATAGCTAGGGACGTACGAAGTAACATGAGACAAGTGGTTTTGAAGGGCAACGGTGTCAACACCGTTAGGCCCAGAGAACGTCTGACGCTTGTTCAAAGCAATCTTCCTACCTCGGGACTTCTGATCAACAGGAGTAGCCGAGGTAGTAGAAAGAAGACAGAATGTGAAAGACACGAAAGCAACAGCCAACTTCATCCTGGAAGTTGTGAACGAACAAAAGGGCAGCTTGAGTTGATGAAAGTCAAAACTGAAGTAAGATGCGTGTCCAGCTCGCTAGATGGCGCAGTCTTATGCATTTCTGAGAGACGGGACGGACATGCTCATCCTTCTGGTCGTGTCTCGGATCGTCGACCTACCATCCGAAACTCTGCACCCGACCCGCTACCGAGCTACCGAGTCGCTCGGAACACCTCACAGCGGCCTCGGCATAGTAAGGATAGCCCAAGTATTGCTGATACAAATGTAATATCAGAGAAGAATGAATCAAACACTCATTAATAGATGGGGTGTAAGCGTTTTCAATCGGGGCCTAAGGTGAGGTTGCCAAGTTGTTCGGGTCTGTTTGGACCAACTGCAAGTATTTGCCCGTTTTGGACGCGGGAGTCCGTATATGGTATTTTTGTATTCCGTTCCGCGTTGGGGTCTAACAAAGCTGTCCTGTTGGTAGAGCAGTCTACAAATGGCCATCCGCACATCTTGACAGCCCTCAAGGCTCGAAAAACGTGTGTAAAGCAGAACAAGCTAGTCGCTTACTCTATGACAAAAACTGAACGGAGGCTCAATTTGTAGTAAGGGAAGACCTCTCCAATTTCAATAGATAATCAGAAAAGTATTCCAAATTACATCAGTTCCATGCAATTGACACGGCTCCATTGAGATCCACAGAGAGATCACCAATGCTGAGCTTTTGTTTCGTATCGAGATACTGCCAACTTTTTACCACCTTACCATCCACGCTAACCCGCGTCGGCTTCTCCGTCCCAAGTATGGTGATGGTATCCAGTTTCTGGGCTATCTTGAACGAGCCATGGGTGTCGATGCTGAGCGCTCCTTTACGTGCTTTGAAAGTCAAAGTGGCATTTGGCGTGGGAGGGACGGTCTCGCCGTCATCAACGTAAGCAGTACCAAATGCGTATCCATCTGCAGCTTGCGAAACAAGAAGGGAGAAAGGACCTTGTCGGGTTTCTTCGATAGTGTAGGCGGGTTTAGAATGAAGTAGGATAGCAGATCCGTCCCTCACGTGAACGTTGATGTGTCCGAGAGGTGCAGGAAGAGTTGTGTTCGTTCCAATCGACGCGTTGACGACGTCGTGTGTATACCAGTCACGCCAGGTCACTAGGCCACGTCCAGGGAATATTCCTGAAAGGTAGCTATGGTGAGCGAAATAATTACCGGGATGTCATTGACCACTTGCCATCGACTGTGGAAACGTTCGGAGTCAACACTGGTGTTACAAGGACGTCTCGGCCAATCAAGTATTGTCTATCAACAGCGAAGAGCTCGGGCTCGTCTGGGAACTCAAAGAACAGAGCCCTGACAGGTGGAGCTCCAAATAGGGAGGAGTTGGCGAACAAGGTATACTAAGGTATAATCAGCAACGATGACTGAGTGTATAGAAATAACTACTCACCCAGTACGGCAGAAGAGCATACCTTACTGCGATGGCAGTACGAGTAGCATTTGCAACGCTATCCCAACGATATGGTTCCTGCGAAAGAGCTCCTCTCTGGTTGTGGTTTCGATAGAAGGGCACGAAAGCCGACAGCTGCATCCAACGATTACACAACTCTTCATCGGTATTGCCTTGGAACCCGCACGTATCAGCACCAACCATCGGAATCTGGAAGAGTTGGAACTGAAGAACGCCCTGGATACTAAAGTACATGTACTGCCACTTGCTGAAATTATCGCCAAGCCAATGTCCTGACCATTTCCCGGTACTGGGGAAAGTGGAACGACTGATGAGGAAAGGACGTTTCTTGGGTTGAATCTTGAGAAGTGCGAGGTGTGTGGCTTTTTCTTCCATGAGACCCCACATATTGTGAACGTCGAGTTCGACGAAGTCACCTGCATGGGTGGCATTGGTGGCTATAGTATGGACAGAAAGGGGACCGAAACCTTGGAGATTCTCGTGAGGAAATACATCACTCTTGAGAGGCCGTGACCTTACCATTGTGGATCGTGTAAGGAGGCACGTTGAGATTGATACCGGTCTGTCTTCCAGCGCCGATGCCGCGTTTGGAGAGCGAGGACGAAGTTGAACCATCAGCACCGAACGTCAATGTGCCGTTGACGGTAATGTTCCCACTGGGGCCCGAGATCGTCGAGTTGTACCTGAATACCATGAGAATCATTCTCATATGATAGTGGAAACCGAAACACACCCTTCAGGATAGTCCGTAATGGGCATCCCCGGGTCCCCTGGCAATAAGAAAGGAGGACTCGTATTCGACAAGTTCGCATCAGTGCCGCATGAACCTTCGCAAAACGACGAAGCTTCGTTCATATCGAGCCAGACGCCGGAGAAGTCGATGCCGCTTTGAGACCAGTTACGAAGGGCCTCGGTCCAGTATTGTTGAGTATCTTTAGCGAACCAGTCGGGGAAGACCTATAGAGAGCTAAGCAAGCTACATTGGAAATTCGAGAATGTCTAACCGTATAACCCGGCCAGACTTGTCCAATATACTCTGTCCCATTGGGGTTCTTGATGAATACGTCCCTGTATGTTCGATGAGTGATGATTCTATCATTTTCTGCTCCCGTCACTTACAGTTCCGCACCTCGAGTATAAGGATCGTACTGAAGATAAACACAATTAGTCTAAGATCACTCCAATTGAGTGAATGAAGATATGTTCACGTACAATATCAGTAGCGTTGACTTGATGGGCAACCGCAGCATCGACAATTGGAATGTAATGCTGGTAGTTTGCGTGCTGGCAAATAGGTCAATACCTGGCGGGTCAGAGCTACCAGAAGGCATACCAGTTCGTCGATGAACGTCTTCATCTCCGCAGCAGGGAAGGAAACCGGATCGGAGGTAAAGTCTCGGAAAGCATGATAAAGATCGATATCGTTCCACATCACTGACGAGAAACATGAGGATCGAACGCAAACCAGCCTTCAGTTTAGACACACCCTCAAGAGGAATATTTGCCTCGCGCATCTTGACAACTTGATCTTTCGTATCATTCAGATTCAAATATCCCCATCTGCACAGGTGGAAACCGAAACCGAATGCGGGTTGCCAAGTAGGTAGTCCTACGAGTTCGCCATACTGCTCTACAACCTTCTGAGGCGAGGGACCGGAGAAAAAGTAAAAATCAAGTGTGCCACCGAGGAGGCGGTATTCAATGAGAGACACGTTAGACGATGGAGGAGTGAGGAGTAGAATATCTGAACCAGAAGCGCTGTTACCAGATATAAGTAAGCAATAATGCTTTGCGCACATTCCTGAACAACCACTTACCTGTACAAAAACACGCCATGAGACTGCGAGGTGTGAGTGGATGAGTCGAACCGGTGTTCCATATAAATCGGATGAGATCCGTAGCTGCGCGAAAAATAGTGAGTGTCACGAAGTTCAACTTGCATCCAAGGGATCTTACATGTTCCTGTCAATAGGATCCGCGTCATCTCTTGCCCACATTGTTTGAATGGTGCCAGTGCCGCCATTAGTTCCGGCGTCACGTCTGAATCCGCTGCTCGCAACAACTTCACCAAGACCATATACATTGGCATCAAGAGGTAAGGCAGATGTTAACTGCAAGTACTGATCTTCGAACACGATTGGGAATCCATCGAGAGCAGTTGAATTGTCGGTTGCAATGACAGGCGGAATTGGGGTCATCGGCAGCGAAGATTTGCGGGTATCGAACAACGGCTGAGCGTCAGGCTCAGATCGGCGAGTGACCCAGAAAGCGAATGGAGAAGGTTCATAGTTGAAGACAAGGTCAGAATCGTTCTTGTGGATGGTCTGTGGAACGGAAGGCAGAGAAACAACTGATTCCGGAACTGTGAAGTGCGAATTCGCAGTATCAAAAATGTTCACATGCAGTCTGTGGTAACTGTGAACATATGCAACGCAATGGCAGGATGTGAAGCGTGCCTTGTTTCAGAATCGTACGTCACTTCCAACGTCAGATCGCCGACATCCTTACCGAACGCGTTGCACACTGCTCCGGCAAGGTTCAAATGCGCCGTTAAACCGGTCCTAGTTTCTTCAAGACCACTCAAGGTGTACCCTGGAAAAAAGTTCCAGCACACATACAGACCACTTCATCCACTCTTCAACGCACCTGGGCACGACGAGACATTCAACGAATGTGGGATGTCATCTACCTGGAATACCTGCGGCAAGGCGTTGCGTTGAAGGTTCGAAGCTTGTCTACCCGAGACCCGAGTGCTTTCTACAGAGAGCAGAAGCACAGCGGCGAAAAAGATCGCAGCCATCATGAATGACCGCACGGGAGGGAAATACGAGGATGAGACCGTAGTCCGAAGATGCCCCGGGCTGGTTTATATGCGTCGTCGCCAGTTAGAGCCGTGGCAGTCATATGGAAGCGAGCCGGCTAATGATGCTCCTCCCGACCAACGTTGCAGAAATGAACATTTGGATTCCAGGCTCATGAAAAAGGTCACATTACCAGCCTGGTGACGTTAAAGCCAGGGTCACTCTTGATGAGAACACCCAGAAGCACTTCCTATGACCATTTGACAGTTGATGCGCCCATTGCTATCTTTAGCGTGTGCATCGCCGGCGTCTACACCTGTAGCGCATCGTGCCATGTTTGGTTAGAACCAGCCCGAACTTCGCTGGTCGTCCTTGGACTCCGTGAGGTCCTTCGGAGGATATTCGGCGGATCGATCGTGAAGCTTGAAGGTTAATTCGACGCATCGCCACAAAACTCCACACATTGTTGATGAATCCCTCCGAAATCTCCGTTAGTCCACATTGAACAACATAGTAGGACTCAAGAGGAGCCATCAATTCACAGCGGTAGCATATTTGAGATGGTGCTTACCTTTGAAGGTACGCCTTTCCTTTGCGCTCGGGGTAATACCGGCGGGCGGTAGATGAGCAAATCGTGGCATTTTTTGGCGAACGAAAAAAAATCCATGCGAAGAGAGCAGGGCGAGCTGGGGTTACCTGCAGTCCACAAAATAAAAGTGCGTGCAGATAATGCATGCAGGCTATGTCCTCAGGGCCAGAAGGTGCACGCTACGCGACTCAAGGCACTTAAGCGTCTCAGCGATTACTCGCATCCCGTGACGGTCAAATGAAATGAGATTAGTACAACATAAAAAGGAGAGAGCTCATGAGAAGACGAGAGAGAAAGCACATTATTTGTCTTTCACCTCTTCACGCCGTGTCGATGGCGATGACATACTCAGTACCCCCGAAAAGCAACTCCAGAAAGGTATCGTGACCATCAAATCGCGCATCGTTGAGCATGCGCTTCGGGCGTTCTCGATGCCTTCTATCGGTGAACTCGTTGACCAAGGCAAGCTATTTTTATTGCTTCTACCTCGGACGAACGGAAACTTCGGCAGTGCACGAAGGCGGCGAGAGACAAGCCCTCGGGCGGTCCTCAGGCAAAGGCGTAAAGTGGGAGACCGAAATCGTGACGTTCATCAACATTTGACAGAATGAAGAAGCTGTAAGAGAGACAAGGGCTGAAATAGCGACATACTTGAGTATACGTAGGTCGCCTGTGATCTGCTCACCTGCACAAGCGTGAAGTATAGTCCGTCGAGTGATCCATATCCGTGGCTGTCGCTCTCGGGAAACAAACGCAATCATGCAGAAGATGGTTCCTCCTCTACTTTTGAGGGCGCGGATGCTATCGGAATAAATGTTCGGGACTTTGAAGAATTTCGATGACGGGTCAACTTCGGTGCACTAATCCTCTACACCTCGCTCCTTCCTTCCGGAAAGAGATAGCACAAGGTTTTTCACTAGAAAAATCTTAAACTAGGCCCAAGCGTTGCACAGTCCCTCGCATGATCCATATTATGATGGAGTGTGATGTTTCATCAGCACGAACCGCGCAGAATTGAATAGGTAAGTGTTAGTCAAAGATCGAGTGAATTGTCATGATGTTACATAGCATTGTAGTGACTGAGAAATTGGGTATTGCGCTGCCAGTACTTGCGCCTGGATGGGGGGTCATTCAGGGTGAACATCAAGTCGATCGCATGTTGAGTCGCGTCGCGTAAAGACCTGCCCTAAACCTCACGTGATGTCAAACGAAGTCGATTTAGTTGGATTTGATTGCGGTTCATAAACTAGACGATACCATTTGTGAGCCAAACACATATATCCTGTGGCATTGCCGACGGATACTGATATTTCTCTGACAGTGTGAATATCTGCAGTGAACCTTGGCGCGGTGACAGTGATTTCAGATTCGGTATTACTTCGGTTCGCTGCGCTAAGTATCACTCAAAAATGAAGCTTGACATTCGAATGGTATCTTTCCTGCTTCAGTCCCAGAAGGAAAGTTATCTTATGGGATCCAGAGCTAGCAGAGGGAGGTTCTTGCGGAATGTCGTGCTAATGCACCAACAAACTGTGGAAACTCCGAATTTCCTCCTCACACAGGTCTCCGAGAGGGTTAGATCGAACTCTTGTTGAACGGCCTTGAATTCTTCCTCCAAATCTGCCATTCTCTCATAAAAATGTTGACATCAATTACATATCAAGCCTGATGATCATATCGCTTTGGTCATTGTGTCAAAGGAAGACGTCGCCAGTCTTCTCGAGATTCCTGGGGAAGAATTTGCCAGCATGGACCTGCTAACGTGCTTCAGTACGGCGAGGTCCCCTGATGATGTTTCACCGTTGTTGGATGCTGATTATCCTTCTGACCTCACAGGCACCATGCATGGTACACGGAGAGCCAGATGTCACACGGGGGATACACTCCCTTTATCATCAATCTACTCATGAACCTTGGCTCTCGGTATCGCGCGAAATCCCCGACTGATAGGAAACATTCCTTCCGTATGCGCGCTTCACCTTACACTCACTGACTCGGCCCACTTCCGACCTCGAGAGGACAACTGCCAGGGGCGCTGTGACTGTCCCTCTAAACTAACGCGTTGTCGTGGATCTTTCACGACTATCCGTTCTTTTGGTTCCTTGTTCTGAGGGTTTAGATCTTCACTCATGAGTCGAGACCCTCACTCTCAACCACACTATCCGTCCTCTCGCCGGCCCGCAATCCAACTCGTCTTTCTATGACCATGCGTCAGAACATGTTCGAAATCCCTTGACGCATAAGCGTGTGCACCCGAGGCCGATGATAGGACGACGGCGATCCGCCGTGGGCTGCTTGTAAGGCTATCCAGGGCCGTGCGCTTTGCGGGCAGACGGACGTGACCATCGATGAGCATTCGCAAGTGTACATGACGTCCCCGTGCACTGGAAATAGCGGTCAGTTGATCGTGCCACCTATCGCAACGGAGTCTCAGAACCCTCGCAACTGTATCTCGCACCTTTTCTTGACATCTCGTGCGATCGTTTTCGGACGAATACTGCCTAACAGATTGGTCCTCCTGCTGTCCATTTTTCCCGTTGCTTCTTGGCTGTACCTCATGGAACGTTGAACTTCCACTGTTCCTTGTTCATAGACTGTTCGCGGACGACTCCGACCTCCATAACGTGTCAATCTTTCTCATCCGACAACCTCCCCGTGTCAGAAGACAATGATTTACTCTCACCCCGCATTTGATTTGCCTCCGTATTGGATACACCCATGCTCTTCGATCTGCAAACCTTGTCGCCCCACACCGTCGAGCAATCTTTCGACTTCCTCTGTTCCCAAGAGACGGAAAGGGCCGTCCTTCCACGACTTAATGATCGTCGCAGTCGCGTAAGTACAACAGAAATCCTGCAATAATGTCACCGAGTGATAGGAACGGCGTTGGCAATACCCCTGTCTCGCATTGGATGTTCAATTACCTGTTTCGATGGGTTCGAGGTCGATGTTGACCATTTTTACTGTGACATTGGGGATTTTCTCACGCTCTCCACACTCCAGATGATAAATCTCCACTGTTCGTCCTTCGCTTAATAGGACACTCTCAAAAATGGAACAGCTATAGGCGAAAATAAACATTTATTCTGGACAGCGTGTGGCTAGCTAGCTACTCAAGATGTGACGTTATCAAAGTCGAGGCTTGATCAAAGATTTCGCCTTCTCTGAATCCAAAATGCAGTCAGGGTATGGCAAAAATGGTTCTCGGAGGTGTTCATTTCCCCCATCCACAGGTAGAACTTGTCCCGTGATGAAATTAGCGGCGTCACTAAACAAGAAAACCGCAGCATTTGCGATGTCTTGGACGTGACCCACTCTGCCTAAAGGCATCGTGCGATTGTACACCTTCTGGACATACCCCTCCGGCTCGTGAGGATCGCTGGCGCTCAAGCGGTCGTATCCTTCTGTGCCGCCGATGGGTCCGGGTGCAATGACATTGGAGCGGATTCCCTAAATGAAGCGTCGTCAGAATCGGGTGCGGCGGATGCCTGAAGGTTGAGCTTACATATGGTCCTTCCTCGATGGCCAAGACAGCAGATACTAGCCATGGGAATGTGAAGATAGAGATCTTCCTGGGAACGGGCATCACTTACGAGCATCGACAGCAGCCTTCGCGGCAGATACGTGAGCCTGGAACGGCGTCGCTGCAAACATTGTCCATTTAGGACCTTCAGAACATTGGGGCATAAAGGGTGCGAACCTCTGTAGTGCAAGGTGGCAGATACATGGATGTAGGCTCCTTTGGTTACCCTCAGGTGGGGCACAGTTGCTTTGATAGTATTGAATGTCCCCATCTGATTCGCTTTGTCAAACGACTTGATGTAATAGCTTGCGCAGACACCTACCGTGTCGATCTGCATGACTGTCTTAAAACCATTCTCAGATAGACCTGAAATGGGACTTAGGAAGTTTCCAGCTGCGCCTACGTGGTAGAGAATTTGAAGGAACCGTCAAGACAGAACTAAGCGTCCGTACCACATATAACAAAGTCGATTCTTCCGAACTTGGTGATCGCTTTGGAGACTGCATCACGGAGTTGGTTCGGCTCCCTAACGTCTGCCTTAGCTGGAATACACGTTCTACCGGTTGCGTTGGACAACTCCTCCGCAGACGTCGTGAGGCGATCAAGGCTTGACGAGAGCGGTTTAGAGGTCTCACATGGAGCTGACATTTGGTGCGGCCACTTACTTCCTTCCCACAATCACAGAATTTGCGCCATGTCGCATCTATATAGTGTTTGGTTGCAAGAGTATATGGATGGGCCAACTTCACGTACCACAGCTTCGGTCATGCGCTTACAGATACCAGAACCACCTCCAGTGCAAAACAAGACCTTGCCATCGAAGATAGTCTCCTTGAACACAGCGGTCGAATCAATCACCTCTGCTACGAATTTCGCAGTCATGATAGTTCTGGTCGAAGTTCAACGTTCACAAAGCACTGCCATGGCTGTCAGTAGATACATGGTTGCCGGTGCACCTGAAATGGACAACTCGCGCCGGGTCTTCGGGCCGAAGCCTTAGAGACCAACGCCCACATCAGATTTGGCTCGTTCGGATGCAAACAAGTTCATAGTGGTCGTTGTTTGCCCCCCACTTCCTGACACGGCAAGTAAGTAAGTAAGATGCCGTGTCTGCGTCATATAAAATGTACTATGCATACGCCTAAGGGTGGACGTTCCCTGTAAAGTTTGTGAGTGTTTGACAAGTTGGCCCCGCTTTGACTCAAAAGTCCGTGAAATCTCGGAATGTTGCAGCATTGACCTAGCGCGGACCCTTTATTTTTGAGCTTGCGTAGTCAATATATATATAATATTCTCAATGCGAAGGTTCACTAACAAGGAGCTCGAGTTTCTACCATCATCGAGACCCTATTTTTGACTGCTAAATCCTCCGGATTCTCACAGCGCTTGCATGACTACCAGGAGAGGATCCTAGAAGTTCTTTAGTGGCCGTTCTTCTCTGATTGATCTTGAATACAATGTACCCGGCGAAAGTGTTCTCAAAGTCATGTTATACTCACTCCTTATGGCTGGGTTGCAACTGCTTTTCAGCACTAGAAAGACCGGACCTTCAACGTAAGTCGCATTACAAATCAGACCAAGAGCACTTAATCCATGAGGAAGCTTTTAGTGGCCATGGGTAGGTATGGCCCCCCGCAGAAATGGAGGTACTCTACTATCGCCGCAATATTCTCAGAAACATTGTTGTCTCAGATTCCGACGGTGCTGCCATGCATCTTATTAATACCAGCTATTTGCTTCTTCTAGTTCTTGTGACGCATTGACATCTTCATACCCTAGGCAATCTCCTGCGAATCGCCATATCAGGTATATATCACAACTCTCCCTCCTCCATACGCACTGTTCAGAAGAAGCGGATGAGTAGTAAATATGGTCAGGTTCAGGCCCCTTCGCCATTCTGTTCGGATAATGCCTCACAAAGTAAGACCTCCGTATTTAGGTTCCAGATCCTGAGAGCACTGTTTCCTGTACATCACAACACTCGATACTGAACAAACTTCCGTGCTTCGTACGTGCCTTTTTGCTGGCAAATTCCGGGAGAGAAAGTTGCTCATTCTGGTATGTTCTTTGACAATCCCCTCCCACACGTTGTCTACACCGAAATTTGTGGTTCGCAAGGTTCGTTCTTGACATCGTGTGCGAGGATTTTAATCGCGGGAAGTTTGCCTTTGATCCGATTGGAGCTAGATGCCTTCGATGTTCAGGTCGAGTTACGTATAGGTGCTTGGCTTAAGCCCGCGCTATTCACACTGTCTGTTCATGCGACCTTCTTGAGGCAGAATGCAATTGCTGCCACTTTTAGTATAGACGAACTAAGTGATCAGTACATAGAGTATGAGCGTGTAACGAGTGTCAAGTCAGAGATGTGGAGAAAACGAATAGCGAAAAGACATGTACGAAAGGAAATGGGCAGAGAGCAGATTAACTGACACGTACGACAAACGGCTAGACAGCGAAAAGAGAGCAATAGTCAAACTTCATTGCAATGAGGAAATAGACCAAACATAAGCGACCGAGGAAAAGCTGAACTGTTTCATGGTCTGATTCCAAACTCAACGACCTTCGTACTTCCGATCCCATTGAGGCATGTAATGGGAAGACTGTGGTCCTGAAGCAGATGATGGAGGCGAAGCACTGCTCGCAGAATGTGGAAGTGGATATGTGGATATAGGAGGTGGTTGGCGTTGGTCGTAATGGGAATCAGGACGAGGATACTGCGATGCCCACTGTCCGCTGTGAGCCCAGGAAGTAGATGGGGTCGGAGGGGGCAACGTCTGGGAGTGCGAAAAGATGCTATGTTCCTGACCTACATGACGTCCAGTTGAAGACATCCCTCGAGAATGTGACATAGAAGGTGAGAGAAATTCAGGACCACCACCAGAAAGAGACGTTGGTGAAGGAAGCATATCGGCGCTCCTCTGAGAGGGCGAAAACGCAGGATGAAAAGAAGATGCGAGAGTTGGGAAGGGAGAACTGAGATGATGCGATCCTGCAGCTCCTCCAGAACTACTAGAGGCTGTGGATGACGCAGAACTGGACCAGGGACGATTGGGCACCTGGGGAGAGAATGCATCAGACCGCGCGGACAGCGCACCCATTTCGTTGGACCTCTGGCGCGTGATGCTCGTATCAAGGGCTGGTAGTGAAGACCAGGATGCCCGTTCTTGATTTGGCCGACCACCGACCCGACCCGAGTCCCATGTATCTTGAACGGCTTGGGACTGTGTGGGAGAGACCGGCGAGGACGAGTGCTGTTGGTAAGACGAATATGAGTAGCCATGAGTAGTAGCACTGGCTTCGTTCAAACTCGGCATCCGAACAGACGATAAAGGGGAGACGGGTATAGTTGAATCAAGACCGCCGGATAGCTCCGGCACTCGAGGATTCGGGTGATTAAGGTGGTATTCTTGGTGATAAGAGTACGATGTTGTTTGCTGCGACGTCAGAGGATCGTGATCGTATCCGCCTGAAGAGGAACTCGAGTTGTGAGAGCGTTGGTAATACCCTCCCGAATGGTCTACCGGGTAATCACCCTCAACAGGCGAAGCATCTTCGTAAGAAGGGTCGTCTGTTTCCCCGCCTTCAGCAGGGGAAGTCGAATCAGCGTCCGATTTGCGTTTCCTCCGAGTATTATTTGGGCGTCGCCTGTAGACGTAGTCGGGGTATTTTGAATTGAAGTTGTCTTTAAGTTTTTTAGCCTGGTCAAGATAGAATTTCTTGTCCTTCTAGAGTGTGGCATGGGCATAAACGACAAACATCAGATGTGGCGTCAAGCGGCGTACCATGTCCATAGACGTCCATTCTTTGCTTAGAATTTTGCTTATCTCCCCGGTTCGCATCATCTGATTCTCAGCAGAGATTTGGGGTCTACGTTTCCTTGCAAAGATCATAAAAGCATTCATAGGACGCTTTGGCGTTCCATCCGCGTTCAATGTCTGAGACGTTAACGCGAGGTGAGGATCATCTGGAGGCACAATTCAGGCGACTGTGACGAGCAATAGAAGTAGCAATCACCTTCTACATCGTCGCGCTCTGAAGTGTAGTGGGTGTAGGTAGTGTCAGAACCTGAGAGGGAACTTTCTCTGTCATGAGCTCCTGGCTGAATGTGCCCGGCATTTGCCGACATGGACGGCAGCGGTGCATTCGGGTTGTAGCGGTGCATGTGGAGGGTTCGCGGACCGTCTCACGTTGAATGGTGTTGGCGGACAAGAGAAGGAGCCAACAGACAACCAAGACAGGAGGGTGAACTGAATGTATAGGACAGGGGAAAGTGTTGTGTGATCAGGACGGCTAGAGTGAGATTGACGCCTGCTAGAGGAGGAGAGTAGGTGAAGATCCACTATGGGGCTAAGCGGTGAGGGGTATACGGACTCAAAGGTCACGGCGAAGGCGTTTTGATGACCCAGCCGTCAAGTTGGTCGAGCTGTTTTAACTCAAACCTGCCACGCGGGTTTTCTGGGATTCTGCCACATCCTGATATTCGTGAACTTCGTATGCCTGGCATTCGATGCACCCTTGAAACCGCCGAGACCCACAGTCACGGTTGACCAATTAGCGGCTTCTCGTCCGCACAAATAAGATGGTACAGTTTTCGTCGAAATTTCCCGCAGACCGGATCCGACCCTCGACTTTGCCTAATCAGACGGTGTCCAGACTGTGGGCTCTCCCTTCGGCAAGCCTCGAATCGAAACGTCACTCGTGCCCATTAGCGAACATCCAAAAGCCACGGAGTCCCATGATCTGCCTGCGGAAGTTCGCCATGCGAGAGCCTGTCTAACGGGCGCGAATGTTCTCCTGCAAAGCAGGCACGCGCTCACATTCTTCTTTTTCTTGACTCCTTAGATTTCTCCCTTGCGCGTAACGTAAACGAATAGCCCAGCGAAGTCAATCACATACCATTAGACACTCACCACCAGCGCTCAATAACTGGGGTGGCAACTGAATGCACTTTCTGTAACTTGATCTACAACAGATTCTGCGTGGGAGTCCTTTCTTCCGTGGAAGAAATTCCACGAAAACATGATATAACGCTTAAATCTCATGCAGTGCGAAGAATAGGCCATGGAATTGCCCTCACCTGTATACCTGATTGATGTTCCATTGAGTTACCCCAACGAACGGCTCTGTCTGGTGGCCCCATCGTTGCTCTCTCGGGTCGCAAAGTGGGAGACTGACAACCTATGTGGAACGTTTGCGGGCGGTACACATTGCCTCGTGATTCGTCTTGATCCTCGACTTTCCCCGTATGATACCGAGCACCACCCGGTGACTAGTGGCTGTCATTCCAGCCTGACAAGGCAGACAACAGGAAGAAAGTGACCCTGCCAAAATGGCAGGGATCTACGATATAGTCGACTGAGATCTAATCGGACTCTCAAGCCGCCGGCGTGCAAGGCTCCATCATTTTCATTTGGTTAGACTCGGGTGATAAATTCCTTCACGAGTATCTGACCAAGCTGACTCGTGTTAAGAGACGACCAGGAATTGTAACATCATGAGTCCCTGCAACATTCTACGGAGAAAAGACATAAGACCTCTGCATCCGCACATGTACCTAAGCATGACTCTATTTGCCTTGCGCATTGTGGGTTGGCGTGCGACATAATTTCCAGTGTCTTTGACGCAACAACATCAACGTGCTGCCTAACGGAATCCAACTATAGGAGAAGGAACTCACCTTGACCCAGCACAATCCGATATCGTCGGTCTTCACCATGCGGATAAAAATGACAAGAACCTGTCGGGTCGTGCCTTCACTTCCAGGCGAAAAAAATTATCTTACTTATGCGGCTCCATGCACCCGTTAAAACTACATCATCGCGAATAGGAGGCTCACCGAGGGCTGCCTCGCACAAATTGGGTATAGCATAGGAGCGGTCATGGATCTCGGCCCGGAGTTCATTACGGCGCGCAGACACTTTCAGACATATCGATGGTCCCCCTTTAAGTTATATTCATGATGCTCCGCCTGGTGTAGATAGTCAGCGAGGCAGATCGGAAGTTAGATATCAAACCAAGAGATTAAAAGATCTGCGACGAGGCATTTGGGCGAAACGTGAAGCAGGGCGAGACCACCATGGAAATCTCGTCGCGGCTTGGAGCTGGCTGCGGTCGGCGACGACCTGAAGAACCATCATATCAGGCTTGGCAGAAGAACAACGACTTCTGTCTGTCCCGAACTTTCAAGCAAAAAGCTCCGTTCAAATCTGTGGCCTCAAGTTAGTTGTTCGAAGATGCGACTGTGAGCATCCATTGGCTCTGTGAACTCAGAAGCAGCCTAAAAAGGACCAACTACCATCCAACTGACCCAGGTTCAGATGACAACACAAGGCATGTGACAGTGGCTTCTTTTCCACGAGGTCCTCTGGCCGTTACCTGACCAGAACCGCACGATTAGAACTGCACATAGGTGAGAAACCTCTCATGGGTCTTGCCGTTTCGGATAGTCATGCGCCCCTCTGACACCCACGATGCAAGAGTCAAGACCGCACTCGAGGCCTTTCCAAGCATGAATACGTCCGATATGTCATGGATGGAGAGGTAGGTACGACCAATTTCGCAGGTGAAAGACGGTGAGAGACTCGTATCTACAAAGGTCAGTTGACCCTGCCACATTTTCCGACATACCGAGGTCGAACCATGTTCCTGAACGTCCACGTCTCAACACCCGACCTGACAAATATCTAACTCTAACCAAGTAACGAGTTATTACAATAGGACCATCGCCACCTGAGAGATGACTGGCGTACCTTAAGAGTACAAGACAATGTATTGGCCGTCTACAAAGCAAATGTAAACCGAAATTTTATGTGTCGGCGAAGAGTGATAAGCTTACCTCAATCGACTGAGCTCACGCACAGCTTTTGTAGCCGTCGAACTGTATTGACCACGGTCGCCAACGCGAGATATACGCCGGAAAGCCGACAATACAGTCAATTGTATAGTATGTTGTGATGTGACGTCGTGCGTTAAAGCCTCGAATTGAGCCAGATCGGTACCATCAGTTATCGGACCGCCTAGTTTGGATGTTAGATAGGCTGTCACTCGAGCAGTACCTGACCCGCAACATGCGCCGTTGTTAATCGGAAGATATCGAATGAAAGGCACTCCAGGATTCCCAACAATAGCAGGAGACATCCAGTGTGTCCACCTGAGACTGTTTGATTTTAGTTCGATAGTTCACGTCCTTATACATCCGCCGGTGACCAATGTGATTCGTAACATAATTAATGGGCTTCAAGGCCAATATCGCGACAAGGATAACCTAGAATAGTAGGAGGTGCTGGCGCTGTGAGAAGTCGGTATTTGGAATAGCATGGCTTCTGGTTGGATTATAGAACAAGGTTAAACGCCGAGATGGTGCGCTGAGAGACTTGTTGGATTTTAGACGAACCTCTTCCGAGATTACGGACTGCGTGATCGTGCCAGCCAGCCGGTACAGACAGACAAGCCGGCATAAGAAAATGCGTCGGAGAAAGGCTGGAAGGTCATCAACATGACAGCATCATGCTGCCACGGTCATGGAAAGAAATATTTCCAGGCCGCCAGGAGACACGGTAACGTGGCGCTAGTATGTGTTTGTGAGAACATAGCACCTGCTCTCCCGACAACTGCTGACCACGACGCACAGAGGCCTAACTTACTCAGTATCTCCATCAGTGAAGAGTAAACTACGATGCTACTCGAGAAAGACCTACGCAGCTTGTATGTAAACCCAAAGTAACCCTTGGCCATCGGCGTTAAGCAGATAATGAGACTTCAAGCTTCGATGCTTCAGAACTATTAACCCATGATGTTAAGATTGTCCCTCAGGCACGCGTCTTCGACAGGTTTCGATATGAGAGAGGATTGAAAGTGAAGTGGCAAGTGACAAGAGGTCTCAGTGGGTCACTCGCTATTTTCGCACGACGACACGTGTAATCGATCTTGATCGACATACCCCGCAATCTGATACTGCATTTTTACTCCGCAGAACACAAGCAGACAAAGTGCGGGGAGAAGATGAAAGATCTCTTTGTCGACGCTAGTAAGTCATCTATGGTATCCCTGGTCGCCGCAAGGCAACATACTTATGTAAAAATGATTCAAGATTTTCCCAGAACCTTAGATGAGCGAGTTTATCACTTAGGAGTCAAGGCTGGCGAAGTGGCCAATCGTATTGTGAGCTCTATTCCGACTTTCTCTGTATATTCTATACGAGGTAAAATGGACACAGGTGACTGTTGGAGCCGTTTCAAGGGCGCAACATATTGCTAAATTTCTAGACGAGAAACCAAAACCATTTGTGCTCAGTACGGAACGTGGGTTCTTGACCATCACCGGCCGCTACAATGGAATCCCGGTATCCATAGTCAGTATTGGCATGGGCAGTCCCAACGTTGACTTCTTCGTCCGTGAAGTAAGAGAGTGTCTTAGCGGTGACCTCGTCGTGGTGAGGTCAATGCGCTCTCAATCTTGACATTGAAGACTGCGGTCCTGATATTGTCTTGCTATGGGTGTTATGCTGCATTACAAAGACTAGGTTCGTGTGGTGCCCTCATAAATGTGAAGGTTGGCACCGTGGTTGTGCCGAGTGGGAGTATAGCTGTCAACAGAAATTACGACTACGACTTCGTAAACGGTAGCCTTCCAAATGAACAGCCATACCGATTCAGTAGACGGGTACGTCATGCCTCATTTTGCGATCGTGTCTAAAGTCGTTCATATGACTGCTCAAACATAGGTCAACGTGGACGCTGAACTGCAATCAGCGGTAAGAGACATCCTATAGCTCGCCGATCGGAACCTGACATGTCCCATGGTAGGTCAGGAGTGCTCTCGAGAAAACGCAGCCGCCCACGATTCAGACAGACATCCTAGCTAACACGTTGAATGCCTCCACTGATAGGTAAGTTTTCATCTCATCTTCTCAGCATTTGAACACTCAGGAACGCTTCTAGCTTCTACTCTTCTCAAGGCCGGATTACGTCTTTCCCCGATCGCAATGAGAACATCATAGAAGAGCTGAAGACTTCTTATCCCGACCTGGCAACGTTCGAGGTGAGGTCACCCTTGATATCATGTCGTGTGACTGAAGCCTCCAACATTCTGCTTAGATGGAAACCTACCATTTACTCCATCTAGCAGTTAGCTGGCCCACACACATGGCTCGCCCGATCTCGAAGTCACCTCCACCAATAAGCAGTCGACCAGCCTCCTTGTCAATTTCCGAGCCAGAACTCCCATCGCATCAAGCTCATCAGCATGCTCCCAGTGACGTCGCTCAGACTGCAACTGACGGGCATGTTCTCGTTCCTCAGCCGGTCATGCGTGCTGCTGCGGCTCAGATGGTGTTCGCTGCGCGAGGCTCAAGGGACTTCATTACACCGGAGCACGTAGAAGCGCTGGAAGATTGGTGTGCGCGTGCAATGCTCGAGGCGTTGACATCATTTAAGATCGATTTAGAGGTACGTGCCTTGCCTGCAGGACAACCAGAATTCGATGTGTTGATTTCGAATACTTTCAGCGATTGCAGCCGGAAATTGGTAGCGTTTGGGAGTTGAAAGTTTGAATAGAGTATCAGAATAGATAGAGTGCGGATTACCTTTTTCTTTCTTTCTCTTGGCTACTCAAACTGACGTTGATCTTTGATCGTTAGCAACTCAATGTCCCATACCTCCCAGGCGGAGAGTAGAACCCGGCTGCGAAGCCGGTTCAGGTTTACAATAGTCGCCCGTACTAACAATATGCACTAGCAGAGTCAACTCCTTATTGGGTAAGATACATATCTGGAACAGGCACCTGAACCGAGTAACTGCGTCCACCACTGAGCAAAACGAAGTGAAATGCTGACAGCAGTGTCACGCTTTCAAGCCATGTCAGCCAGACCACCTTCCGGAATGTGGAGCTATGTGGTCGCGTGAGGGACAATGTCTCAAGGGCATCCTCGCAGTTCAAAAAAGTGTCATTCTGTTCGAGAAATTTGGAACTATTGTTAGAGAAACTCATGTGTACGAATAACGTCTCTGAATGGTATGCTACGCAACTAGGCACCTTTCGGAAAGTCGGAGGAAAAGCGGAGGTGTGTTGACCGACAACTAAGGTTTATCACGTCATGTGTCAGACGACAGGCAATCCGAAGACCTGCGAACTATGCGTACCTTCATGCGAAGAGTCTCCCAGACAAAGCTGGACCACATTGAGAGGTGAGAGTACAGCTTGGGCCCTCGGAGATCCGTTCTTATCAGTCGTGTAGAAGGGCAATAGATGCTCTGTAGTCCTGAGGTGCCCCTGGTGGTGCCCATGAACACGGACTCGGTCCTGATGTCAAGCATGCTCCTACATGAGACGATTTCTGATCAGGAGCTGAGGAAGAGGAGTCAGGTGGTCTAGTCACGTACGTATCAGCGGGCAGAAGCTTGCAAAGCAAAGGCGCACAGCAGAATAAGAAGAGGGAAGCCCGCACTATTTCACAGCCCTCACAAGAGCTTGTCCGGACACCGCAAGAAGACAAACGAACGCTTTGAATCTTCCTTAGATTTTGCGACACTAGGCAACAGAATCGCAATAATCAACGCAACCAATAGGGTCTGGGAATCCCTGGCATGAACCTCTACAAGTAGTGAATGAATGTTGGCGAAAGCTGTAATACAAAAGAGAATCCTATATTAGTCTATGCCCGGACTTCTGCACGGGGACACAAGGCAAGAATTATCCTGGAATAGCGTACACATCAATCATGGGTATAGTGTTCATGGAGCGTACGAAAAGTCTGTCGTGTCTATATCCATGGAGATGAATGCCTCATACAAGTATATCACACCAAACAACAGGAATAAAGCACTGCCCGCGAGGGTCACTGAGGAATAACAGTTAGTAAGAACGTGTCGTGATAAGACGAAAAGGAACACACCGTGTTTGACGGAAATTTTCGTCGAAACCCAGCGTCCACCGATAACTGCCAACGCAGTACAACATGCATGACCCACAATGGTGCCAAATGCTACTATGTAGACGTTCTGTTACATTTTCATCAGGACACATGTCAATCCACAGTTAGAGTGCCAACTCACATGTGCTGCGCCTAGAGCTATGGTAGCTATTTGACTTCGGTCACCCCACTCTCCCAGGAATGTAAGAACGAAAGCCTGAACAAAGACTGGCCCGAGAAGGAGACTAAAGAAATTTCTGGCACCTTCTGCCAATGTCTTCGTTGCATCCCGCGATTGCGATCGGGTTCTGGCATGTCCTGCACGGCCATTACTTTCAACTCCTTCCTCCAACGCTTCTAGTGGTATTGAGTCATGTTCCGCTTCGTCACCCTCGATCTCTTCCTCAGCCTCTTTCATCTCTTCTTGAATCTTGTCATTACCCGCCGCCATCTCCCGGCCTTCCTGCAACATCTTGACTCCAAAGACTAGAAAAAGAACGGCTGCCAGTGCTTGCGTCCAGCGCTTGGGTAATAGAGTTGGCAAGATATTTCCCAGCTCTGCAGAAAGGATGGACATGACTACAAGAGAGCCAAACGCGCCTGCAAAGACCACCGCTCGCGGATGTCGCATTGCAAGTATTGCCGCAATAAGGAACGTCTTGTCACCGATCTCCGAGACAATTATCATTGCAAACGATTGCAACAGAACATGGAGACTGCTATCCTCCGGAAGCAGAACATCGTCACCAGTAGCCATCGGACAGCGGCTGCTTCCCCACGTCTGGAAGTCAAGTTCTGAAGACGATGTCAAGTTCAAATTCTCCGATCTATTGAATATATAAACCTACAAAATAGCAGATTTACCCCGTAACGAATGCGAAATATACAAAACTAGAAAAATCGGGAGACGGCTGTCGAACGTCGAGGTTCGAGCTGAGATCTCGCTGAAACCCGACACGTCGCGAGCGTCTACAACAATTGAGAAGATTTAGCGCTGATCGCAGGCGTTCAATTGTACTCTCATCCACTAAGTTGCCGTTCATTACAGGATCCATGATGTCTGGACTAATCGGTTTCTATCTCCAATACATACATTGTGTCGCATATGCACCTGAATATCCTTTTTTTTCATATCACGCCATCTTTGTTTTATAGGTCATAGCCTCTTATCGCCGGTGCGCTGACAAGTATTTCCTTGAATCAGAGGCATAAGTGAACAGGAATGCTCTTCATGTAGCTCAGTTGTGAGAGAATGAATGCCGTCAAACGTGCTACAGTATTGCAAGTGGTTGTCTTCAAGACATTGTCCATGGACCTTGGCAACACTCCCCGTTGCGAGATTTTATTTTATGCTTCCCTTTTTTTTTTTTTGGTATCGTGAGTTTATATTCGCTATCATTACTATCATATCATATCAGGTATGTCCATCCGAAGCGCTTGGTGTTCGTTATTCGACATGTTTCTTCGTCAATGCTTGATTGTCAACGAGATACTTTCCATACCACTTACAAGACATTATCTACTATACAGTTTTAAACTCGGTTTTTTTCCATTTATTGTCCTACGTGACCTTGCCTATCTTTCCATCTATATATGTTTAACTCTTCTTTCACAAACATTAAGTTTATGTTTTGCGCTGAGAGGGTTTCCTTATATAGGGTATCATCTTCGGATATGGCAAGAGCTTTCAATCCTAACAATAACAAATACCGTCGGGCCACGGGGCCGGGCACGTGAAGGCAGATGTTTGGAATGCCCGGATTCCTGGCCATTCCTGTCTCAATCTGAGAGTCACGGTGTTATTACAGTCAGTTTCCGGATTGCCAGAAGCCGAAACTAATACAATGTCTCCTTGTATTTGGAAGGTACTTACCCGAAAGAGTCTTCACAACATCTTCCACAAAGTATCTCGTCGAACTAAGTACTTATTGTGCGTGCGTATGACGTGTCATGTACTCAATCAAGCACAGGAAGAAATATGAGAATGGCTCCATATTTTTCATAGTACGGCCCAATTTATGTACTTAGACAACCTAGAACCCCGAAGGACAGGTACGGCACAATATCGGTAAAAACGACCCATGTAAGGACACCAAAGCATTGAATTCATTAACCCAATACAGACACGCAGATGATTTACGAGGGTGGCCTGTGAATAGTACATTAGAATATATAGATCCAAGGCATGGTGAAGCGACATACACAGGAGCGACGGAAGTGGCAGGGCTTGATCAGAAAAATCAGATAACGCACAGTTCGGGAGAGAACATGATACCTACCAGGATCAGCAGATATGACAGGGAATGGAGTAGCTGCGCACTAATATAGAGAGTCAACTCAACGTCGAGTACGAGGAGCCGCAAAAAACTCACAACAGCTTGGATGTCTCTGAGAGTCTTGCCTGCGGGGAGTTTTGCTGTCTGAGACTTAGCCCAGGGATGACTTCTGAGCAGTCGACAAGGTCACGAGCATTGTGTCCCAAAATGGCCATCTTAGCCATAGCGGCCTCGAACTTGGCAACCATCGCGTTGTGGTTGGCTATCCCAATGGTATTAGAAATCTGAAAACATTCGTATGATCATAAACCCTACTGATAAATGATTGCCACTGGCAAGCCATCCTAATTGCGTGTATCAGTCTATCGTGGATGTGCAAGGAGGTAATCTTACCTGATGCCATGGGATATCTCGGAATCCGATTGGAGACGGAATTCACCTCGCAGCGGAGACATCACTTCACCTACGTTGGAACCATTACCGGGGAACAAGTTGCCCCTCAACAGTGTCTGAAGTCGTTGATCAGAGTATCTCGTCATAAGTTCGGGAAGATGTGACACCTCAACGAAGAACTGAGCATCAAAAGAGCTGGGGGTAGAGTTGAATGGGGTTCCCTAAATCATGAACGAGCATGAGAGAGCCAAATGTTTGCGAGAAGATATTGAGACGAACTGGAATGGTTTCATCAACATGATCCTGAGCTGCAACAGCGTGAAAGGCCAGCAAATCGACAACTTCGATCGGAGAGAAACCAGCGTCGCTCATGCGAGCGAAGATTTTGTTTGTGGCATCAAAGGCTCGGGTACAGTGAGGTCAGGAGCCGGACGAGACATGTTAGAACGACCGACAAGGAATTGCAAGCGTGGACCTCCGGCACAATTTGAAACGCCGACAGCGCCCGCAAACTGTATACTGTAAAAAGACGCGCTATTGCGCTCTTCTCTGCACTGTGCGATATGGTAGATACTCACAAGTCGCCGAAAGATACGCCGTGTTTGAGTGCAAATGGACGTTGCTCTTCAACGACCTCGTCCACTCCGTTGTTAGCGTCTGCAGCAATGTGAGTGAAGGTAACCAACCGAATGGTTATTCATAAAACTGACGGAAATTAGTTTCGATCTCGGAGAAGGCCATGATGGAACCATCGGCTCCTCCACCTCTGCAAACAAAACACTTTGAACACACTTGACAACGCGATGACAGGCAACTAAACATACCCAACTCGACCCTGCCTTTGTGCAGATAGCGAGAACCCAATCGCATCATGGAATGTTAACTAAGACATTATTCAATGATGAAGGGAGAGGATCCACCTGCCAACAGCTTACCCTAAGTGACTACAAGAATTAATGCGTTAGGATATATTACATTTGAGCTGCTATGGCAAACGGAATAGCCACGACGGACCTCATGCGCCTCCTCGCCGCACTCGCCGCCGTCGAACCTACAAAAACATATCAATAAATGAAGATTATCAGCAAGAGAATATTCCCCCACAGATTCTCTTGAACGTCATCCAAGATATCGAACCACATGCAGCACTAGAGCAACGATACTGTTAGTAACTGGGAACCGTTAAGCGTCAGAAACATACAGCAGCATTGCGAGCAGTACGACCTGTACTGTAAGCAACTCTGGCGGAAGGTGCAGCCAAGGCAGCAATGGCGAGCGAGACGAAGATGAGAGTATTCATGAACGACATTGTAGAGTGTTTTATACGGCTCGAAGAGTCCCGAAACAAAGGCACTCGACAGTGGACGTGAGTCGCAGATGGTATGCTGCTCTCAACGGGACAGCGTTGGTTTCCGACCCGGGAAGACACAGCTGAGAGACGACGAGTCTGAACATCCCAAGCTTCGGGCTCCTCTCAGAGAGGGTATGTGAGACTGAGACCAAAGACCGAGTATGAGGATGGTCTGAAAAAGACCCACGTAAAGAACTACCACTGTTTCGTTTGATGTGAACGTCAGATATGAAACTGTACAAGTATGGCGAGATGGTTTGTCGAAATCTAATTGCCAATAGGATGGTTTTGATACTACCCGTATAAATCTGTACTCGTTTCAGCATCGCAATATGGCTAACGACCGGACAGTAATGACAGACCTTCGGTGGATGTGGACTCTGCATGTCTCAGGTCATGATCAGTAAGTTATTCTCCCATGGAAGAGAATTCTGAGGTCTAAAATAACAGAAATTTCCGTAACACTATACAAAGGCCTAGAACAAAACCTTGCTTAGCATGGCTCTCGAGATCCCATAAACTCATACATACCGGAGGATATTGTGCAAAATACAGCTTAGCACGAAATGAGATATCTCCCGAGTGTCACACCATTCATGAGAAATATGCGATTCCTGATTAGCTAGCGAATCCGGAGGCTCTAGTAGCAGGTGCATTCAACCGGGAGCCGGGGTGAGCGAAGGACGGAGAGAAAATAACTCCTCAAATCGGAGACATGATCTTTGAACGTGTCGACAATTTTTGGGTCTTCCATCCGCATTATTTTCGTCTGCGCCTCCAGTATACACGCACACATGACGTACACCAGTGGCAGCGAGTTATTGTAGCATAGGATGAGAGCCAACCATGCGTTATAGCTTGAGAACTGAAGTGCTTCAGAATATATTGACGAACTTAAAAGATGGACAGGGTTTATTCTCACCAGTAGCCTCTCATTGGGTTTCTTCCCGTAAACAGCCTCTCGAAAAGAGATAAAGTTCTCGTAGAGCGATGTGCTCTGAGGTTGGATAATCAGTTGCAAGGACATACTATCCCCATTGCAGGAGCAATGGGCTAAACAATGGAGCGACTACGTTACCTAGTCGCGCGGCAGAGTTCCATGTGACATTCGGTATCATGTGAAGACCCAGGAGAGTGGTTGTTGGTGTGGGAAATACCAGATTTACAGCATGGTTTGCGCATGATGCCGTCTTGGCCGGACATCTTCCAGATTCAGATAGACAATCCACTACAGGCCATACTGGAACCAACGTCAATTATAGATGTGATGTCATTGCCTGAGTCGGTGTGCGTAGATCAAAATGACATACCCATCGAATCTGAACCCCACCGGCAACAAGCGTGGATGAGGCATTTCAATGTATACGTATAGAGTATGAATACGAATCACTTCCCAAACGTAACGTCTATGGTCGATATCTTGGGAATGCAGAACACGCAGCAGCCTCATCACTACGGGAAACCTCGATAGAAAACAGTGTGACCCGCGAGTTTCAAGATAGATAGCCTACACTTCACGAAGTATAAGGTAAATATTCAGCAACGGGTGGATACTTGAAACTCGGAGAGCATAGCCATGGTAGATGGTATAAGATTTGGTTAAAAAGGCTACCACAAAAGTTGATGCCCGTACGGTCCGGTTGTTTGTTCATATTAGAATCGGAAGGGGTTGCCTTTATTGGTTCATGTTGGGCCTTGATTGCAATTGCACTTGTTCCGATTTTAGTTTTTAAGCCGAGTGTAGAAGAAGTTAGTGTATCGATATTCTATGCGACTGTGTGACCCGCTTTGTGATAAGAATCTTTTCAGGTAAGTATGGAGGATGTTGAAAAGCTAGTCGAGTGAGATGACTTATCATACCTAGATCGTCAAAGAAACCAAGAACAAGAAGCGTCACAGAAAGTCATTCTATTTCCATCGGGTACAACACAATGTGTAATACATACACAGAGAAATCTTCGACACGAGACCGGAATAGCAGAGAGCATATGGCGGGATTGTTTAAGAAGGGGGACTGCGAACCAAGAGTGAGTTGCAATAAGCTGAATAAGAACTCTGAGACATACACTGGAGCAATAGACGTAGCCGGGCCTATAGAAGACCTCAGGAACGAGGTGATGAGCAATGAAAACATGAACAACTTACCGCGGTCGGCAGATATGACCGGGAATGGCGTGGCGGCACACTTGGAGAACGAGTAAGTCGTGATGATGCATAGCGTGTCGCAAAACACTCACAGCATGCTGGATGTCTTTGATTGTCTTTCCTGCCGGGAGTTTGGCAGATTGGGCCTTAGCTTTGGAGGGAACAGGAATGACCTCAGAACAGTCGACAAGGTCGTGCGCACTGTGACCCAGGATCGCGAGCTTAGCCATGACCTTCTCGAACTTGCTGACCATCAATTTATGGTCGGCTGTAGATATCAAGTCAGAAACAAACCGTCAGATTATAGTGGTATCACTTACTAATAAACGATTGCCATTCGCAAGCGGTCCTAGACGCTTTGTTTAGCCATCTCCATGGCTGGCTATTGGAGAATGGAACTCGTACCTGGCGTCGCGAGCGATTGCAAAATCGGACTGAAGTCGGAACTCGCCTGCCAAGGGAGACAAGACCTCACCAACGTTGGAACCATTGCCTGGGAACAGCGATCCTTTCAATAATGTCTAGTCACAATATAGTCAGCGACGACCACGACTTGACAATCATTGCGGAACTCACCTCAACGAAGAACTGAGCGTCGAATGTTCCGGGGGTCGAGTCGAAGGGTGTTCCCTACCACGTCCTGTCAATGAAACGATGAGAACTGAGTAAGGAGAACAAGAACCGGTATGGTTGGATCGACGTGGTCTTGGGCAGCAACGCTGTGGGAAATGAGGAGATCAACAACCTCATTCGGAGAGAAACCGGCGTCGCCCATTCGAGCAAAGATCTTGTTCGTGGGATCAGAAGGTTCGGGGACAGTGAGATCGGGAGCCGGACGAGAGAAGTTAGAGCGTCCAGCGAGGAACTGCAAGCGAGGACCACCAGCGCAGTTGGAGACACCAACAGCACCGGCGAACTGGATGCTGTGGGACAATGAGTGAGCGAAGGCGACTTTGAATATCGATGAACGTACAAGTCACCGAACGAAACATGGTGCTTGAGTGCGAAGGGACGTTGAGCCTCGACAATTTCATCCACACCGTTGTTGGCGTCTAAGTCGGATTCAGCCCAAGAAGGATCTTTAAGCTTAATGGGAGATGGCTTACGGAAGTTGGTCTCGATCTCGGCGAAAGCCATCATTGAGCCATCTATTCTGGACTCAGCCACATGGGAAATGGATGAAAATCAATACCATACGTACCGGCACCTCCACCGCTAATGGAGGTATCATGAACTTGGGCTTTATCGAGCTTCAGAAAGTCACTTACCCAAATTTGCCCTGCCTTTGAGCGGAGAGGGAGAACCCAATGGCATCGTGGAAGGAGAGCTAAGTCGGGATCGTAAGGCAGAAATCAAGCGGTAACATCCCAAGGAAGCATACTCGAAGAGACTGGCGAGAGGGACAAAACAGTCAATATGAGTTGGAGGGACATAGGCTTAACTGACCTCGTGAGTTTCTTCACCGCATTCACCACCGTCGAACCTAAGGAGATAGTCATAAGCATACAACGAAACTATCGGCCAGAGGACACCTACAGGTTCGCCTGAATATCATCGAGGACGTCGAACCACTTGCAGCACTGACATAAAGTATTAGATAGACCGTGGTATATGGCGAGAGAATGCCTACAGCAGCCTCGCTAGCCCTACGGCCACCACTGCAGGTAACATGGGAAGGTGCAGCGTAAACAAGTGCGGAGAGAACGATGAAGACAAGGATGCTCTTAAAGTTCATGGCGAAGTTGACCGCAGTGTCTGGAGATGTGAGTGAAGTAACTCAGCTGAGGTCTCCAGCCGCGACCTGTGGCTTATATATACGTTTAGAGGCCTGCCCCCCAAGGTTCAAGTCTTTTCAGTCTTCGTCACCGGTCACCATATACGGACGGGTCAAATTGGGTCTGAGGCAATGCTCTTCGTGCGACATATTCAAGCGAGAGAAGACCGATGTTGACCAATCTAAACACTTCGTTTTACAATCCAGGGACTTGGGGTAATGAACGTCGATGCAAGAATAGTGTCGATCCCTCTATATGTGAATGAAGTTTGGGAAAGCATCGCAGGCCAGTGAGAGAGACTCTGAGCGAACATGACTGTAGGTCCTTCCGTTCAGGAGCATTTGAAACAAAATTGGCGCGAAAGTTGTACACGACAGTTGTGTTGCTGGAATAACTATCGGCATACGGGCAGGCTGAAGGCGTTGTGAAGGTAAACCAGGGTGTCACTTCTATTCAATCTACAACGTCCATTAGTAATATGCCAGACAAGGTCAGGTACATACCTTTGGTAAAAAGCTTCTAAGCTCCAACGTACGGTACCCGGAGACGGCGACCTATGCCGTCTCTCGTAGAAGAAAGGGTTAAGATGCTATAATTATAACAGAAGCACATAAGCTGACCAAGATTGAAGCGGTAGGCATAAAAGACTGTTAAGGTCTATTGTATCATTGAGTCTCTGCTCACTTACGAATTCCGATGACAACAAATAGCGCCGCATGCTGAAAGCGAATAACTCACTTATAAGTCCCTCTCAGTGCTAAAATCATATTGCAGTTTACCATATATATCTGAGACACAAGACCATGTGCCGATTGGATAGTAACAGCGTGCATCAAGAGGAGTTCACACTCGGGACGTGAGCTGGGATGGCAGCGTGTCCACGAGACTCACCTTGAGAATGTACATAGGCATGAGTGATATATTGGAGAGGATACAATGTTTGCTCTCACCAGGACATCTTTATCACAGACTGAATCGTTAATTTTTGTACTGTAAGAAATCTGTTTTTCTATACTATCTGAACAGTCTGTGAACCATTAGGCACTGTGGCAAGCGTCAAACCATCTACGGTGTTCAGTAGAAGCAGCGAACCCGACAACGCAGGTAATATTAGCACCGAGATCTTTCATCAGTTCCTCGGTCATGGAAGTTTGCAGACTTGCTCTCGACCGGTTTGTCAAGCTGTAGTAGTGCCGGACCACATCCATGGGAACGAATGAGAGACCGGATCCCACAGCTGGGTTCCGGACGGTGGTCACTCGCACACAAATGTGGGTGGGCCGCGAGACATGTACAATACACGACCTGGATATCTGAGATATGTCAACACCTTGAGAAGTTCTTGGAGGACAGGTCGCACCTTGTACTCGGGCCCCGGTGCCTCAGCTTCGAGCGGGTTGGGTCGTTTCGGTAGAGCAGTTGTGTTTCCGGCGGCATGGAGAATACCGCGGTTCCGATTGAAAGGTACATCATCGGATGCAATGTCTGAGCGACTCAAACAATCACCGCGGCCAGTAAGAGTGATTGGTCCAGGGAATAGTGTGAGCAAGCATGAGCAACCGATTGGACTAAGCTCGTGAATGAATTAGAATACAAAAATGGAAGGAGTCCATTACGGTCGTGAAAACCAACGTGTCGCGATACATAGCAAGAAATTAACACTGTTGAACAAGGATAACGGAGACTCCATGCCTCTTCACATAGCAATGATCTTTAAAACCCGCATTGAACCGCTGGCTACAAAAGAACCATAACGCGGGGTACCGACGGAGGACGCATGCGGGAGGCTGAAGCGCTTGAGGAATATGCAGTCGCACCTACAGCCACGGCCCGTCGTTGGTAAGTAACGGGACGCTAAACACAGTGGTTTATAGAATTCTCTCGGCCAAACATTTTCGTAACATTAGAGCGGTTCAGCAGCAGAGATATACAAGACTGAACAAAGGAAGGTGAGGTATGCAGGACATGGTATTCACAGAGGATATGTACCATTATTGCCTCGAATGAAAGCATCGCCGTAGCGGTTGGTGACTGTGCCATTGACATATTCTTCTGTCTGTTCCAGAGCGATATTCATGTAGCCATCGAGACATGACAATACACCTTCTTGAACATGAGTTACGAGACCGATCATAGATATCCACCTCAAGCGCGTACCTCTGTAGTCCACACCCGATGTCAAACGTACAACTACACGTTTTCCGACAACACCCTTCAAGAAATCGGTAGGTGATCCCGCATTCGTTGGTGGAGGCGGTGGAGGGGAAACTTCAACCGGAGGTGGCGGAGGTGGTGTAGCGTCAGCCATTGGGGTCGTAGTTTATGCTTAAACACTAAGATGTTCTATTCAAACATCAGACATTCTTACTGGAAGGATAACAGGCTGCTTTCACGCACTTGGAAATGAATGCAACTGAACGGCGAAGAGCAAGCGCCTCATTGATACCGCTAGCCACAGCGGAAGCGGAATGTTTGGCGCTCCGCCAGAATACAGCCACTAGCGGGTAGCTGCAGATCTCAAAGAGTCATTGTCAATGCAGCTAAAGATAGATCTTTTCCTAATGACTATATAAATCTCCATGCTCTATGACCATTACGACCATGGCAACATCTCGAAAATACGACCCCCGTATGGGGGACGAGGAGAGTAACGAACCCGAACCGAAAGAGACTCGGTTTGACGAAGGTCCACCTCCTCAGAAACATGTTCGTATGGAAGCAAAACCGCCGGTTGGAAAGAAGAAGGTCCCCTCAGTGATGGAGAAAATCCTTCATTTCATTCCTATCGACATGAAATGGATCCCGGAGAATTGCTCATACTCGAAGCTCAAACCTGTCTTCCGGAGTGCAGTGATGGGCTGGGTGTCCATCATATTCCTGATCGTTCCCAGGGTAGCACAGGCCATGGGTCAGGTACGTCAGGATCGTATATTCATCTTACACAGGGCTGCTCAGTTATCAACATCGTCCTGACCATAAATGTAAATGAGAATACGGGCGAGGGCAGGAAGTGGAGGTGTTAATGGGGATTCTCAGTTCTTGCAGTTCAGTTCGGACAGCCACGGGCACAAACATATGGTGCTGACACCTATGGTTGCTGATGCCCAACGCGTGCATCTTAGCGTCTAGTACTTCCCCAAGGACTCAGGGGCGAAAACTTCGAACTGAATTTCATGAATTGAACAGACCCAACGAACGAGTGTCCATTTTCTTTGGCGCGATAGCCGAGGGAGAGAATAGGCAGATTCCTGTGCGATACGGAAGGCTGCGCATCCCCGCAAGTGCGTCTTGACCTATTTCGGATACTGGGCATGTAAAACGGTGTAAAGGCATGGTCAGGTTGCAGATCGGCCCTGCTCATCCTAGTCACGGAACCTTGGTCTGCATGGTAGCGGATGCACAGAGGTGAAATATGATGGGGCATCATGCGATGCAGGAGCGTTTTGCCAGCAGTCGCCGCCTATCGAGATTTTTTTGAACTCATAGATCTCGCGCAGAATGAATGCGTTTTAACATATATGCTCGCAGGGTGCTTGAGCACTTTGAAATCCATGGATTCCATTGTGGCGTTCGCGGAGGCTCGCTTTACGTCCTAAAGAGATTGGCGAAGCCTCTAGGGACACTCTCATCAGAACTTCTCTTCCTTGTTTTCATCAGGCTTAGAATTGAACGGCCCTGATTTAACACTTATGATTCAATACTGATCATACTTTTAGGCAGCGTTTCTTATCGTAGTGGGTGCGTGTCACTAATTGTTTATCTTTTCATTCGCATCTTCTCATTTCGTTCTTTTAGTCGCCTTTTTGGACCCACCAAGTGATCCGTTTATAGCGGTGCTCGAGCGCGAAGGCATCTTCTTGTTTCTCGTTTGCTTGGCTTGGGCGTAAGTGCTTGTAAGTCTAGGCTATCGATACGATACTGACTGCATTCTACAGGTGGAGCACCCTTGGAATCTTCCTTGCCAGTCTTGCGCGAACTAATACCGACGTTAATGCACCCTTCAATGAAATCTTAACCGCACGATACGTCGAGGCGGGCCCTACCATTATTTTCGCAGTGTTCATCTTCTTTGGGAGCAGTTTCTTCTTGTGGCTCAGAGTGAGACAAGGTCCTGGACCATTCATCTTCGGCACTGTGTTCTCTTGCATCTGCGTCGACATTTCTATGACCACGGCAGTTCTATTCCCATACGCTTACTATTCCATCGGTAGGGCTATTGTGGTACCCCTTGCTATCCATTCCGGTCTTTGCGTCCTAGCAGCGGCAACGATCTTCCCGGCGACCATCACCGCACGATATATGACATGTTTTGGACGTGTTTTAGAGCCTCTCAATGTTATACTTGCGCGTCACCGGGAAATCCTGGACATGGATCCCTCTTCGGAGGATTTCAAGTCCACTGCTGCCACCATTTCTACCATGGTGAACAAGGCCGAGGCAGCGTTGGCTTCTGCAGGTGCGGCGAATCGCTTACTGAAGCGCGACATTGTATGGGGGCGATTTGCACCTGGTCATCTGGCCGAGTTGCAGTGGTGGCTCCGGCGACTGGTGACAAGATCAAACGGTATGGGTGTCTACTTCACGCTGATCGATCCTACCCGTGAGAAATTCCCTGTTACGCCTGTGCCCTCTACGCCTGCGACGCCTGCCATTGGTACACCTGCTCCTTCGAGACCACCTTCACCCACTGGAGAACGTGCGGGTCGACCTGCTCGTCGACGATTACCGAATGACCAAAGTCAGTCTTCATCTCCAATGCGTCATTCGATTTCTCAACATGTAGCCCGTCATTTCTCTGCCGGAGGACATGTAAGACATCATCCTTCCCATCACGCGCACAACCTCCACTATTCGCTCTTACACCTTGCGCACAATCTCTCTCTTTCCCGCGTTTCTACAACTGCATCTGAGCAAGCCGTTGGTGTTTTCGAGTCTCAGCGGTATCTATACCTCGAGTCTACTCGATTGTCTGCCGCTCGTTCCCCAGAAGCCACGGCGTTGTTTACTGCGTTACTGCACGAAAGTTGTGACGAGTTGTTGGAGAAGTCGCAGAATGCTTTGAAAGGTGTCCAGGATTGGATAGGGGGCGTTCGTCAGAGTAGCTTTGGCAGTAGGAAGAAGATTGAACACGTGAGGAAGACGAAGTTGGAACATCTGGAGAGCTTGCATCAGTCGCTCAAGGAAGCTGTCGATCATTTCAAGAAAGAGAAGAGGTCGGGATCGACACTGTATGCATCTGATGACGTTTCGTCTCTGACTGTTTTATTCTAGGCTGCGAGTGCTTGATCCATATCGCTCAGCGTTCGATCCGAAACATATAGGGACATCGGACCGTTTCGAGGAACCTCCTCCACACAAATTCCTGTTTGATTGTTACGTGTACGAGTATCATGCTATGGAGTTTGCTAACCTCCTCGCCGAATTGGTGCGTCTTCTTCATCTACACAATGCAGTCGACCTCAACCTCACTGTTGTGGTCATAGTTGGGAGAGATTATCAAGCTGGAGAAAAAATGCACTAGGACTAAACTTTGGCTTCCAACCCTTTCTCTGACCAAATTTCTTGTTTGGAGTCGTTGGGATACAACAGAGGATGAACATGAAGATGACGAAGATCCCGGTACGTCCTTAACTTCAGCCTCACCTTTTCGTATCACTGACTCGCTACGTCACATAGATGTTATTCGTGGTCTTAACCCGGAAGAATCAGCAGATCTTGGTATTCCTCAACGGCGAAACCCTGATGCACTTCCACCATCAAATATCGTCGAGCAAATTTTCTCCTGGTTGTACCTGTGTTTTTCGACGCTTCTAAGTGGGAATACGTTGTTCGCGCTTAAAGCGGGCGTTCTCTCAAGTACGCGGTTTTCGATATTACTTGCTTGACTTGTGCATTGATGTTGATCATCCTTAGTTCTTCTGAGCTTGCCAAGTCTCCTTCGTAACACTGCTGAGTTTGCCTATGGTAGGTTCGAACCAACCACTGCCGGCTTCGTTGATATTGACTATATTTGCTTCTCTGCAGGACAACGCTTCGTTTGGGCAATGTAGGTCTTAAACTGACTGCCTTCGCGCAATGAATACTGATTTATATTCACCAGCTTTATGGGTCAACTCACCCTTGCACGTTGGCGTGGTGATACTACGTTTGGCCTTGTCTCGCGGATTTTGTCAACTATTTTGGGTAGCGCTGTCGGGCTAGCTGTATGGTATGACGCATATTACCTACCTTTGCAACTCTTGTTAATCAAAGCATAGGTATCTCTCTGCGGGCTCAAGTGACAGTAATCCTTACGGCCTTGCTGCCGTCTGCGCCGTCTGTTTCCCACTGTTCTATTTTATTCGATTGTATTGGCCGGGTCCTCCAATGGCGAATGTCATCTTTTTCGTCACTGTTGGTTTGGTACGTCTGTGTCTTGTCTTCCCAGCTCAACTTTACCCTTACCTAGGGATCGATAGGTCGTTGGCTATTCTTGGCAGAATACTCACTTCCCCTTCGGATTCCACTATTTCGGTTGGGATCTCGCTTGGGTAAGGTCTTAAATTACATCTTGATACAGAATCCCGTTCATTTGCATTTTAGAGGCGCTTTCTTACTGTTGTCGCTGGAGTCACTGCCGCTTTGTGAGTCTTACCTATTACTGATCATAATTCAATGCTTATCGTTCCTTAGCATATTCTCGTTCCTACCCCCTTCACACACTCTCCGAGGCTACCACCGACACATGATGGCCACAACGGTCGCGGAGCTCGGCTCGGCGTACTGTGCCATCGTGTCTTTTGCAAATACTCATCGGCAACAACAGCATGAAGTGGACCGAGATTCTATCATCAAGAGTCTTATTGGTATTCGATTGAAGTTGAAACGTTCGCTCATTCTCAAGACGAATATCGTCTACGAAGTAGGGTCTCCTACGTTCCATATTCTATCGTGTACCTTACTGAATCCTTTTTAGTTCTCGTTGAGAGGTAAATGGCCAGCTGAGAGGTATCAGAAGATCTTGGAGATACAACTGTGCGTCCCACTTTTTCTGCCTCGAGTTCGGCTGTTTATGTCTAACCTCCTCAGGCAAATTGCATATCTGCTTTCCCACCTCATGTCCGTTGTTGAACATCTGGAGCCGGCTTGGGCCCGAGCCTTCCTTCGCAGGACACGCTTCTTAGATTCAGACTTTCAAGGCGATGTCTTGGCAGTCATATGTATGCTTTGTATCATCTTTAAATAGTTTCGTTTGCTGATGCTTACGATGATAGCCTTGATCTCAACGTCTCTGCGGACGGGCAATCCTCTACCTCAAATCACACCCTGCCCTCTTCTTGACCGTTTCATGGCTTATACTCACGGTCTCAACGTCATTCGTCAGGAAGCTGATGATGATTATGGTCTTCCACGTACCATGACGATCGATACTTTGGAGAACGAACAATATCTGTGAGCCATATTCTATCTCGTTTAGTGACGAAGGGCTAAGGATTCCAACGAACTGTAGACGATTCTCAGTAGGAGTCAACACTGCATTTGGTATCGTCATGCGCCTTGACAGGCTTATGGTGGCCACGAAGGAACTGGTCGGAGAGCAATACCACATTCATGGTGTGGGGTTGTCTCCACTCAAAACCTATCGTGATCAATCTGGCTCGATCAGACCTGCAAAGGACGCTTAACGGACATTTGACTTTAGTACGCCATATAGAGTTAGCGGAATGGAGCAATACCAAACATCTCGAATGTATCTTACACGCAATGTATTCCTACATAATCTAGACGTTCTTCATACAACTTCTACTAGTACTACATATCTTCCAATACTTTGACCTTTATTGGCTACCTCTGTCTTTAGAGGTACCGACGAATTCGTCTTCCAGCGAGCGGCATACTCCACTGGCACGTGTACTCGCCTCATATCCTTCTCTAACTCAAGCTCCTCAGAATACTGAGAATTATCCTCTCTGCGACTTCCTTCCCGCATCTTGACACCCCAGCCCATGTAATATGAGACAACGAAGGTAAAACAATCTTTGTTTAAGGGTAGTCAGTCCATCACAAGAAAGTGACCTCATCCGACGCCATGGACTTGATTGGCAAGAGGGGGTTGGCATGTTTATTAACGAAAGAAAGCAATCCTCGTCATGGATGGTGAAGAACCTCTCGCAGTTGACGGTGCGTGCAGGCTGCCACAAAGATTATGGCGCCGTCTTGCTGATGCGCACCGATGCTGTTTCTCTGTGGCGGTGTAAAGTTGTTTGATGTCGATAGTAGCCTCTTTGGGTAAATTAAAGGTGGCAACCAACCACAAACTGGACGGCTCAGCTTGGCCACCCTAGGAATACCCTAGGAGCTTGAGGAGGATCGGCAGTGGAACTCAAAAGTCACTCTTACAGGTTTTGTGGAACCTCGTGCAGGAGACAGTTGCCACGAACGAAATACTTAGCAGCCATCGATGATCAAGCCACGCACCCCTCTTTGCCCCACCGTTCATGGTCTCGAGATTTTTTTTGCGATGCTATCTCTGGAGTCAGTATTGGAATCGTTGTCGTCGATCGTTGGCGCATCTAACGACATGTCTCAACGAGAGAGACATCTCGTGGGCAGGGGCAGTCGGATTCGAGCTCCTGGTTTGAAGACTTCTAGCGACGATCCATATTACCACAGGAAATCGGCAATGCAACATCCGTGCAGAGTATGTACGCAGCAAGACCAACCCTGCAGACCCGCCCTCTCGGGGAGTCTTCCTCCTTCTACCTGCAATTGATCTCCCACAGGAAATCCGACCTGGGGTTGTCGAGTATGTATACGATTACGATGAACTTCCTCGCCAACCTCCCTAGCAACATGGTGCTGGATACCACACCTCCGGAGACAGGTGCCACTATGACCCCGCCGCTGTCGCGCGTGAACGGCAGCTAATTAAATACTCACTTCTCAAGCCTAGTCTTGACTACTAGTAAGCATGTACAATGCCTCACTTCCAAGCTTGTCTCCCCCTGTGGATGCCTCATTCAGATAAATGACGACCATATCGCGCAGGTTTAGTTCCTATTCCGTCTGGATTGACCCTCATCCGTGCACCCGAACTCTGACATGTTCACGCCAGTAGACATCCAGAGGCTCCAAAATGTTATACAATGCTCTTGGAGTGATGACACCCACGGAGTCTACGGATCTGGACCTCTCGTCTTCCATGTTTGGTACGACAAGAGAGGCCTCTTGAAAGAAGAACGCACTCGTGCCAGTGGTGCATCAATAGCCAGCGCTGTCTCTTCTCTCGCAGGTATGCAAATTCAATTTAAAGCAGCACAAAGAATGCAAAGAACTAACATCCTTCGTTTCTCTTCTCTCGTTCCCCGCAGGTGGATACTCTACCCAAAGTCCGGTCTTCCGCCGCCTCTATTCCCCTCGTCTTTATTTCTATTTCATTTCATCCTTTCTCCTGCCAAAGGGAAGCAAGTCATATATAAGCAAGTGATTCAATATACACCTTCACTTTTCATTAGGCTCGCCACTACTCGGCCCCAAGGCCCACTAATGTCAGAGGCCCAGAATACCTAGGATGCGAATACACAGAAGGGTCAATGAATAACTCTGAATAGAGGCATTTTTGCGGCCGCTGTCACCACTGACCAGCTCTATATAAGAGACGATGCGCGAGGTCTGCTTTGGTCATTGCAGAACGGTTCCGCTCTTTTCATAGTCAACTTTACTGATATCAGCCAGAATGGCTTTCGCATCCACATTGTCGACATTTACCATCCTCGCGCTTGCTCTGACGGTATACGCTGTGACAGGCCCTGTTACTGACTTGCACATCGTCAACAAGGATATCGCGCCCGATGGCGTGAATCGTTCTACCGTGCTAGCAGGGGGTACATTCCCTGGTGCACTTATCACGGGACGCTTGGTAAGTATTATCTCATTCACGCCTAGCCATGCGCACCGAGGACCAACAGGGATTATATTCAACAGGGTGAAAATTTCCAAATCAACGTTACCAATGAGTTGACCGATGATAGGATGCTAACGGCAACCTCTATTGTACGTGCTCAAGAATTTTACCAAAGTGAACTCGGAATTTGACGTAGATGACCTCTGTAGCATTGGCATGGATTCTTCCAGAGCGGGACTAACTGGGCTGATGGTACCGCCTTTGTTACTCAATGCCCAATTATCAGTGGGAATTCGTTCCTGTACGAATTTGAGCTAGACCAACCTGGTACCTTCTGGTACCATAGCCATCTGTCCACTCAATATTGCGATGGCCTGCGCGGAGCCTTCGTTGTCTATGACCCTGAAGATCCCCACGCGCATCTCTACGACTTCGATGACGGTGAGCCTGCAGGGACCAGAGTTACCATTGTTAAACTGAACACCGGCTTTCGGCAGAAAATACGGTGATCACCTTGGCAGATTGGTATCATAATTTTGCCCGAAACGTGGTTTCCCCTGCGTAAGTGATTGTCAGTTAGCCGCAGCAATGTTAGCCCATTCGTATTCTTTCCAGCTCCCCCGATTCAACTCTGATCAATGGATTGGGACGGTCTCCGTCTGGACCCGCCGACGCTGAGTTGGCCGTCATCACCGTTGAACATGGCAAACGGTTCGTCTTAGTTTCCCATCTGAGGATTCGCCATACTGATGCAGACATCTAAAGCTACCGCTTCCGTCTCGTTTCAACCTCTTGCGACCCCAACTACAAATTCTCCATCGATAATCACACAATGACCATCATCGAAGTCGAAGGTGTTAACAGTCAACCCTTGGATGTTGACTCGATTCAAATATTTGCAGGACAACGATACTCTTTCGTCGTAAGTTACCTTTGACCATGATGCTCTGGTCGAATATCAGGCTCAACCCCTGGCCTTAGCTTCATGCCAACCAATCGGAGAGTAACTACTGGATCCGAGCAGAACCGAACCTTGGCGCGAATACTACTACCCTCGGAGGCATGAACTCAGCTATCCTCCGCTATGTCAAAGCACCCAAGGTGGAACCAACCACTGTTAAAACTCCGAGTACCAACCCATTGCTTGAGACTAATCTGCGACCTCTGGTTCGCACTCCGGTAGTACGTGTTTTGAATGATGGTGATGGGATACTCTATCTAATTTTCGATCCTCTTAAGCCCGGAAGACCAGTTCCCGGAGGTGCTGACATTGTGAAGACTTTGAATTTGACATTCGTGAGTAATACGTTCTCAACCAACTATGTATGATCTTTGCTCAAGATGACAACTTTCATTTCGTCAGGCCGATAACCTCTTCAAGATCAATGGCGCCTCATTCCAGAATCCTAGCGTTCCGGTCCTCCTTCAAATTCTCAGCGGAGCGCACAGCGCTCAAGATTTGCTACCTGCTGGCGGTGTCATTGAACTCGAGCAAGGAAAGGTTGTCGAACTCATTATTCCTGCACTTGCCATAGGCGGCCCACATCCCTTCCATTTGCACGGAGTATGCCTTCTTTTTTATTCACATCGCCTCATTATTGATTAACTTATACCCTGGCCATAGCATAACTTCTGGGTCGTTCGAAGTGCTGGCACTGACAAGTACAACTTCAAGGACGCGATTCTTCGTGACGTAGTCAGCATTGGAGCTCCTGGCGATGAAGTCGCCATTCGCTTCGTGGTATGTAGTATCCTTTCTCAGTCTCATTTGAATCGTTGTTCATAATATTTCGCGTAGACTGATAACCCTGGACCTTGGTTCCTTCATTGTCATATTGACTGGCATCTCGAAGAAGGGATGGCTGTCGTGTTCGCCGAAGGAATCAACCGGACTGCTATTGCAAACCCCACTCCTCGTAAATCATTTCTTGCTGCACCTGCATACAAATGACGTCGCTAATTATGGTGTTGTATGCAATATTTAGCTGACTGGGACCAACTATGCCCTAAATACAACGGACTCAACGCAACTGAGAAGGTGCAGCCGAAGAAGGGCATAGCTGTATAACATCAGGCTCCTAGAACCAACCTCTCGTATCTTGAAGGGGGACTCATTCTCAACAGAACGTGACGTGTCCATAGTGCTATAGCTGTTGTATAACCTTCTCAGGTTTGCTGATTCTAAATGCCACTAGTACTACTTCTCAATACTTTGACCTTCGTTGGCTACCTCTGTCTTTAGAAGTACCGACGAATTGTCTTCCAGCGAGCGAACTCCATATGTACTGGCCACATCTCCTTCTCCAACTCAAGCTCCTCTGAATACTGGGGAAATATCTTCTTCAGGGTTTCTTTCCACTTCTCAACACCCTGGCCCATGTAGTATGCAACAACGAAGTCCCAATACTCTGGGTACCAACCTGCACATTCGAAGTCCACCAAACCAGATAACTTTCCGTGATGTACTAAGATGTTATTAAGATGAATATCGCCGTGAGCAAAGCTTATCCTATGACGCTTTGCATAAGACTTCTTCCCGATCTCTTGTAGCCTCGGGTGGTGTTCGTATGCTATGCTGGTGTACAGTCCTTGCTGGAAAGAGGATATATCGGGATAAGGACCGAAGGCATCGCCATCCTGTTGAACTCGAAAACATATGCATGGACTACCGTCAAAGCTGCATACCGCGCGACGATCTGGCGTAGGGAGCGCATGTAACTGTCCCAACCAGTCCCTTATTTTATCCTCAAATTCTCGCGGCTTTACCGTACCGCGATCAAGGGCATCCATGATGTCTTTTCCTGGTAGCCGTGTCATGATAATCAATGAGCCTCGAGGATGAGGGACGAGATCCAAGACGATGGGAACCGGTATTGTCGTGGTTGCGGCAACATACATGGTGGCAAGGGCTTCAGATCGGCGTCGTCGAACATCCCCCCATTTTGCATATAACCCAAATGGAAGACCCTGGGTGCATCCAGAGCGATGATATGCCAAGAAACTAGACCAGCGAATCAACTTCTGGTAATACAATGATCTAACTTCAGGAGGACGCGTGAACCAGTGGTCTTTCCAAGACCTGCGCATTTTAGCATCATAATCACTACGTAAGCACAAAAATAAAGTAAGACGTACTCGGGAAGAATGCGTAGCCATCCATTCAGCTTCGGAGGTGTGTTTTCTCTGGAGATGTTGAAGGTACGAAAACGAAACAAACTTGAAATATGACACCAAAGATGTACCTTATTAACCGCAGCATCTCATCATCTGAAGACACTCGTGTGGAGAGAAAATCAGAGAGTTTGGCTTTACCAGGCATTGCGGAGGTGGTTGATCAATTCCGACAAAGCTTGCGTAGTGCGGCTAGTGAGGTGTAGTAGCCGGGATCCCGGGCCGGCAGGTGTCTTACAGTCAGTGCATTGCAACCTCGTTCTTCAACTTCTTCTTAGACCTGTAGCCTCTAAAATCTCAAGCTTTAATGTGGTTGTTACCGCTAGTATTGAGAGGAACTTTGTGCTTCATTGTTCAGGCCAGCAGGCTCCAGAATGCGAGCTGAGTTTCTTTATCACTTATCCGATCCACTGGCATGCACGTTTACGGTTTCACAACGCAGAACCGCACACGATATTCAAAGATTATACTTACACATCAGTTACTGGAAACGTCTACGCTAGGTACTCTGACTCTACTCAGGGATCACTTTCTAGATAACAAGGACCCTTTTGAGGAGGTCCTGGACTGTCTATGACTCATATGATGTCCGTCCTTTCCTAGACGATTCTTCACATGGCGACTACGCTACGATGCTGGATCTTTATCCTTGAAGATTGTTTTATTCTTGATCAGCCATTGTCCGAACTCCAAGACGTAGCTCACCAAACCCCCCGACGGCATAGCATTCTTTGAATACCTCACGCACCATCTGTGGACAACGACAATCCTCCCATCTGATGTCTCTCATAAAGCCCATGACATTCTGCGAGATCTGACTGCTCTCTCCTAGCTTGCGCCACAACCTTCGGCCTCGGTTTGAGCAACCGTGAGTGCAGTTCCAACCTTGTTGCGCCACATCTACCTGAACATCGTTTCTCGTTTAGTAGACACCATGCTTGATCTCGTCCCCTCTCTTCTGGGCCTTAAAGCGCCACCGTTACCTGTCGGTTCAATTTGTGCTTGTCTCTTTGCACGCACGTCGGCCCCTCATACATTTCACTACGCAATCGTTGTACCATTCAATGATAACACTGGCAGTCGCTTCGATGCTGTGAATACAATAGTTCAGGGCCAGGAAGTTTGGCAGTATCATAGCGTGGAACATACCATTCGCCAGTCTAGGCGAGCAACTATCGTTGTTAGGATTGGTGATCCGAACATCTGACATTCTCTTCTTCGCGACCTGACGGTATCAACTGACTAGGTAAGTTACGGCCAGGAGTAACGGCCGATTTTATCGATAACATACTCAGTCAAATTCCTATAGCGCCTGCTCCGGAGGATGCCCATGAGAATACATTCAACTGCGAGATATGGTTCCGCCACGCGATACGAGTGCTGCATTCTCGTGGCGTCATTAACTGCCCCAACCCGGTTGCTCTGTCTCGTGAAGTGTACCAGCTCGCTCTCACGAATGAAGTCAGAACCTCCAGAGGAAAGCATTATAAGGTCTATGAATCAAATGTTTCTTCATAGAGACTTCGGCACAAAGTCCGGGGAGGGTACCTACCCCAGGATATAGATTAGATTCATGCCGTGCATGCCGTCTGTTGGGACCATTTCAGCTGTACATTCATAGCTACCACCCAAATTTATAATTATTTTCCATACCTCCACTTGTTGACTTCGAGCAAACTTCGAGTGTTAGGAGTTGAAAGGAAGACTGGCTAAATAAGTCAACTTTAACCCAAATAAGGCAATTGCTTCTGAGAGACTCGGAAGTTGCATTGAACGGACAACGCGGTATGTATTACCTGCTAGATTTACGAGCGAGCGCGCAGGGCGAGTCGGGCGACGAGCAGAAAAGTGCATTGGCATACGTCGGGTTTTGTTCCTTTGAGTACGTACAAAGGCGGGCAAACGCGCAAGGTCTATACCACGAGAAAGTAGACTATCATTTAAGAACTACAGTAAGTCCGAAATCCCGAAATCTAGACCAATGTGAGTTCGCACTTGCTTGCCGGCTACATATTTCTACATTACCTTACTTCATCTCTAATATGAATATATGGGGTACCCAGTGCAAGGGCTCACAATAAATCAATTGATGCAACATCATAAGTTCTACTCGCACACTCCGGAATTCTAATAGCGACGTACACCAACACGAAGCCTGCGACATCACTGGGAAAAGCGACATCATATAGATAGAACACACACATAAGGAAAGTGGAAAACGGAAGTGTGATCCTAGTTGTTGGCTCAGTAGAAAGTGGCTTGAGCAAGCGAAGGCCATGCACTCGCTACGTTGCGGACGCCTCCGCCCAGAACCACATCATTTACAACATCTATGGAGTTATGAATGCTATAAGCGCGATGGCTCGCAGTGCATGACACAGTACTTACTAATGTGAACATAGTTTTCGCCGCTGAAGAAGTATGCAGCTTCCGCATTGTTCGGGTCGACAAGGATCCAATCAATGAAGTTCACAAAGCCGACTTCAGTCAACGACTTCCAGTGCCCGGCAATGGGGTGTGGTCCAGATATCACTGAGTCAGTTTGTTCATCTGTATGTCGGCAAAGATAAATCTACAAGTTTATTGATGAGATAGCTTAAGTAGACGTACCAAATCTGATTGTCACGTATTGGTCATTCAGGAAGACCCAAGCCACATTCTGATCGTCATGTTTGATCAGAGTGGCATCAACACTGTTAAATCCCGCCTGATTGAGCGACTTCCATCCCTTGACGATGGACGATGGGCCATGGACGTATGTGTCTTGTCCATTGCCCGCGATCTTGATTTTTCCGTATTCCTCACCCGAAAATACCCATGCAATGCTGGCGTCGTTGAGGGGGATAAACGCATCGACGCTATCAAATCCAATCTTGTCAATAGACTTCCAGTGAGCCCGGATGTTCTTGGGGCTGCCGACGAGTGAATCGCGACCGTTGGCAGCTAGTTCAATTCGAATGTATTGATCGTCTTTGGTGATCCAGGCAGCACCTTTGTCATAGGGAGCGTGAAGTGCGGCAAGAGGAGATCGTGTAGTTCGAACGGCCTGCATCGTCACCGTCAGTGGCGCGGATCATTGTAGAACGAAAAGACCTACCACGGCTGCGACCGGGGACAAGCACTGAGAGACACCCAGGAGTAGGAACGCGAACAAAGCGAAGGTTGCTGCAATCCAAAATCATATCAGAATGGCATCAAGATACCCAGAAAATACAGACACTGACTCATTGTAAGCACGGGTTTCAATAGTCGCGAACGAGATTGATAGAATGTGGGTCTTGTATCAATGCGCCTCGCTTCCAAGGTTGGCTAAGGAAAACCTGTTGAGATGAACTGCTTTTATACCGTGTCCTCACTCCTCAATGGGACAAGCTGACGTGATAGTTTCCTAAAGTGTTTCAAATAAGACAGCTTGAGCAGCCTGCAGTCATCTCAATACAATGAAAGTAGGAAGATGCTTGGAAGCAAACTTAGAACGGTTTGAATACGTGGCCCGGAGTTGCGAAAACGCCGATATCTAAGAGCGACGTATTGTTGGGCCCGAGAGGTAGTGGTGCGGGTGTGCAGTATGGACAAAATTGTGACGATGCTGACGTGCCACGGTACATTTAGACATGCTAGCTCACCGCTCTGCGCATAGCTCCGAGATGGATGTTGAACCCTGAACCAGTGGATATTGATCCGAAAGTCTTCCGCAGACATTGAAGAAAAGGAAGGGTAAGAGACGTCATTCTTTGGAATGGAATAGGCTGGGGAATGAATGAAGGAATGCTCACTACTGCAGCGGCGCCTGTGAAATAGCTCTTCGCTAGTTCGAGCTGTCTGCTTGAATTATACTGTGCAGTAATGGCAGGAGCCTATAGCACAATGGGAGCTGTAATTGAGAGAAGAAGCTGGGGTAGCTCCCATACTAAGAAGTTACGAGCCGGTATGCATTCCTGAGACACATTCTGAGGCTCGTACTGGCAGCATGAATTTCAAGAGACAGATGAATATCCCTAAAAAAAATGAAGCAGTTCTTAATGAACAGTGGTGTGTGTCTGACGTCGTTGTCAAATCCCCACTCTCAACGCACCTTATCATGTGCCTTTCCGTCCAAGATGAGATACGAGGAAGTGAGACACGTTCAGTTGTGCTCTTTTGTCAGAATCAATGGGCCGCTATTTTTTAATTCTCAGGGTTCCACGAGCTTGCGACAGGCTTACAGTCAGTCAAGTCGTAGGGGCAGCCAAGTGCCAACTGTCGAAGCTTGAGCGCTTGAGCACTGGTTCGCGTTTGCAAACAATCGAGGAACGTTGATGACAGCGCGTCTACGTTAGCCCTCTTAGACTAATTCGGCGTTGCATAACCCCAACAAGTAACTTTCGACAGCCTCAAGCCGCGCAATTGGACGACCTTCAGGTTGTAATCAGCTTCAAGGGTACATTGTGACAGATGTACACTCCTTCCCCATATTGTCCTCGGCCCTCGTCGTGCGTTGGCAGCCCATCGTGTAGGAATTGAATGTGGAGAATTGGACTTTGAAGCAAGAACCATCGATTGCAAGGGAGATGATACTTCAGGACCGTTACCCGTCAGTCAGCCTCTCGAGTCATGTACGATCGTAAACTTCCCCCGGTGAACTCGTGCCGATGCCATTGAAACGCATATCATGGCTGCCGTGCATCAAATCTTCCAACGGAGTTTTTACTGACCGGTCAGCCCTGACCCCAGGTCCACTAGCTGATCCTGACCTACCTTCCATTCCAGTCTTCCCGCCGCGTCTTGCAGAACTTAATGCCCAGTCGATCCTTAACATGCAATGTTTTAGTATTGTGGTCTACTTCCACGGTAGAGGTTCGCTTTCGATCGTCCATGAAGGAAAACGACCTCCTTCAATCCTTGTTGAAAGCGTACCGTCAAGATGAAACTAGCAATATCATCATTGATGCTATGTCAGGCGGTTCGTTCCTGTCTTGGTGTCTTGCGCTCAAAGTAGTGAAATAATAAGTTGGTGGCGGCTGACATGCGACGATCGTCGTGTTCTCAGGTGCATCCGATCGCGGTCCTAACAAACAATCCCCTACACCAATGGTATAAAACCAGGCCCTCTGTGTCGACGGTTCTCCATCGCAGGTCGGTCTTCACTTCTATCCTTTCGCGGTTCCATTATATTCAACCTTTTCTTACCCTTTCATCTTCGTCCTTTTCATTCTTAACGCATCACTCTTTACGTTCTTACGATCATGCCTTTCCTGAAATCCAGCATCTTCGTCCTTGTCATCTCCGCTCTTGCTACCTTCACCGTTGCCGCACCCGTCGTCGTCGCCCCAGGTTGTGCTGGCCAAAAGCTGGAAAACGGCAACGGCAACTGTACACCATGTCGTATGTACCTTCATAGGCGTTGCTTACGTTGTATGGACTCACAAGCATGTCTTCAGTTGGTATTGCCACCTGTGCATACGACGTCGCAAACATGCAGTGTGTCAACAAACCCGGGGGTGCTCTCCCAGCTACTCTCACCACCGATAAGACTCGGTGCCCGACGCTCTCGCAAATTGCTCAAGTATGTGCAGTTCTTTCCAATCAGAAGAACTATCTTGCTGACTGCACTGAATATGCAGGAGAACCCCAGTGTTGCTGATCGTCAGAAGGCCGCTGCCGAGTTTGCCAGGATGAAGAACCACATCTTCGTCGGGGAGAGTGACCCCTCATCTGGACGGCACACGTTTACTGCCTTCCGGGCGGCGAACAAGGATGCTGGCCGTTGCGACAAGGAGACCAATCTTTGCGCTTTCAAGGTATTCTACATCTAATCCATCGTTGATATCCATGATTGATGTTCGTTCTCTTGTTACGCAGTTGACGGCTCAGACTCCCAAGACCGTCTGGGATGACCGTGCAGGGAAGTACACCAAACAAGACGTGGAAGACATCTGTACGACAGCGATCACTCTCAACCTCCTGCACAACAACAAGGCTGCCAGTCCTGGATCGTTCGCCGTCCAGACCAAGTTTGGCAAGTCGATTTGCGTTCAACACTTTGTCACTAAGAGCAACACGCCTTCGTGCTTCCCCCTTGGTATTCACCACGCCACTCAGTTCCCCGTTGGCAAGCCTTGCACCTTTACCGGCAATGATGCTAACACTCTCACCGTTGAGGTCCCTCAAGGTACCAGCTAAATGATTGGAGTTTGCGTAGATTATGATTTCGTATATTGTCGTAGTATGTAATTGGTACGCTATCAGGAGGATAATGGGTATTATGTTTGGAACCACGAAATATTTGAGAAAGTGAATTCGGCGTGACCCATGTATCAGGCTGTGGCAATCACAGTGGACCCGCGACCGCATACACTCCATTGCATCGCAATTGTCGCGCAGTGTCATCTGAAGCGAACCATAGCACGGGCCCAGAAATAATAATCTTATAACATCCTCTCCTGCCGAAGAATCCTTTGTACTGAAGTCATGTGGACACGCTTCGAACTTGGGCGTCTTGTATTACACGCTATAGCCTTCTCAAACTGATTGTTCGTATTCAATTCACTCCGTCCCTCAGTAGAGTGGTAGTCATCATAGTTCTAAATTCATCGTCTAGATAGCATATTGCAGGAAGCTAATGAAACACATTAATCATCCAATGAGCAAATAGCATGATGGCAAGGGCAACAGATACAGCAACCACCACCGAAGAAACTTTCTTTGAGCTCCTTTAAATACTCCCCATCTTCGGGGACGAGTTCGAGCGGCCTCGCCTCACCATGCTCGACTGCTCGCCAGTACTCCAGGATGTGTGGGTACTGGAATATCTCGATGAAGATATGCTGGAGAGTTGTCGTGCCGTCTTCGAACCGCCTAGCCAGGGATTGGGTATTATACTGCTGAAGCCAAATGCTAGTCTGGTCCTCAGGTGGCATCTCCAATCCCAAAATACCTCTTTCTGCACCCAAGCGCATATAGCCAATCTGCTCTAGTGGCTCCCATGTAAATTTGAAGGATAGGGTTGAGACGCGCGTGTCCTTGATGCAATTTGCTACACCGTCGAAGAATTCTACCTGTAAAATTCATATCTTTCAGAGGCAAGTTTATATATGACTAGAACGTTTATCTGCTTACCACTTTGCGTTCCGTTATTGACCGCGCCTCTTCGTTTCCGTTGGGAGTCCCACGAGCCTCCAGATCGACCATGGTTGCACCCGACGCACGAATGACATCCGACAGTACAGACAAAGAACAGTAGTTGATGTCAAGGTTAAGGTGCAATGTCGAAGGACGAGCCGCACCACAGATGGCTATCAGTCTGTCGCGATCTGCATCTTGTGGAGTTAGGACTGCAATACAGAGATAGCCAACCTTGCACGATAAGGCCAGACCGTAGAGAATGTGAGCAGAGGACGACAGCTGATCCAACTCCTTCCACCCCTTTCCTTCTAGAGTCCGTAGACTACTTTTATGCAAGTTATCCGTCCATTCCGCAACTTCTCCAGCAGGAATTCGGACATCGGAGATATGGAATCTACGAAGGTTGGGGAACGATGTGATTAGTGTATCCACAGATATGGACTTGACTGTTCCTCGGATAGACAAGTTCCTCATCTTGGGAAACACCACAGGCTGCATAGGATCTATACATTCCAAAGAAACGAGACTGTTGCACTCCAGATCGAGGTCCTCGAGCGTTGCAGATTGGCTAGCAAGGGTATCCATGAGATTGAACAAATCTGATCGCAGCTCCCGCAGGTGCATCGTCAACGTCGTCAGAGCCGGCTTGAAGTTCTTGAGTAGCGTCATGGTTGCTGGTACCATGAACTCTGCGAACTGGAGCACTCGCAGACCGGAAAGTTGGGCAACCTTCGGAGCTAAATAAGGTGTTCGATACAATCCTTGTGGCAATATTAAACGTTCCAAGTTCTTAGCCTTCTCGAGTACGGCCATGAGTAACTCGACGGAGAGTCTGTTGTACCGTTCTCTCCTACGCAGGAGACCGATTTCGAGTATCAAATTGCGGAAGTGGAATAGGCGTTTGCCAGACTTGGCCAACACGAATTCGCAGAAAGATTGCAGATGCTTGTTGTCGGCGGGGTCTTGGCTAAGTCTAAGAGTAAGACTGGGGTCGCGCAGCAAGAGGTGGCTGCAAAGGTCGTGTATCTCCTGACAGCTGGTTAACAGCCCAAGAGCTGCGACTGGACCATGGTCAGTGGCAAGGACGTCTGCTATTTGAACAAGAACATCAGTGGTGAGAGACATCCTAGGAGGAAAGCTTTGCTGGAGATTATCAGAATTGTGAGAGAGGATAGCAGGGTAGTAAACAGGGTAGAAATCGAGCTGTGGCATTGATGGTTAGGCTGGCGACTTTTATAGGCCCATCCGCAACCCGGGCTTTGACCGGCATGTTGGCCAACGACCAAAGATCCGGCTTCTAAGTCAAAGAAGGGTTAAGCATGAATCCTGAGCCACACCTTTGTCTTGATTCATTTCCAACACACTGATTGCGGAGGACAAAGGACCGCCAATTGTTTTTATTCCTTTACCCTTGCCGAATTCGAGTATGACGACCCTACGAATCTAAGCCGGTAGAAGTCAACTGTGAGATAACAACGGGAACACTCTTCCGTGCGACGTACAAGAAAAGGGCCTGGACCCGTAGGGGATACGGTTCTACATACGAGATTTGACTATGAGAAATAAACGAGGGACAGTTCACGAGCCGCGGATTATAGTGCACACACGCCATATGGTAGATGAGGATGAACGCGATTCCAGAGATTCCAACTTGAGACAAAAAACAATCGATTCCGACGAGAAAGACCAGGAAAGTGGTAAATGAGGTAACAAGCAAGAACGAAAGAGACCAAAGCAGATGAATGGAAGATACCAACGCGTTGAGGGGGATGAGAGAGACAGTTCCAGATCCGACTAATATGTACACCATGGCAGTAACGTAGAGAGGCATCACGGGGTAATCCACATTGGGCAGTAAGTAACGACGTGACATAGCCTAATCCAATCGCTTCGGGATTTCACCAAGTGGGAGCGTGAACCAGGAATCTTCCCTCGTGAGGAGTTGAGCCATGCCGCAGTAGTACGCGATGAGAGCTGTAGCAATCCCCATAGCACCTCCAGCTTTGGTCGTGGCGACGCTAGCTTGGAATTCACCTGTAAGACAAAAAAGATGATCAGCACTAGATTCGGTCCGAACGGAGTTTAAGTAGACATACCGATGCCGAGAAGCATGAAGGTTATGGTGAGGAATCCGAATAAGAAGCACAAACCGACACTACGACGGAGCGCGGCGATACTGGACAGATTATAAGTCATGGTTGATCCGGAATCGTGGAAAAGCCGGAGACTTACAAGAGAAGGAATGTGACCGTGAACCATGCCATCAAATAGATACCCACTGCACTGGCAAGCTCGGTTGGGCTGCCCTCATAGGCAGCGAGGATACCAGAGTTAGGGATGTAGATGGTGGCAAATGACATCCAGAAGGCGCCGTACGATGTGAATGCTAATGAGTAACGTCAGATTAGCATCGAGGTCGGTATAACACAATGGAGGCGACGTGAGACTGATCAAGAGCTCATGAATATGATCTTTGAGTGCATGGGAAGAGAAACCATGGTGGGGGAAATGTCGATGACGTGGGAATGACAGACACGGGGAGGAAGAAAGGGGGACACTCAAGCTGGGAGGGGTGGTGTACTTACCGGTAGCACCGAAAGTGTTGCCTGCAGGGAACTCCCACATACCAGCAAGGAATTGAGCAAGACCTCCACAGAAGAGGGCCATGCCAACGACGATATTGGGGGTATTGATGCCGCGTGCTTGAAGGTTGAATAGCGACAAGATAAGGGTGGTCGATGCGAAGGACCATAGGCCCCTGCGAAGGAGAATTAGCTGGACAACTCGCATTGGTGCGCAGCATCGTGCGCGATGGACTCAAGATGCACTTACAGAGGACCAGGATTAGCGAGTCTCTTCGGGGCTCTCGCACCACCAAGAGCCTGGCGGGGAGGGGTCGCGCCGACGGTGCCTGTTTCTGCTTTCTCGAGATGCGACATGTTGAGGTTGGGAACTTGGTCGATAGCGTCCGTGGTTAGGAAGGAAGACGGAAAAGAGAAAGCAACAAAAAGGCGCGAGATGGGAAAGGATGCGACCACAAGCTTTTCGCCTCGAAAGCGCTGCCCTTTTTGAACACCGCTTATATAATCAACGGGCGGGCCTTCCCCAACGCGCGCCTCACCAACGGTTAGCCGGCTAAGCCAGGTGGGGACGCATCTGGGGAAGGGTAAATCATTAGGGGCCACGCTAAACGCAATTCGGTCATGGTTGCAGTCGGTATAGCTGTCAGCTGATGCCCCTGTCCTCAGCGACAACAATGTTCGGCACCCGCGACACTTGCAATTGAGCGCCCTCATAATGGAAATCATTGAACAGATGAACCTGATCAAACAAGAGAGATGCAAGACTCATAGCAGTATGCTCAGCAAGGCAATGTCCTCAGAGAAAAAGGTACATACGTAGGAACAAACGAGTAATAGTAACAGTGTTGCGCTCTGCAGTGCCTTGCTTGAGGCTCCTGTGGATCCCGTTCCCCGCATGCCAAGGCAACGTATCCCCAAAGTACCCCGGAACGAAGCTATACATACTCCAGACACGGGTGTCCACACCTCGGACAAAAGAATTCCATGAGAAGCCGGGAGCGGAGTCTCGCCCTTTCTAGTCAGCATTCTGAGCAAACCGTCAGAGCGATAGGGACAGCGAGACAGCCCGTGTGGTGCCGCCGCAACTCCGCTCGACGGTTTGCTCAACATACTGACAGTTGTCTCTTTGAAGACGGTTTCCGGCCTGGGTCCGTCATAGAGCAGCTGAACGTATCCGGGAGACGCAGGTGACCTCGTCCATTCCAGAACTGTTCTTGATTGGCCTTGTATGGTTAGATCCTCATCGTTTGTAAAAGTCGAACATATCACCTAGCGGCGGCAGGTCGAATAATAGGTGATGATGACACACGTCGGCGTTGAAATAAAGCAGAAGCGGGACGCGCGATCTCATGTAGGCAAGTAGCAGGCACGAAGGAGGAGCCAAGAGAGAGGTCATAGGATACCAAGGTAAGCGGAGGAAGGAAAGCCGAGGACTTTTGCCCGCAAACGCGCTTCAGGTTCGGCCGTGAGAGCGACAGGATGCGGTAGGATCCACAAACACCAGAGCAGACTTGTGGGGGAGAGATACCAGCGCAAACAGGGACTGTCAGGACGCGTTGATGAGGAAAAGAAGTTCAACGGGAGGCAAAAGGCCATTGGTTATATACTCCTCTCGCCCTCCGGACGAAGTAGGATTTCCATTGTATGCCCCGACTTGGAACGATCTTTACTCGCCTAATCCGACAATCCCGAACACCAGTCTGGGCACAGTTCGGAAGATATCGCGCAACGGGATCAACAAGCGCTCGGCAGGCGCCATCATTTCTGGAAAGTTATACTCACGATCAGTCAACACTTGTAGTCGCAGTAAGAAATCAATTGTTAACAGTCGGACGCACTCGGAACACAAATATAGCAGGGCGTCGGGATCCCGCCCCTTGCCCGCCCTTACCGCCTTCCCTCCAATATGAACATACCTGCAATATTCCCCCCACATTCGCTCGAATTTTTGAGCTGTATGGAGCAGAGGAAGAGTTTGTATACAAGAACAGACCTACCCTGCATTCCGAGTTGTACCGCCAATGCAACCAAAGACCTCTTCCGCCCAATTTCCGGTCACGCTGCGAGTTGCACCCAGAACAAGGCGCTTCTGAACCGTTTGATGCTACGACAAAAGTCGGAAGAGGGACCAAAGAGAATATAAAGGCGCGCGGGAGAAGGAAAGACTCGGTTTGGCCCTTCTCGAGTAGACGATACTAGTAGGTGGTCGCTCGGCGCGCTAAAGTCACCAGTCCTAATGGTTTTGTAGACAATGTCAACATGTCAATGAATGGATTTACTACCATAGTCAATAAAGTTTTTTGAGATAGCATATACAGTACTATACCTGTGTATACCCGACAGCGAGATCACTTTGTAAATGGTGGGTGGCGGTATAGCAGCCTCAGATGATCATTGTCTGCGCTGCAATCAATCAGTCAACAGAAATAAAAACGCACAATATGGAGGAAGGAAAACAGTAGGAACACGAAAGAGATGACCGTGGAGAAAAGGACGATGCGGAGAGGAGAAAGGCTGGAGAGCAGTGCTGCACGTCGCCATTGCTGTCCCCACGGTTGCAGCTGGGCGGTGTCGGCACTGGGGTTCTTGGTTTCCAATTCTGGATACCGACATTGTTCGGGATCTTCCGTCAGACCTTCAGGTCTGGTTCCGCGCTTCTTCAGGAGTCTGCCACAACTGAGGCTTCATGTTAACTTTGTCACTACGTATCTTAGACCTCCTCAGAGCCACAAGACTTTGAAGCTTAGGATGAGGGCAAATGCTAATACGATTATTGTGGACGAAGAGCTTATTCTCGTCCCGTATAGGTAGGCGTCTTCAATATGTGAAGGTTGAAGGAAACATAATAACTGATGAGTTATCTCTTTCTAGGGAAGAACATGTTGCTGTCAGTACAGCTGTCTGAACATGTGCTTCAAATGAGACCTATTTTCATTGGTTCCCATAGGTAGAAGTATCATGAGTGGATGTTGAATCCCGAACTTCGCGAACTCACTGCAAGTGAGCCCTTGTCACTCGAGGAAGAATACGAGATGCAGAGTAAGCATCTTGGCATCTTTCTTGGCTTCTCTGATTGCTAATATGTTTCATAGGAAAGTGGCAAGATGATGAAGACAGTGGGTGCTTCTTGCCAAGGAAATTCCCGCTCTGTTCTGATGTACTTCCAGAGCTGACTTTCATTATATGCGTGCGAGAGCCAAATGCAAAAGCAGTTTGGGCAGCCAACGATGGCTCGACGCAGACAACAGCATCGCTGGTCATGATCGGTGATGTGAATCTGTTCTTCAAAGGTTCTCCTCTAGACGAAGACTTCGAAGTCGAAGCAGAGGTAATGATCGCGGGTGTGTACCATCAGATTTTTGAAATTGTCTTGCCTGCCTAAACTCTTTTGCAGACCCTGCATACCGACGACGTGGATACGCCTCTCGCGCACTCCAGCTTTTGCTGTCATATGCGACGTCACCGAGTTCACCGGCCCCACTCCCAATCCCTCCACACGTTTTGGTTGTTCGCATTGGCGAGGGAAACGGAGCTAGTCTACGTGTTTTCGAGAGATTAGGATTTGTCATTACGAAGAGGGTTGAGGTCTTCAAGGAGCTAGAGATGCGATTTCGTGGGAGCACAGACGTGTGGAAGCAAGGTGTCGTGAGACCATATGATGAACTGCCTTGTTTTTAGAGATGGTATTACTCGCATCTACGGATCTCCATCTAATGCTTGCTACTGGCTGGTGCAAGTTTCGGTATCGAAACGGTACTCCGTATAATGAGCTGCACTGCAAAGCGTCATCTCAACCCATGCGCTTTATGTACTATGCCAGCCTTGTGATCAGTGAATTTCTTTTCGCAGTTGCGATGTTCCCAAGCTGCTCCCAGGGGCATCCTTCCCCAGATCAACCCCGTCAGAAGCCACTAATTTGGTGGGGTGCGGGGTACCGCTTATCAGTTGCTCTGGGCCAGAGAATATTAATGCGGGGAAGCGCGGACACATGACTACACATCACTACCCCTCTCTTTCGTTCGTCATATCGCTTTAGCGTCGGCGTCGGCAGCATATTCGCTTTTTACAAATGAACATTTCCCTTCTTCCAAAGATCTAAGAGTGGAACGTTGATGGACTAATTGAAGAGGACGCTTAGGTAATAAGACTCCTTGAGAAGGACCTTTCTTCACATCAGGATCCGTTCGTCCTTTTTTTGCCATGGACACCGTCTAAATGTGGGTCCGGAATCCGATAGCCATTCTTACAGATTGGAACTAGCAGAAATTATTCTAATGACGAGAAGGGGCATATGACCGTTGGCGTCTTGGTTCCAGGATCCGTCTATATAAAGGGGCAATATGGGTTATCCGTTCCCCACACAATCCCCTTCCAATACCCATCTCTAACATGCCTTCTACGTTCTCATACCAGTTCGATACCCCCTCACACAAGGGAATCACCGAGTTCTCAACTGGTTTGTTCATCAACGGCGAGTTCGTTGATGGCTCCGAGAACAGTACAATTGAGTAAGTTCATCGCGCGAGCTTTGTAGTGCGTTTTGACCAGCTAACCATCGCATCTGCAGCGTCATCAACCCTGCGACTGGCAAGTTGATCACTAAGATCTCTCAGGGTACTCCCAAGGATGTCGACCGTGCTGTCGCCGCTGCGCAACACGCTTTCGAAACTAGCTGGGGTCTTAAGTGTCCCGGCGCCGAGCGTGCCAAGCTCATGAACAAGCTTGCGGATCTTATGGAGGAGCATGAGGACGAGCTCGCAGCTGTCGAAGCTCTCGATAACGGCAAGACGTTCTATTGGGCGAAGAACGCTGACCTCAAGGGTGCCATTGACTGCATTCGATACTATGCGGGCTGGGCAGACAAGATTCAGGGCAAGACTATCGAAACCAATGATGGCAAGCTCGTTTACACCCGCCACGAACCATTGGGTGTCGTTGGTCAAATCATTCCCTGGAACTTCCCTCGTAAGCATGTTACCCTACCCCTTATTGAGTCTTGATGCTAAATTATTCCATCAGTGTTGATGCTTTCATGGAAGATCGGTCCTGCACTCGCAACTGGTAACGCAATCGTCCTCAAGCCCTCAGAGTTCACCCCTCTCTCTGCCTTGCTCACGGCCAAGCTCGCGAAGGAGGCTGGTTTCCCTCCTGGTGTTTTCAACGTAGTCAACGGCTACGGCGCTACTGTTGGCGCTGCGATCGCAGAACACATGGACATCGAGAAGGTACTCATTCATTTTCGATCGTCACAGAAGCTGGGATATTCACGTAAGCTTTTTCAGGTCGCCTTCACTGGTAGCACCCTCGTCGGCAGAAAAATCATGGAAGCTGCTGCCAAGACGAACCTCAAGAAGGTGACTCTCGAGCTCGGGGGCAAGAGCCCGAATATCATCTTCGACGATGCTGATCTCGAAGCCGCCGTCAACTGGGCTGCATTTGGTATCTTGTAAGTGCACACCATTCAATCAAGTCGTTTTCCATCTGATCCCGTGTTCAGCTGGAACCAAGGTCAAACTTGCTGCGCTGGTTCTCGTATCTTCGTGCATGCCAAGATCTACGATGAGTTCCTTCACCTATTCACGGAGAAGGCGAAACAGGTCAAGGTTGGCGATCCTTTCCACCCTGACTCGAAGCAAGGACCTCAGGTATCAAATGCCCAATTCGATGTACGTACTTAAGGAAAGTATTATTCTTGTTCCGGTGACTAACAGGATTCTCTGCAGCGTATCATGAGCTACATTGATTCTGGAAAAGACGAGGGTGCCACCGTCCACCATGGCGGCGTCCGTGTCGGCGACGAGGGATACTTCATTTCCCCGACCATCTTCACTGACACAAGGCCAGACATGAAGATCGTCAAGGAGGAGATCTTCGGTCCGGTCGGTGTCGTGATCAAGTTCGATGATGACGAGGACGTTATTCGTCAAGCAAATGACACAGTCTACGGCCTTGCTTGCTCCGTCTTCTCACAGAACATCAACCGTGCACTTGAGACGGCACACAAACTGAAGGCCGGAACTGCTTGGGTCAACTGTGCGAATATGCTGCACGCTTCTGTTCCTTTCGGAGGATTCAAGCAGTCTGGAATCGGACGCGAGCTTGGCGAGTACGCTCTCGAAAAGTATGTTGTATCACCATGACCTTACGTCACCTCGTGCGATACTAATCATTCCTACTTCCGCAGCTACACTGCCGTCAAGGCTGTCCATGTCAACTTCGGACACCAATGGTCGGTCGCGTAATCGTTCCGTTTCGTTTTCATTGGGATGGGGATCCGGAGTAAAGTGAAGAAGTGTCATCGTATCATATGTATTTTCTGTTTTGTTGCTGTATCTCTAGCGCCTCTCATCTGGATTTCAATTCTACGCAATACCTCATACGTTGCTCATGTTGTGTGATTTCTGAATGCATTTCTTGAACTAAATGAACGCTCGGACCGCCTATCCGCAAAGGAGGCGCTCAGAGTTCCATTAGTATTATTCACTCGTCCGACCGCCACACTTGAACTTGCAGGTCAACATCGTGCAGGTTGCTCATGAAGGTACTGCACGACGTTGGGAATGCGCACGGTTAAGCTCGTTGTCATTGGCCCATCTGGTGTGGGCAAAACAAGCATAAGGAATCAGGTGTGTTTCAGAACTTTCGAGGCTAATGTCATTCACTCAAAAGGATGGAAACAGTACATATCCGGACGCTTTACAACGGGCTATCGTGCGACCATTGGCGCAGACTTTATCACGAAGACACTTCCACACCATAGCAATCCGGATGAATCTGTGACATTGCAAATTTGGGTATGTCTGTTCAGTCTCTAAATTCTTAACAAGAGGTCTCACACGACACCTTGATCAGGACACTGCAGGACAGGAGAGGTTCTCCAGCTTATCTTCAGCATTCTTCCGAGGCGCAGATGCAGTTCTTCTCATGTTTGACGTCAATCAACCTCAAACTCTTGAGGCACTGACCAAATGGTGGAACGACTTCAAAGAACGCGCCCCAGTATTGGATGAAGACGCCGACAAGTTTTGCTGCGTTGTAGTTGGCAACAAGATTGACATGAATTCGGCTGGCCCGTCAAGAGTAACTGAGGAGCAAGCATTGCAGTTCGTAGAAAATCTCATTCCTCCGAGCTCAAACTCTTCATCTCCACAATCGCCTGAGAATGCTCAGCGCGCTCCCGTTGGAGAACCCATCCCCTCACTGCTGCTAGATGGTGCCGACATACACGAGCTACGCACAGATGCGTTCGATACCGAAGCTATTCCTATTCTCCGTCCCCGTAGAACTGCTTCAGCTTCCCGTTCCCGCAGTCGATCGACCCTTTTTCGAGGAAGTACATTTGGCACGATGACAACGGCAACACATAGTATCTATCACACGCCCTCTTCATCTCTGTTTGATAATTTCGAGTCGGCTCGTGCATCTCCCGCTCCAACCTCATCGCATACCATCTCTCGATCTCCCTCGCGTTCACCTGTGCGACGAATGCCTTCCGTGTCCTCCATGTCTTCGGCACCAACAATCACACCTAGCTTATTCGGGCGCGGTCAGGCCACCACAGCATGTACTACTCCTTCATCCGTCTCGCCATTACCTCCTCCACCGGAACGTCGCCCGAAATTGTTCTTCACATCAGCCAAAACTGGTGAAGGCGTCGCCGAAGTTTTTGAATATATCGCGAAGCGTGTGGTGGTGCGATGGGATTACGAAGAAGCCGTTGAAGCACGGACGCTGCATTTCCAGGATGCTAGCGTTGACGAGACTATCCGACTAGGCCTGTCATCGTCGGATCGCACTTTGTGGAAGAAACCATCATGTTGTGCTTCGTAGTTTTTCTTTGGTATGTACTCCACCCATTCGAGCGTAATCTGCCATCTTTAGCCTTTCGCTTTCCGCTTCGTGGTTCTCAACCATATGTATCCGCATCTACTTGGATTTTCTGTAATTTATACATGATACCCATACAGACGTCTACGCTCACTCATTTTTTGGTTGACATGTAGTTCTCTAGGTACTGTACAATCACACACCTTTGGGTGAATTTCCCATAGACACAAATTCTTGACTAAGAACATGTTCCGTGGGCAACGCCATCTACCTCAATGACGGCAGAGGTCGTTGAAGGTCCCGAGTAGCCTGGAGTGCCGTCGACTGACATTTCGCCACCCCTTAACGACCCTAGATAGTTCTTTCCAGGTAATCATCTATGACTTATTCCCTTTCAGAAGAATCATTGTCAGGCAGATCATCGGTAAGAGACGGTCGAATGCTTTGCATCATGTGCGCTTCATCGATCATCAGCTACCTCTAGAATTACATGACAAGCCAGTGATTGACTGTTTGGATTGATTCTAGACTGGACAACTGGGTGTTCTCGACAGCACCTGTAATGACTACTTTGTAATTTACTTCCGAATGGTAGTCCGCATTTACTTTATAGCCATGGTCGTGGTTTCCCCACTTGTCCTACCAAGACTCAATAAATTTTGTTCTCCGCAACTCCGTGAGCCATTCTTTCACTCATTCACTTTGCTTTTCCTTATGCAACCTTGCAGGTCACGACGCAGACGCCCAGTGAGGAATACTGTCATGCCAGGATGAGGGTCACCAAGCCAAGTGTCAAACTTCTACTGACAAACTGACGACTCGATCCAGGTGAGGGTTCCTTTGTATCCATATTTATTGAGAAACATCCAGGATGTGGCATGAATCCAAGCCAAGTTCGTGTCAATCCAGTAATTACTATATCATGATAATCCTCTACAAAAGCTAAGACCAGCAAGTCAATTATATGAGACCTCACATTTATTTGGAATGCGGGGATCCATACAAGTTATCTACTTGTAGAAACAAATATGAGTTGATCAGGATCTATGTGACGAGATTCACCTTATATTGTCCTAAGTATGACCAGTATGGACTGACTAGATGGATAGTAAGTTATAACGGAACATTGAATGAATAAGTCACGAACATCAAATGAAAGGTGCTCTCCTACCAAAATCAATTATACGAATCGGATTCTTGACTTCAACCAATGATGCCTGCATCGACGAGACAGGTTCCAATGATTCCGATCCCTGTCTTCAGGATCAGTTTTCATGCAGGAATTCCAACGGATCTCGTGACCAGGCCAACAGCTGCCGGCAAATTTGCATCCGCGTAGCCTCTAAAATTAGTACGACTCCTAGCGGGTCATCCATCCTCCCCTCTATAGACCTGTATATAAGTCTGCCTGGGGGAGACTGTTGGAATATGGATAAAGCAGCGAGCGTCGCTATGTGCAAGGAATGAGAGGAGCGGGACAGAGTCCCGCATACTTGGCATATTTTTGTATACAGTATAAGTAGTTTACTTACTTTGTATGTACCCCATCCATTTGCCTCAGAGCTCTATGAGGTCAAACATACCAACTCGCTTTCCTCCCATGCAATGTGTATTTCAATAGAGACTAAACTCCTAGGTGTTGTATCTCTTGTTTCATTCCAGCACCATCCTGTCATCTTCAGTGTATGTATAGTCATCTAATGCTTATCATAGTTTCATACTCCCATCACCCTCCCAAAAAAGCTGTATGGGATAGGATATTATCACTGACATGCATGGTAAGGTCAGTAATATAGCGTACTAGGCCCCAAGCAACCTATAGCCTCTTGGTTCTCACTGGCAATATGATCATGAGCAGCTTTGGTGCATGTGTTAGGTACTTCTGATGGAGTCTAGTTTTTGTAAATGCTAATGTTTGCCTCACAGCATTTATGACCATTAGCTCAAGGGGCAGGTCACTGTCCCTCTTCACACTGTGTCATAAGTTCTGTTGCTGTTGTGGAGTGTGAATCAGTGAGGTTGTCCATGGGTCTGTTGCATGGTTCAAATATGCATCTGCATTGGTGATATAAATTGTGTGGGGTTTGTCAGTCCTACCTTCTTCCCCCAGGGAAACTTTACGGGATAGATGTCGTGATGGACATGCATGGTGAGTCGAGCATTATGTGATAGGTCCCTGTGTTTTGACCAACAAATAAACCTCTTGAGGTTGTTGCTGGCAATACAATGGTAGTAGGGGATCCTGGTGTGAATAGGTCAGATAATTATATGGGCTGGCGGCTGACCATGCTTCATGGTGATAGCATGAGTGGGTCGTTGTGTTACATGACTTGTTGTTGAGCATGATGATGATTCTCATCGGCGCGCAGTTGCAAATGCCATTATGTCATATAGTTGATCCTCAGGAGCGTCGGACACTTAGAGGGTGGGTAGATGATTGGTATATACTTGGTAAACATCATGTTTGTGTTGCAGTACCTCTGGTTGTTTTATACCAGCCCTTCACCCTTTACTATCTTCTACATTGTTTACTAGCAATATCTCAGTACTGGTAAGCACTCAATTGAACCTAGCATACATACATTGTATTGGGATCGGACTGGCGCTGGTGCAGCGCCGCTAATTCACGTGCAGTAATTGACAGAAAAATGGAGGCCGCATATGGCAACGCCTTTAGAATTAAATAAAGCCAAATAATCGCGAGAAATCTCAGATCAACGCCTTGGCGTTAAAGGGATTCGCCGCTGTTCAACGTTCAACTCTAGTGCAACGTATTTCCAGAAAGTAGCGATATTACCCGCAGGTGTGAAGTGAATCTTGGCGTTAGGTGAAGGGTGGCAGCGTGCTGATTGAAGCTCAAACGTTCATCTTCCACGTGGTTGTAGTTCTGTGGTCGAACTTTGAACATCTTTCTCTGTCTCGCGATTGGGCTGCATCCAGTCAGCGAAAGCTAGGTATTAAAAGGCTTACATCGCTCTTATATGGTATCTGATGTACAGATGTGCAGAGATCCCCACATAGTGGTATGCTTGCATCCCGCACCTGCCTCCTCCGGAACGAATAGTCTAATGTTTACTGACTGCGCTATGACCAGTATTCATTGTTTGCCGAAGGGATCCCATTGTTCGACTAGCCGAGTGTGGTTCGACTCAGGTGGCCCCGTATAAGTAGGTTCAGGGCTTCGTTTCTCGGTATGATTCGTCCATTCACCATGTCGTCCACACCAACTCATTCTGCACCCCAGACTCCGCCTGCTGACGCGCCATCTCAGGCTAACACAAACTCTGCGCGGCCACAGGAAATTCTTGAGAACAAGGGAGATCCCACACCCCGCGTTTTCAAGATCTCAACTGCTCAATCTCAATTCAGAGACCCCAATCATCGCCTCCTGCAAGCTGTCGAGATGGTTGACAAGTGGGGTGAAATCGAATTTGAGAACATGATGTCCGAATATGTCTCTGGTTTAAATCCCACTGAGGATGAACTGAAAACTTTCGCCAATTTTGACGGAATCGAGGATTCTGAATTTACGGGACCTGAGAGTCGTCTTTATGGCCCTTTGGTGAGTTCACTGTGCCTCAGATACTCTCATATCTTCAATATTCGCCTTCACAGTGTCGAGTAATCAACTCTGTGCTGGGCCCTTCAATGACATGTAAGGAGACTGCCGAATTTCCTGAAGAAAGTAGGACACAGAAGCGCAAGAAGAACAAGGCACCCGCCTCAAAGGAAGAAAAATTACAGGACGAACATGCTTTCCGACTTAAGCCTGACCTGACCATCTTCCGAAGTAGCGCAGAGGCGCAATACACACTGACGAATAAAGAAAAAAAAGCCAGTGCGCAGACCAAAGAACGCCTTCAGCACGCCGGAAGGACTTCCTGGCACACTGCCATTGGTCTTGGAGAAGGCAAGACCAACATCAATGCTACGCCATTCCGTACTGGTAATGGCGGTCCCCTCCTTCGCGACAGCAAGGACGCACACGAGACGAGAGGACAAATGGCGCAATATGCGGCAGAGCTCATGCTCCGTCAACATCGTCAACATGTTTTCTTTGTATCTTTTTTTCAAGACACTATGCGTATCATTCGATGGGATCGTAATGGGGCTCTTGTTTCGACACCATTCAATTACAAGCACAATCCTGAAAAGCTTTGGCTCTTCTTCTATCGCATTAGGAGAATGAATGATGAGGCCCTTGGCTTCGATACTACTGTTCATCCTGCTGAAGAAGAAAGGGTCAAAGAAATGAAGGCGTATGTCGCAGATTACATGAAGAATGAGCAAAACTCTGAGAAGCTCAAGCCGTTCGTGAAGAAAATCTTTGAAGATGATTGGCCAATATTTTGCATGGAGGTTCCTAACGGAGATGGAATGAAACATGTCTACATTGGAAAACATCTGGCTGGACATCGTTCTACGACCGGTCGGGCCACACGGGGTTACATAGCTTATGATCCTAGCCATTTGGACCCGAACACTGGGAAGGCGGAACCTCGACTGGTTTTCGTAAAGGACACCTGGCGCCCCGATACAGACAAGATCCATCCGGAGCTAGAAGTCTATGCGAAACTTCACGCCGCTAACGTTCCCAATATCGCAACAGTAGTCTGCGGCGGTGATATTACTGTCGGCGGAGAGGCACAGCGAACTAGAACCCAAGAAGTTCTCGTTAAATTTCTGCCTCGCATTCACTACCGATTAGTGTTCAAGGAAGTAGGGCGACCTCTTGACACATACAGTGAGTCTGTCGAGATGATACAGTTTGTTGGAGATGCGATAGAAGGTGCGCACCAAACCCACGAGGATGCTTCTGGCGGTGTCTAACTTTTCTACAGCGCATCGGGGGGCTTGGTTTCTCGCTGGTGTATTGCATCGCGATATCAGCGAGGGAAATGTTCTGATCAACGACACACCGGAAGACTCCTTAAAGCCCAAGGCCTTCCTAAACGATTGGGATCTCTGCAAATATCAGGATGAAATTGACGATGAAGCCACACAAATCTATCGTTCTGTGGGTGCATACGTTCTGATACTACACATTCCTTCTAACGACATGCCTTAGGGTACTTGGCGGTATATGTCCGCTCTCCTTCTCAACTATCCCACCAAGCGACAAGTGGTATCAGATGACCTGGAATCTTTCATTCACGTTGTTATCATCCTTGTTCTTCGTCATCATGATCATACACGCTCTTGCAAGGATCGCCGCCTGGCCTCTTCAAGTATATGGAGACTGTTTACGATCACTGTGAAGTTTCCGAAGAAGGACATCACATTGGTTCCTTGAAGAAGCGCGATGTGATTTTAACTGGTTCTCTGGAGTTTGAAGTCCTCAACAATCCGAATTTGGATCTCTTCGTCAACACTCTGTTTGAGCTATGCAGCCGGCACTATAATGCTCTCAACTTCAATAAATTCCAAGAGCCTACTCGAAAGCCGCCCCCGGCCGATGCCAAGATCCGTGCCCCCAGCAACGTCATCAAAGAGTTGGGACTTGAGCCACGCTTCAACCGCCCCCCTCGGAAAAAAGCCATAGTCCCGAGGGGCCAAGAGGATATAGAGAGCCAGGTGCTCAAAACCCACGACGCCTTGCTGGAACTGTTTCGAAGTGCACCTCAGTGGGTGACCGACCCAGCCAACGACGAGATTTGGTGGCAGGATAAACGAGAGCACGATGCTTTCCGTAATATGTATGCACAGTCTAGGGGTGCTCAGTCTACGCTGTACAGCGGCTCCAGTTTGACCACTAGCAATACCCAAGTGAATGCTTCAACAAGCGCCAATACAACAGCGGGGAAGAGCACGAGCAAGGGAAAAAAACGCTTGATGTCATCCGAAGACTCTGGGGATGCCGAGGTACCGTCAATAAAGAAGTCGAGGAAGTCTCATGGCCCTTCACTATTAGCAGGCCCGTCTTCCGTGAGTGATGGCGTCTTCATGGTCCCTAACAGTGAGGACCATTTAGAGTAGCTTGGCCGCTCCCGATAGTGAAGTACGGTCTGCTAGCGTACTCTATGACATGCACTCTTGATCTATAACAATCGGTTTCGTCATGAAATCTTTCGATAGACTGTAAGCCTATGACAGAATTTGTATCTCCACACTTGAGCGGGCTACATCTGTAGTTATCGTTAAGTAGGATAAATTGCTAGTCCTACCAACTGTGGAGTCCACCGGCTATTGTTAACGGCCCCATCGTGTATAAAATATAAGTCAAAGACGCACGCTGTATACTATTCATTTCCAGGTCAGTTCCAGATACATCGATATCGACATTGGTGATGGAGGACGTGAGCCTTCTGTTCATCGACAGAAGTCAAGTACTTACGTTTCTGGGAGAATCCCCCGTAATCACCTTGCGAAAACGTAGGGTCTTAGGATGGGGACTGGGCAAATGACAAGAGCTTTCGGTGCTCGGTCCATGAGAGTGTATCAATGTGGGCACGGAGAAGGGGCAAAACACAGATGCATTGATCGCTAACGCATGTAAGCAATTCAATGAAGGACATGAGCAACAGTGTCAATCTCATGCCTATGTTGAGATATCACTTGCGCACCAGAGTACGAATAGCTTCTTTTTTGGCGCGGAATTATGAATGAGGTACAGTAGTCTTGAAACCTAGGTAAATTGATAAAACAGTTATTGCGGTTTTTGTGCTCGGCAAAGAGGACAAGTATCGATTGGGGGGTGGGGGTGAGGGGTCGACTAAAGTCCGACTGGCGCACGTTATTAAATTCGCGACTTTCAACATTTTGGTATGATTAGGCGCTAACTGCTATATGCATTCCCTCTCGCCCATAATAACCACGTCACTGAAAGTACTGTGTACAGTTTTTGCAGATTAGAGTGGTAATGTATCAGATACTGTTAATTTGAGCTAGATGTGCCGAGTGAGTCCCCATGGACGTCCCAAAGCTGTTATTCGGACGCGAGTCAATGATGGGTATACGGAGTTGGCGCCCAGATGTCGGAAAAATATAAAATAGATCATAAGGGGTTATAACCCCCACTCTCTGGTTAACTTGGGTTATAATGGCATCACAAGTCAAAATATTACTTAAAACAGCTTACAATGACCGTTACAAGAGCTTATAATGAGCTTATAAGCCGTTGTAATGTTGTTCCGGACTCTCCGGTTATAAGGGATTTAAATATTTTTCCGACAAGTGATGGGTTGTTTGAATGACTTGACGGCGAGAAGATGTGCGGTTGAGATGTATTCGTAGACAACGATTTGTGCCGAGTACGGTGATAGCAGGTATGTTTGGAACACAGGAGATATGTTATGAACCGGCGGAGAGGAAGAAACGTATGGCAGTGAAGTTCCAGGGGAGAACCCTGGGGAAGGAATAGACAACCTCGACCGTAGCGAGGCGAGGGCATAGGTATGAGCGACGTATGTGGAGAAGACCAAAGGGAGGACAACGAGTGGTCAGTCGTCTGTGACGGAAAACAGCCATAATCGAAGAATTGATCATAATTAGCACGGTTGAAAGATGGGAGCTTTAGATAAGGTAAATTGAATTTTGCGTGGTACCGAGGTCACGAAGGAACATGCCTCTTGAGTGTGGGGAGAGGTATGCGGGCCGGCCGTATACTGATTCTGTGAGATAAAGGTCAGGTGGAGTCATGGTGCAAGTAGGAGCCAGACATACATTCATGTATTTTCTTCGGTCAGCTTGTGCAGCATACGACGTCGGCTCCGAAGGTCAGTGTACTGGGGATTGTACATGTATTTGACCTTTCGTGGTGACCAGCAGTGAATGAGATCTTATCAACGCGTTATCGCTGCCGTATAAGCAAATTCTCCGGAAGTTCAAGGTATCTGGGCTAGAACCGTGACGTGGCAGTACATTGCATCATGGACCTCAAAGGCAAAAGGTGCTAGAGTTCGAGGAGGCACTTCTCTACATTCCTAGAACCGTCAAAAGAATCCAAACGACGAAGGCACGCTTGGAGGCGCAATGCAATTCGAAGCCAGGAAGTGGGTACAAAACACATTCCGCATAAAACGCTCCACGGAAGCGATATGCAGTGTGACGCCTCAGCGATCACACCTGGAGACTGCCATACAGCGCTGAACTCAGCTGAAATATCGAGCAAAGGGAGGGGGAGGATGCGATTCGGGATATACTGATGAATTCGAGGGGCAAAAGATAGCCCAATCTCGTGCGCATGTGCTCAAGTGAAAGACGAGGCTTTCTCTCCTAAGCAAATGAATTGGCTACATATGGCAACGCCTTTAAAATTAAACAAAGACAAATAATCGCGAGAATCTGGGATGCCTTGGCGTTACAGTAGCTCTGTTCAACGTTCAACTCTAGTGCAACGTATTTCCAGAAAGTAGCGATACTTCCTGCAGGTGTAGAGTGAATCTTGGTGTTGGGTGAAGGGTAACAGCCTGCTGATTGAAGCTCAAACATTCATAGTCTTCCACGTGGTTTTAATTCTGTGGTTGAACTTGTGAACATCCTCCTCTGTCTCGCGATTAGGCTGGATCCAGTCTGCGAAACGTTAGGTATTGACAAAAGCTCATATCGCTCTATCGCTCTTATACGGTATCTGATATCACATGTGCAGAGATCCATAAATAGTGGTATGTTTGCATCCCCATCCCCTCTCCGAAACGAATATATCTAACGTTTACTGACTGCGCTATGACCACTATCCATTTTACCGAAAGATTACCCATTGTTCGATTAACCGAGTGTGGTTCGGCTCAGGTGGCCCCGTATAAGTAGGCTCAAGGCCTCGTTTCTCGGTATGATTCCTCCATCCACCATGTCGTCCATACCCACTAATTTTGCATACCAGACCCCGTCTGCTGACGCGCCACCTCAGGCTAACACAAGCTCTGCGCAGCCAGAAGGAACTGTTGAAAATAAGGGAGATCCCACACCTCGCGTTTTCAAGGTCTCAACCGCTCAGTCCCAAATCAAAGACCCCAATCATCGTCTTCTGCAGGCTGTCGAAATGGCTGACAGGTGGGGTGAAATTGAACTTGGGAAGCTGATGTCCGAATATGTCCCTGGTCCAAACCCTACTGAGGATGAACTGAAAACCTTCGCCAAGTTTGACGAAATCGTGATTTCTGACTTCACGGGACCCGAGAATCATCTCTATGGCCCTTTGGTGAGTCTATTGTGCCGCAGATACTCTCGTATCTTCAATATTCACCTTCACAGTGCCGAGTAATCAACTCTGTGCTAGGCCCTTCAATGACATGTAAGGATACCTCCGAATTCCCTGAAGAAAGCAGGACACGGAAGCGCAAGAAGAACAAGACACCCGCCTCAAAGGAGGAAAAACTCCAAGACGAACACGCTTTCCGATTTAAGCCCGACCTGTCCATCTTCCGAACTAGCGCAGACGCACAATACGCGTTGACGGACAAAGACAAAAAGGGAAGTACGCAGACTAAGGAACGCCTTCAGCACGCTGGAAGAACTTCCTGGCACGCCGCCATCGCCCTTGGAGAAGGTAAAACAAGCATCAAGGATACGCCGTTCCGCACTGGTAATGGCGGTCCCCTCCTTCGAGACACCAAGGACGCGCACGAGACAAGAGGACAAATGGCGCAATATGCGGCAGAGCTCATGCTCCGTCAACATCGTCAACATGTTTTCTTCGTTTCTTTCTTTCAAGACACTATGCGTATCATTCGATGGGATCGTAATGGGGCTCTTGTCTCGACACCATTCAATTACAAGGAGAATCCTGAGATGCTTTGGCTTTTCTTCTATCGCATCAAGAAAATGAATGATGAGGCCCTTGGCTTCGATACTACTGTTCGTCCGGCTGAAGCAGAGAAAATCGAAGAAATGAAGGCGTACGTTTCGGATTATGTCAAGAACGAGCAAAATCCTGAGAAGCTCAAGTCCTACGTAAAGAAAATCTTTGAAGATGACTGGCCAATCTTCCGGATGGATGTCCCCGACGGAGACGGACTAAAGCATGTCTACATTGGGAAACATCTGGCTGGCCACCGTTCTACGACCGGTCGGGCCACACGGGGCTACATAGCGTATGATCCTGCTTACCTCGACACAGAAACTGGCGAGACGGGACCTCGTCTGGTTTTTGCGAAGGATACCTGGCGGCCTGACACCGACAAGATTCATCCGGAGATAGAAGTGTACTCCAAACTCCATGCCGCCAACGTTCCTAACATTGCAACACTAATCTCTGGCGGTGATGTCGTTGCCAATGGTAACACACAGAGAACTAGAACCCAAGAAGTCCTCGACAATTTCCTGCCGCGCATTCACTATCGCATATTGTTCAAAGAAATCGGGAGGCCTCTTGATACGTACAGAGAGTCGCTTGAGATGATCCAGTTCATTGGAGATGCAATAGAAGGTGCGCACTAAACCCACAAGATGAGCGTGCTACTAACTCACTTCCTTTTAGCACATGAAGCGGCGTGGCTTCTTGCTGGCGTCTTACATCGTGATGTCAGCGAGGGAAATATTCTGATCAACGACACCCCGGAAGGAGGCTCCTCAAGGCCCAAGGCGTTCCTGAACGATTGGGATCTCTGCAAGTATCGAGATGAGATTGATGATGAGGCCACACAGATTTATCGTTCTGTGAGTGCATGGCTTTTTGACTATATACATATGTAACATCCTCACCATATGCCACAGGGCACTTGGCGATACATGTCTGCTCTACTTCTCAACTATCACACCAAGCGACAAGTAGTATCCGACGATCTGGAATCCTTCATCCACGTGGTCATCATCCTTGTCCTTCGCCATCATGACCATTCTCTATCCCGTAGGTCGGATCTATTGAAGTATATGGAGGACTATTATGATCACTACGACCGTTCTGTCGAAGGGCACCACCTTGGTTCTTTGAAGAAGCGTGATATGTTCCTCACTAAGTCGCTAGGTTTCAAAGTCCTCCATAACCCGAACCTTGCACTTTTCGTCAGATCTCTGGTCAATCTCTGCCATAAACATTACAACGCTCTTGACTTCGACAAATTCCAGGAGCCTACTCGACAACTCCCAGCCGAACCCAAGGTTTTTCCCGACAGTGACGTAGCCAAGGAGTCAGTAGTCGAACATCACATCCCCCGGCCTGATGCGGACGATGAGCCAAATGTTGAACCCCCGAGAGGCCAAGAGAACGTGGAGAATCAGGTACTCAGGACCCATAATTCGTTGTTGCAGTTATTTCGGGGGGCACCGCTTTGGTCAGTTAATGAAGATACTCTCGAGAAATGGTTGAAGGACAAACAAGAGCAAGATGCTTTCCGTAACATGTATGCGGAGTCCAGGGGTCCCCAGGCCTCCCTGTTCTGCAGCTCAACATTGACTACTAGCAACACCCAAATAAATGATTCAACGAGCGCGAATACAGCGGCAGAGAGGAGCGACAGTAAAGGGAAGAAACGTTCAATGCTATCCGAAGATTCTGTAGAGCCTGAAGCACCCTCGGTAAAGAGGTCGAGGAAATCTCATGGCCCTTCGCTGTTAGCAGGCCCATCTTCCGTCAATGACGGCGTCTTTATGATCTCTAGGAGCGAGGACCAATCAGAGTAGCTTGTCCACCCTCCGCTAACACGTATCACTTTTGTCGTGAATTTTAGCACATGTAGTCTTGATTTTACAACCTATGATATGTTTTCACCACGTAGACGAGCTACATCTGTATCTCTCGTTAGGGCATTCTTTTCTGCTATGGAGGACAACGGTGACACCGGGTAGTGTGTACAACATATAAGAGAGGCAAGGTGCATGCCAAAACGAACAGGTCAGTGAGCAGGCTTTGAGACTTTTCGGCCGAGGAGCTGCAAGATGTACTGTAGCTCACAACATTAAAGGGCAAACACATGATGCATTTATCGCCAACAATTATGGGTAGTGCAATATGAAGGATGTGAGCAGGGTTGTATGGTGTTTGTACTCGATAGGGAACAAATGTTGATCTGAATTCGTTCTCCACGTTTTTGCCACCTTCCGAAAGTACGAATTTGGTATGATTAGACAAGGGCAAACGAGCAACCACATTTATAGAGGATACAACGTATACGACACCCCTCAGAAGGGAGAATGACAAGGGAAAAGAATACAGCCGATGCGAGTTTGAAGCTTGAATCCAAAAAAGGAAGACCGAAACCACGCAATATTGTTACACGCTATTGCATCGAAGTCCGGAGGACAATATGAGTGAGTAAAACTCAGAAAAAAATTTATCGGGCTGTTGTGGTATTTCGAAAGCAAAAGACAAGGACAGGGCTTAGAAGTCGTCTGCATCGTCGGGTATCAAGCCTTTAATTCCACCACTCTGCGTCCGCCCACCGTCTCGTGCAACAGCCGTCCTCATCTTCGGAACACGTCCTGGGCTTGAGGTCGACTTGGCCAAATCTTCTTCTGGGTGGGTAGCAGGGAATGGGTATTGAGGCTGTTGAGATTGATGTGATGACGATGTCCTTGTGATGGTATGTCCAGAGGATGTCGATTTCTTCGTTCTCCTGCGCTCTCGTGGTTTCTTACTCTCGGCACTTGCCCTACTCTCGCGACTAATGGACGAGCTTGACGACCTGGACGCAGATAACGATGGCGCATGCATAGAGACAGATTGCTGGAGTGCTATCGGAGGAGGATTCCATAACGGTAAAGGCGTTTGAGGCATCTCGGAAGGGTCGAGCCATTCCTCATCTTCCTCATCGTCGAAGCTCAACGAAGTTCCTTCGTCTCCGGCGTCGCTGCCGATACTGGCACTTCGCTCAAACAATTTGTCTTGGGAGTTCATGTCAAATGAAGTCTTCGGAGCTCCAGGTGTGACTGGGTCAACGGGATCCTCCTCTGTATCAGCACCACCTCGCGCACTGACGCTCGTATCAGGGGAAGAGACACTGGGTGGGCGACTTGCGTCCGAAGAAGACAGGTCATCCTCGTCATCCTCCTCCGGCAAGTCGATATCGATATCATGGTCTGACATGGACCGTAGATCCATTTCTGAATCAGATGTCCAGTTAGGTGGTTCGTCCTGGACTGAGATCACAGTTGCCTTATAGCGTTGGTTGAGCTAGGAAATAAGGAAGGCGGATGAGAAAAAGAGATCGGGCATGTTCTGACGCTACTAACCTGACTAACACGGCTACGGAAATCGTTCCAATCATGCTCATCCTTACACAGGAATCCCATGAGCATACTAGGGTCCAAGCCAGACAAAGGCATCTTTCTGACTCGATCACAATGGAAAGTCTTGAGTTCAGCTGGAGAGTACGCTGTGACATAGTGCCGCTGTAGAGGATCCAGGCCGGACAAGTCTCCTTCCAATTCCCGAGAGTCCATGGAAGACTCATCGGGAATGACACTTGACGATTGCCATCGTGCATGCGAAGTAGACGACTGGCCAGACGAAGCCGAAGAGGTCGATATCTGTTGCTGTAATGGTGATGGTGAAGGCACACCGCGATGCGAGAATGCGGAAGAATTTGATCCTGTGCTGGATCGAAGTGACGAAGGAGAGGTAGGAGAACGCAGGTGTCGATGCTGAGGTGTACGGGGATGACGTTCGCGCTCGCGCTCACGTTCACGTTCAGATGCGTAGGTGGGTTCTGGAGAAGGCTGTCGGGGAGACGAAAAGGGGAATTCATCGCCTATCCGAGGCGGAGGACGAAGAGGAATTGCAGGCCGCGCATGATGAGGGTCCAGATAGAATAAGTTATCCGCTTGAGAACCGACGAAATAATATGATGATGAGGGTCGTCCGCCAGCGATCCCCACCGATTGTGGCCAAGTATAGAGCTCCTGTATGTCACGTCGATATGTTAGCTCAAGGCATAGACCATTAGTTATTGATAAAATTACCTTGAGTGTATCATAATAAATCGGATTGACACCGTCGATACCGAGACGATGACCAATCAAGACGAGAACCGCACGGTCACCCCAAGACTTCTGCGAACCTCGTCTCGGAGAGGCCATGCCAGAATGAGAGGCAGCAAAAACATCGGATTCGTAAATCGTTCCACCGTCAGCTGCGACGTAAATGCCCAACCCGGCTTCAGGAAATGCATGTACAAGTTTCCTACAAGGTCGGTCAGTAAGCGGTGCAGATAAGGAAAGATGGAAGGGAAACAAACTTGATAGCACCAGCAGCCGTACTGGGACCGAACCACTGTCCGACACGTACGCCTAACTGTTTGCCAACGAGTGCCATTCGGTGTACGCTGAATGGGCAAATGGGTGACGGATCATCCAGAAACCATGTTAGAATTTGCACATAAGTGGCGTAGTCCGCCGTGCACACAGGGTATGGAGGACGTCGCCAATCTATATGAAGGTAAATTTAGATCTACGATGATAAGAGGGTGACTACGCACCCCTTCCCAAGTGAAGATGCAAAAGTGCATTCGCCAACAGTGACTGTCCCGTTCGGAGCATGCAACCCCAACCGGCATCACTCGACCAACCCTTCTCGCCTCCTATTGGCCAATTCCATTTCTTGGGTGGCGGACTAGCCGACATTCTTCCTCCTGATTCACCTGCCGCATCCGCAGCTTCCAGCTCCTCCAGCGTGATATCACGTATAGGAAGGAATTGCGAACGATATGTTAGCCATATCCGAGAAGTAAAGTCAGCATAGAATACAGGCGGCCAGTTGCGGCCAGGGTTATCTTTAATTGATGAGGCCGGGTGCGATTGGGAAAGAGATGGATCTGGAGGAGGGGAAGAACGGTATGAGGGTGAGCGCCGAGAGTCCCCAATAGATGTACGCCGGCCGTTTAGGGATGCTGAAGGCGAAGGAGGTTCATAACCTGGATGCTCAATGCCTAGGATCCATATGGGATCCATGCATTTGTCTGGCGTAGCGTCACTATCCAAGAGATATCGCATAGCTTTATCAAGGTGACCCTTGCCGTGCTTGGCGGCGGTAAGCAAGGCAGCAGCGCCTTTGCCTTTGGGTGAACCAACCGACGACAGATGTTGTTGCGAGATTAAAGAGGGCAAGGTGAGATCTGTGGAGGATGAACTGAATGTATGAGAGAACCAACCGGAAAGTCTGCTTGGGAAATCGGTGATGCGGCTAGTAGAGGATGAGGGGTAGAATGGTACAGAGTAATTGTCTGATAGAGGTCGTTCTGAACGTGTTCTAGGACGTGGTATTGACACCGGCTCGACGATGACAGGGGGTTCGTCCTGTGCCTCTGGACTTGCTGTTCTTTCGTTATTCGGGGCTGAAGGACCTTCGACGGCGATATCCTGCGACTGTCGGCGTTTCTCTTCCTTTGACCCAAACAGTATCTTGCTTGAATTTCGCCCCATATGTCGACTACTGCCTGACTTGGGGGAGTCCGAGACAGGGGAACTGGAGCTACTCGCTGTCGTGCTAGAACTGCCCGAGGGATCAACCATAGACCGCGACCTGTCCCTCGATGTCTTCTGCAGGAACTTGGGTAATTTGGACGTTGACGGCGACGATGGTGAGGTGCTCCCGCGCTCTGGTTTATTCATCGTACAATTAGGTCGTCGCCGTCGTCAAGAGCGTGGAAGTCGTGCAGGAGGTCGTGGTGGTGGAAGTGAGAAAGCGCTAGTGGCCCAAGCTAGACCAGTCTCTTCCTTGTACTACGAGCATGTCAAGCAATTATTGGAATATCATATCTTTCACAGATTCACAACCAGAACATGCTCCTGTCAAGCTATTTCAAGTCTATCTGTATATCGTACTGGCCGATACTGTGCGATTTTTCTGACACCGTAGACTCGGGAAACACAATGCTACATCAGGCTCTATCATATACCAGCGTGAAGAACTTCGTCTAATGTGGATCAGCACAAGTTGAAACTACCTCCAACGTCGAGCTGTAAAGAGGCGGTCGAAGAGGGGAGGGATCAGAACCGTTGTAGAGCCGATATGAATGACTTCCATGTTTTCTTCATTTCGTATCTTCCAGATCTAGAACTCCACACCCATACCGAGTGAACCAAAAGCTATCGGGATTCAGGAACTAATGGCATGAGCGTATTACGTAGATCCCGCCTTCTAGTTGGTACTTATGGCATCTAAAGGTACAATCCGACTAAATATACACGTCAGACGAGAGATCGGTACAGGTACGATGTGAATTCGGGAGGGGTCTCTAGCACCCTTTCACTATCCTGCGGCACGAAACAGACATTTCACGTCCTTGATGGCGGCCATCAGAGTTTCGAGAATGGTTTTCCAAGTGGCACGTAGGTAGCTTTCTTCTTAGTGAGAGCTGCCTGGACTGAGGATTTGAGATCCTAGAGCGCAAGCAACGGCATGATCAGATAATCATTGAATGAATATTTAGCCGGTGGAATATGCACCGAAGTCTGCAACATGCCACCATTCCACGATGCTACATACTGCAAATTATCTTCAACGCTACAAAATAATCAGCCGCGCAGTGATGGGGAGCATATCGCAATATAGCCCACCTGTGATCTCTTGAATGCAGGAGCATGTGTTTGCTACCAGTTACAGCAATAGGACTCTTGCTTGCAATGACTTCTGCAAGTTTCAAAGCCTCTTCGATAACCTCCTCCCTGCCACCATCCACAATTTTGGAGATCAATCCTATCTCCTTTGCTTCGGCGGCAGAGAAATTGCGAGAGGTATATGTGAGTTCATTTATAAGGCTCTGGTTCCCTGTAACTTTGGGTAGACGAGCGAGGGTGCCTATGTCCGCAGCCAGACCAACATCAACTTCCTGGAATACACTGTTATATCGAGCGAGTACACAGATGATAAATGCGCCAGCTACCTTGATAGAGAATGTGGTATTTGCAGCAGCATACCGAATATCGCAAGCGGTAATCATATCAATAGCTAGACCTAGGGCGATGCCATGTACGGCTGCGATCACAGGTACCGGGCATCTCTCTGTAGCGGAGATGGCGCGTTGGAAAGCTAAGATGGAACTGCGAATCTGAAGAGCACGTCTCGCTGGATCCTTATCATAATTCTCAAAGTCCTGGATCGAGGTTACTGAATCGTGCCCTATTTGAATCATCGTACAACCGGTCTCATAATGGTGGCAACGTACAGTCAATGCCTGCTGTGAAGAATTTGGGCAGTGAAGATGCTAGAACAACCACTCTGATATCGGTCTCTTGACCAATCTTTTCGACTATCTGGTCAAACTCAAGCCAGAATCTACAGTATCATGAAAGTCAGGTCCATCTGTACCTGTAGCTAGTGATGCGGAGGACATCTACTCACGCGCTATTGACTGCATTGACGGGAGCCCTGTAACCGGAAGGTTAATAGGTTTGCAGCTATCAAGAAACTTCGACATTCACCGAGACAGCTCTACCAGAGCAACATGCGGCTTGGGCAATGACACCTTGACGAACTTCCCAGATAACGACGCCATAAGCTTATCAGTCTAGACCTCGAATGCTATGAGAATCCGCAACTGGCAATCTGAGTTAACTTAATCCCGAAGGTCAGAACAACGGAGTGAGACAGCGGTAACGTCCAATTTGACGGGAAACGTCAAATTCGGTCTGCGCTTCAGCCGGAAAAGGGAAATCAGGAGGATAGCATATGCAGCCGCTTGGCTGTTTCCTCCCGCTTGTCAACTTCAAGTAGAGTTTGTTACTCAACTTTAGTGTAAACAGTCTTTCTGGCAGGGCATTTTAGGAAATTTGAACAGTCGCCAGACCGCCTTGGAGGCTAGAACGTTGACGGAAGAAACAATGTAACGGCCCGATGTACCGAGGAGTCAATAGTATGTATAAAAGCACACATCCTCTGCTCAAACTTCCTGCTGCCAGGAAGCCTATCTCAGGCAACCTATATTCTCTGCGCCGCCTGTCTGAGGGTGTTTTGCCAATATGCTCCCAATCGGAAGCTTGATTTGGGTGTCCCTTCGTCCATTATTACGGCTGTACGTGAGGTTGACTCGATTCGAATGAAGTGAAATCGATATCTGACAAGCTTTGGCATGCTTCAGAGTCATATGTGTCGGGTGTGGCTTTATTCTCACCAAGACTGACGTTTTCCCCGTCGTCGCGGCTAGAGGTGCCGGCCAACTTATGCTCGTACGCTTTACATTCAAAGATGCTTTACAAAATATCTTAAAACATGTCTGCACAGAATGTTGCTTCTCCATGTCTCATGTTCTCCAAGATCGTCCCCGCATTCACCTCTGATAATATTGGCGCCCTAGGTTCGCCTCTGCTTGACCCATTTCTGACCCTCTTGCACATTATCGCACCGTAAGTTTCTTATACGAGAATGCAGGACCTTTGGTCCTTGTTGCAGTGCTATACCAGATTCTGGGTTTCGTCTTTTCATTCTTGATCAAGCAATTCTTCTGGGTACCACACCGCTTTCGATATGGAATATATGTCGCTGGTGGCTGGGGCAACTATGGAGACATCCGTGAGCATACATTCTCTTGTCACGCTATGGAAGTCTCTGACGCAACATATGCTTTCCAGCTACGTCCGTGATCATGAGTATGGCTGGTGCAGCTCCATTTGGTGGCGTTCATGACCAGAACTTGTCGATCGCCTACATATCCGTCTTCATTTTAGTGTTCTACGTCAGTGACTTTGCGTCCTTGCACTGATATTATCTGACCGTGATTATAACAGATCACTCTTTTCCCTATGGGCGGACACATATTAGTCGCGAAAGACTTTGTGGGGCCCGAAGTCGAGGACGAGGAAATGCGCGAGCTGACACGCCTAAAACGCAAGGCATTGTTACGTCAATGGAAGCATCTCCCTTCTATCTTGCATCGGCGTGCCACTCTCGGACGCCAAAAGGACGACCCCGAGGCTCCATTCCAATCAGCAAATCCTTCGATCAGTGAAAAGAGCATAGCTGAGGCGTTCCAACAGGACCCTTCCTCGACTGGCGTCGAATTCATTCGGCCATCCGCTCCTTCAGCCGCTAAACATGTCACTTTCCATGACTACGATACTCAGGTTGCGACTCCTTCAATCACCGAAGTCGAGATCTCGAGAGTGGCCTCTCCAGCACCTTCGCTCACACATGCTGATACGGTGACCCAGGTAGAAGTTGAACATACAGACAACAAGGATAACTCTGCAACTGACGTCACAAATACGTCTGGCTCATCCCGCCCTGCCAAAAACAAACGTCTTCGTGCCTTTCTATCTTCCCTCATAAACCCACCTTCTATATCCATCATCATCGCATTCCCAGTCGCACTCATAACACCGCTCAAAGCCCTCTTTGTTCCCGTTTCCAACTCCCCAATTCCAAACGCACCCGATGGGCAACCCCCATTAGCCTTCATCCAAGATGCTGCTGCCTTCATTGGAGCAGCAGCAGTGCCTTTAGGCTTGATATGCCTAGGTGCCGCGTTGGCTAGGTTGAAAGTTCCGATGAATCAGTGGAGAACACTTCCATTGGGTGCCATCATGTCTTTGGCAGTCGGAAAGCTGATTATCACGCCAATCTTGGGAGTCCTCATCTGCCAGGGATTGACAAAAGCCGGTGTTATCGATCCAACGGATACTGTACTTCGATTCGTTTGCATGTGCGTATCTAACTGTGCTCCATATACGTGTTTGCATCTGACACCGTATATGAAGATTTTTCTCATGTCTGCCCACTGCGACCACCCAAGTGTACCTCACGCAGGTATACTCTGGTACAGGAAGCGCTGAACATATTTCCGCCTTCCTAATCCCTCAATATGCCCTCATGTTTGTCTCAATGATTGTACTCACTGCATTCTCCATCAACCTCATCTTCTGACATTCCTCCGCCAAACAACGCCGACATGCATGCTCTGAAGAGCTTGTACGATAATATAGGCTATAATCCTAGAGTTCCGACATGTAGACGATGACTGTAACTGGTACAAAAGCTAGACGATACACTTTCAATAGAATTATAGAGTTGTTGCTTACCACCATTACCTATGGGTTATCCTCAATAAATATCCGTTCTACGGCCTTCCAAAATGCATCCTGCCCGAATCTCTTCGCTTTCCAGATCTTCTCCCGTTCTGCCCAATACTCTAGTTTGTTTTCTGCGACACGCGCAGGAGACCAGACGCGTTCTCCGGTATCTGGTTCCGTTTCTGCTGAGAACCATCTGGGTCTGTGGGGAGGCAAACGACCTTCTTCACGCGCACGCCTCGTGGCACGTTGGAATTCTTCTTGTTTGTTCTTCAGGTCATTTGCACGCTCGTATCTGCCGAGTTCGAATGCTCGTTGATCCGGACGAAGTCGACAATCCGTGGGAGCTACATAAGGCCGGAGGGTATGCTCCGGGCAGTCATTCAGTGTGATAGCAAATGGTGTGAGGTTAAAGGGCGCGGGCGGTTTCTCTGAGTTTCTCCAAAGCAGAATATACTCAGGCGGTGGCGTAGGTGATGTGGGCGAGTCGGGAAGAGACTGGACTGACACATCAGGATGAAGACACCCGATACCGGTGCCCACTGCGCGTGCGACGAGCTGACTATTCCATCGACCAGCGATTTCGTATGTGACTGACCCTTCGGCGTCCGTTACATAGCCAGATATCTCGTATGCATCGCGTCCTCGCCATCCTCTAGGCTTGAATGTTAAGACGCATTGGTCCCCAGTGCGGTGGTTTGTAATCTAGGCTGAGTTAGAAAAGAATTTATTCAAGGATGACATATAGACATACCACCATGTCTCCATAATGATCGATAGTGGGGGAACCCAAGATGAAGCCAGAAATGTTCGTTGTGACTTTCTTCCAACTATAATGTTCAACGACCTTGCTCTTGAAAACATTGCTCTTGTATCTCGGATACGACGGAGCCCAATCCTCCGGTAGGAGCAAATCTGCATGTGCAACGCCGGTAGGCCGGATCTCAAAAGACTTGCCCATGAATTTGTTTTGAGCGTCAACCTATAGAAGGGTAAGCTTTTGGGGTTCTGGGACACAAGAACGCAGACAAGACTACTGACCTCTCCATAATAGTGCCATTTGGGTGACTCGGCCCAGCAGGCAGAAATCGGCGGGTGATGGCTGACTTGTTCAGAGACATATCGATATTCTTTGTCGATCCGGACGTATTCGAAGGTTTCGGCCTGTAGATAGTGAATGAGGTAGGATAGAGATATTAAGACAATTAAGAACTTACGAGCATTGGGTTGAAAGGCTTCGCAATACGGCCGATAGTGGAGGAGTAATTGGACATCGCAAATGCTGCGACGAACGCTATCCGACGATGCGGATCTTGTTCCATTGCAGCAGCATCAACTGGAAGAAGTACCACGATATAAGCAGCGGACTATGCAAACATAGGAGGATATACATACGACATTCAGAGAATTCCATATCCTCCGCCTGTGAACCCGAAGTCAGGAAAGGCATTCGATACATAACATGAAAGCGGACTCACCATGCGCTGCAACATGCTCGTAGGCTCATTGAAAAAGACAGGGAACGAGATCTTCGTCAAGTCCTTTCCGATACTGTTCTTTAAGACAGCCCACAAACTCATCGGCGGTCGATTATCACTAGTAATGGCAAGCCGTTCTCGCAGTCTTACATACCCTATGAATTGTTCTTTAGAGAGTGCCAACGGGAGCTCACTGGGCGGACGAGCAGTCAAAGATTCCGGTACAATCAACGGAAGAGCATTCGACTCGATGGCGTCGAAAAACTCGTCCTCCTCATCAGTGTCCACCAAGGATTCCCGATCGGCAGTAGGAGAGGCTGCTATCATGAGTGAAAGAGGACGAGCAGGTACGATAGTACCGGTAGGAGAAGCCACAGCCGGTCGACGGGACAATGACAGTCGACGGACTGTCTCGGATACAACAGCAGACGTATCCTCCACTGCTTCTGGTTGACCTGCTCCTTCGTGCTCTTCCATCGTACCGGGAGAAGCTATCGGTAGTTGCGAGGGTCTAGTCCTGAGTGTGCCAAACTCCGAAGGGGCAGTGAAATAACTCGAATCAGCTAGGCGACTTCGCCGACGAGCTCTGATACGGAGTTCGTCTTCAAGCTCTTGACCCTCCTTGACGACTGTGCGTAAACTCTCTTCCCAGACGTCCTGCCTGTCGTGTTCACGTTTGAGCTTTTCTTTCCACCAATCTTCTCGCTCCTTGACCATGCCAACATATTCGGACAGCATGTTTTGAGCAGTAATGAAAGAGTCCTTGATCGCTTGCTTCATGTCCTCTGTTGGCCGTGTGGGGCTGTCCAAGAAACTGGCGAGTAACTGGGAGGTAAGTTCGACCTGGGCGACGGCGGAGTTGCCTTGAAGCTCAAATGAGCCGTTGTAAGGTGGTGCCCGCTCAGACTCTGAGACAGACGACTCTTCGGTATCTTTACCATGATCTTCCTCCATGCGAGGAGACTCATTCGAAGATTTCGCCTCATCATCATCCGCCATGGAGCTTGCACCCGATACCAACCCATTTCCATCGCTCTTCCTAGAAGAGGTCCTGGAGCTCGAAGCCTGTGCTCTGTATGACGGAGGTTTCATACTCTGAGCATCACTTTCGACACTTTGACGCTCCTTCTCCGCTTCACGCCGAGCCCACTCGATGCTTTTGGTTAAAGCTTGAATCCAACGAGATGCCTCTACAGGGTGGTTCGCTTTCATGTACCATTTCTGTGAGCCGTGTGTACCCCGAGTAGGTGTGGAATGAACCTCGAAGCGTAGACCCCCGCTTCCGGGGGTGGGTTTGAGAATCGCAGTCTTCATCGCGATCGAACCTCTACATGCCACGCCCTCGTCTTCCTGATGACGGTAATCTGAATGACGCATTGCATTAGTTTATTGATACTGCAGAAGCGCCGACGGACTTACATGAAAGCGCTCCATTCTTGAGAACAAACCACCGGGTATTATAACCTTTTGCAACATTTGTGTACTTGTTCAAGTACCCTCTATGCTCTGGGGGCTCCGTAGAAGGCGGCTCAATCAGAGTGGAGTCTTGATTGGCAACTATTACGAAGCGTCAGTGACAGTTAAGACAATCGCTTGCACAGGCGCGCACATTGTTTCAAGAAGACCTTGACACGATCGTCCTTGCCGACGCTCTCAATCACAGTCCGACCCCGACGATCCCGGACGAACACGTCCGCCCCCGCGCGAATAGCGAGCTCTATTGCCCCAAGGTCTTTCCGCTTTGCAGCTTGATGCAATAGAGTCGTACCAGACGTGTCGTCTAAATATGAGAGATCGACTAAACGGGCTCTTGGAGAGGAGAGTAGTTTGATAAGAGCTTCGGGCATGCGTTCTGTAGATGGCGAAAGGATGTATGCTCGTAGTAACGAGCGGAATGAGGCAGTAAGGAATGCTCGAGAATCTGAAAATATAGTCAGTATACGAGTAATACATAGGGATAGAACGCGCCTTTGATTGCCCGAATAGTTTCTTTGCCCTTGGCTACATCCAAACAGGTCCTGCCCTGCTTGTCACGCAGTGTATCATCTATTCCCTCTTGCTCAAGGAGCAGACTGACAACATCTGCCCGCCCAAGCGAAGCGGCGAGATGTAATGTTGTCGTGCCTGAACCTGGTGGGTGGACGGCATTTGGCGAAATAGACCTATGAGAGAGAAGGAGGGAGATGGTATCACCTGCTAGTCATGAGTATTATGCAGACGTCTCCGACGGGGACGGACGTACATGAAGCGCAACGAATAGCAAGATGTAAAGCTGCAGCACCAATGTCGACGTCGCTTTCGCTGGAACTCCGTCTGTCCTTTCCAATGTCCGAGAGAAATGGGTGGATTCTTGCGGGATCACCTAGTAGTACAATCAGGACAACAAAAGTACCAGAGTTCAACACAACACACCGCTACGAAGAGCTGACAGGAGACGGACTTGATACAAAGAATCTAAGCCGCCTGGTAAAGTGCTCAACATATATATGATACATGTAGGGCAGACAAAAACATACTGTCATGGCTTCGAGCGGAAGATACAGATGGCGCGCTCATGCTTTGTTCGACAGCAGTCTACAGGACATGCACACTTCCGGCTAGCAAGTTGCAATGTCTCGCTTTGGATCGTCGAGCTCAATAGTGTCCTTGAAAATGAATGGTATGCGGAGAATGAGGGAAGAGGAAGAGGAGTGAGCAGAAGAACAAGTACTTTCAGAGTTGTGACCAGTTGTGGATATGGACTCGGTTCGTGCACTGCACCCTGTATCCACGTGGGAATTCGGGCTGCAAAAAGAATCTTCCGCAGTTCTCGCAGACTTTGCTGCGCACCGCATCGTTGTAAAGGAATACTCGAGCAACAACCGGAAGGATTCACAGCGAGGCACAAAATTAATTTGATAAATCCCGGAGCAGGAGAGAGAAACGGGGAAAGTCACTGGAAAGTCGAGCCTGGTTGATCTACCTCAGCTTGGACCAATCGAGCGTTGTTCTGAGAACATTGAAAACGACGCCCCGATGTGCATACGTGTATCAGAAGTGTCTAGCATTCAGCAAGCCTCAATGTATATCAATCCTTTGCAGCGAACGTGTTTTATAGATCGAGAACTTCATAGAGATGAGAAAACAATCCTCTTGCTTGCTGAGCATAATTTTCTTAAAATCTCAGAGCATCAAACAAAAGTCATAAAGCAAGGTGAATGATAGTGTCCGTTTCTCTCCGCTCAACAACCATTTGTGCCCATTAATATGACCTGGCATATGATCACCAAATTTAGTAGGTCACCTACCCAGAAAGGTTACATTTCCTTGCACATGATACATTTTTTTCACACTTAGTATAGTTAGGATCTATTCTCAATATGGCCTATATGCTAACTGCCGATATTTGCCTCCCAGACCAGGGTAAAGTCGGAGAAAAACGAAAAGGAGGCCAGTCGCGACTTAGCCGCGAGCCTTCTCAGTTAATAACCCTAACCCGATCTCTAATAAATTCGAGCCGAAATTCAATGCACTCTATTGGACAACATCCGCGGGATTTGAAGCTTTCAATGGAGGCCATAACAGGACCCCTGATAATACCCCATATATGCTGTTCGAAAATCCGGACCAAAAATGGCGAAAGTGGCCGAAGGATGTTCAAAATCCGTAGGATTTTGGCCGAAAAGTGGGTAACAGCCATGCTGAGGTCCGGATCAGGAGGCCCCTTTCCAGCAATGCCATCTGCGAATCCGGATGAAATTTGCCGGGTACCCCCCTGAAAATTTCTTACTTATTGCTTGGAATGGGAAAGTATATTAGTGGGAGAAATATTAGGGCCTGATCGGTGCAAAAATGTGTTTGCGATATCAGGCCAATATCGCAAAACAAAACCGCGAGAGACCGTGGGGATATATCGGGCGTGATGGAGTATCGGAATGAGTGACGACTCATTTTAGCAAGTGTATGCAACGACAATGTCAATGACGAGACCTTCATGTCAATGCCCTACATGCTATTTTACTGTAACTCTACTGTATAACCATTAGAGATGTTCTGCAGACTCTTTCAAGGGGGTATGGAAGTGAAGAATGAAGCCGGTGAAGGTGTTCTCTTTGCACCAAAATAAGAAGTCACAAATTGTCACATGCTAGTAACCACCAATATTGAGGTCAACCAAACAGCCCTGTCTTACATTTCGCTACTGCTTTCAGCGCAATAATCGCCATCACATCATTTGGCGGGAAATATCGACGATATCGAAAACACTTTTTTGCACCGATCAGGCCCTTAGTGGGAGAAATACTTCATGTAATCGTAGTGAATACCTTACAGTAAAAGCAAAATTGGGTAAACTCCGACAACGCTTTCGGGCGGTCAACGTAGGAAACATTGTTCTGTCGAGGAAGTAGAATCCATCGGCGGGGTCTTATATGCGGGTCTTCAACTTAAATACCACTTTTTCGGCCAGCAGTTCACACAGGGGTTGACACCATTGCGGATGCATCGGTTTGACTTCGTTCCTTCGCTCTGTTTCTTGTCCTTGATTGACACATTGTACCCGATCCCTCTGGTTCCGTTGTACTATGCAAGGGAGGGATTGATAGTGGTGTCTTAACTGCTCTAGTACAGGGAGCTGTTCCACGAATTGCTGAAGCCATGCAGCTATTGCATAAATGCAAGAAGGAGCTTTCCGGCAATGACATTTAACCATATGATTCAGTACATGTGTAGTCTACTATTGGAGGCTATCCCTAAACATTCATTTTTCAGCTTCTGCAGCCATCTTGTAGGTATCTGAGTGTTCTCGAGCAGTTTCCGATGGTTTTCAAATGTTCTGGCAATTTTTGGGTATTTTTGGAGGCCGTTCGAGAAATCCGGAGGAAATTTGGCACTTTTGGGAAGGCCAGTCTGAAGTCCGGAGAAAAATCCGGACTTGCGTCCGGACCTAAAACCCCCTTGTCCCGAACAGCATATTTGGGGCATTATCAGGGGTCCTGCCATAACAGTACTGTACTTCAGCAGCACAGAGTAGACAGGCACCAAAGGTTGACGCCTACTCCAGAACCAGTATCCTCATTGAGAGCACTTGAAAATATTTGAACCGGAGAATAACCCGGCTACAATATCCCCAAGATCCCCATGAAAGCATCGCGTCTTATGGCGTCTGCACGCCTAGAATGAGACCGACCATGCAACTACGAAGACAACGCAAGAATGTCGAATGCAGACCCGTGACTCTCTATCCTCTTCTTTTAGCGTCGTAGATACTTGCGATCGATAGCTTTTGTATTCTGCTACCATGTCCACCGAGACCAAGCATTATCTGCCAACTGTCGACAACCTCCAAGCCGCGTTCCCTGCGGACGTCGATGGCCAAAAGGTCGCTCAGGATTGGCTTGATTCCTTTTCCAAAGCTGTCAAGGCAAATGACGTCGATGGCGTCCTTGCTCTCTTCCATCCAGATGCTTGGTGGAGGGACATCTTTGCTTTGACCTGGGACTTGCGTACCTTCCAAGGATCACAAAAGATCAGGAAGTTCCTCGAAGATCGTCTTGCGGGTGCAAAGATCCAGAATATCAAACTGGACAATGCCAGAGTGGACCACCCATTTGACGATCTTACTTGGATAGAGTTACAGTTCAATTTCCAGACGGATGTTGTTGGCGGTACGGGGATCGCCAGGCTCGTCCCCACCGCAAACGGAGAGTTCAAAGCGTTTTTGATATGGACCAACCTGGAGTCCCTCAAAGATCATCCCGAGAAAACCGGACCCAACAGGAACTTTGCACCCAACCACGGTAAATGGCTCGACCAACGCAAACGTGAACAAGAGTTTGCAGATGGTGATCCTGACGTTCTTATCGTTGGCGGCGGACAGTCCGGTTTAGACCTCGCTGCCCGCCTGAAGCTCCTTGGTGTGTCGAACTTGATCATTGAAAAGCAAGATCGCATCGGCGATCAATGGAGAAATCGGTACTCGGCATTGTGTCTTCATGATCCTGTCTGTGAGTAGTCTGAACGTTACTGATTGCCCGACGGCCGTGTTGAGACATCGCGTTAGGGTTCGATCATATGCCATACATCCCGTACGTCCGGCTGCCCCGACCTTTAACTTCGACCTGACCCCTCTGTAGTTTCCCTGAATCATGGCCAGTATACACGCCTGCACAAAAGGTATTACTTTTCAGAGGTACGTTCGGACTGGATACTAACATCTCTCCAGCTTGCGAACTGGCTAGAATTCTTCGCGGAAGCCCTCGAACTTGACATCTGGACATCCTCTGTCGTGACCAAAGCTGAGCGCGAAGAAGCCTCAGGCAAATGGCTTGTCACAGTGCAAAAAGGCGACGGATCCGAGCGTATTTTCCGCGTCAACCATCTCGTCTTCGCTCTTGGTCTTGGTGGTGGCAATCCGAACTTACCTAACATTCCTGGACGCGTGAGTTTTCACGCCGAGAGTAAGATGCCAGAAAAAGTATTGACATATGGTTGTATAGGAGGAGTTCCAAGGGGAGACCCTCCATTCGACTCTGCACCACGCGGCCAAAGATCACGTTGGCAAGAAGGTCGTCATCATCGGTGCCTGCACATCAGGTAGGTTCTTAAGACCTTTTTGTTTCCCACATTCAAGACTCAAGGTCCCTTCTAGCACACGATATCGCTGCTGACTACGCTGAACATGGTGTTGGTAAGTATACCATTGCGGGCTCAGTCTCAACTTAGTCTGACGATAACGATTCTCAGATGTCACGATCTATCAACGCAGTTCTACTTATGTCATGACCACCAAAGAGGGTATGCCTCGATTGATGCAACGTAAGCTCGTTCGTAGTGTCATTAATGTCTAACCAACTCAAGACGCCTATATCGTCAGCCTTGTACTGGGAAGGTGGACCTCCGACCGAACAAGCCGACCGCTTGAGCAACTCCGTGCCCATCTATTTCAGCAAGTTGATCGCTCAGAGAAAATGCGCACATATCCACGAGGCTGATAAGTAAGTGTTACTGATCGGGAACGACTGTATTTATTGAACCTGATGTTTACTCTCTTTCTAGGGAATTGCTGGATGGCCTTCACAAGGTCGGATACAGAACCAATTTCGGTGAAGACGGTTCCGGATTCTTGTTCCTCTCTTTGAAACGTGTTGGTGGATACTATCTAGGTGAATCCTCTTTCTTTTTCTCCGCCTGTCATCTTTTTTCAATGTGCTTCAGATGTCGGTGCATGCCAGATGATCATCGATGGAAAGATCAAGCTCAAGAACGATAGCGAGCTGGAGGGCTTCACCAAAACTGGTCTCAAGTTCAAGGATGGCAGCACGCTTGATGCTGATGTTGTCCTCTACGCTACTGGGTACGTTCATGAAGTCACATCGCTATCGACACAATATACTGATTTGTACGGATGTCGCCTATAGATTCGGCGACTTCCGTGATCCTATCCGCAAACTTGTTCCTGGAGATGTTGGGAGGAAATTGCCTGTGATCTGGGGTCTCAACGATGAGGGCGAGATCAGAGCAACTTGGCGTGAACTTGGGACGCCCGGATTGTGGTACATGATGGGTGCGTTCTACGTTGTTTGTCCCTCACCCCACAATATTCTGTAGTTCTAACATGTATCCTAACAGGGAACCTCGCTTGGAGCAGGTTCTTCTCCAAACACGTCGCGCTTCGTGAGTGAACGCTTCCTCCATTGAATCCTTCTTGCCATACTCACGTACCTATATCTGTAGAAATCAAAGCACAGCAGGAAGGCATTTTTGGCGAACGTTACTCTGCTCCCCCGGTCTATTAAATGCTTGGTGCCGATATAGAAATGCTCATGTAAGAAGAACGAATCTCAACGTTGTACAATGTGTCTTGTATTACCCTCGAGTGTAACCAATACCCTCCTAGGAGATGGAGAAGATTCTGTATCGATATAAAACTGTGTTTCTTGCACGTACATGACGTGTTGGTATCGGAAGTGACTTTATCGCATTGATGAAAACGCAGGTATCCGACGTACGTTTACGACCGTACTATGACCTCGATTTCACTCTTTCCGACTTCATCTTTCCAGGCTTCCAGGCTCTCGCAGACAACGGGACTGGCAGGTCGCTTTGCGCCAGCAGCAGCCATTTCGATAGCCTCGACATCCGTTCGTATCACGGGTTTTTCCTTCAAGTCCTTGCCTCCCTTGAGTACCACCCTCCGTAGTCCAAGGCAAAGCACGAATTGCAACACAGCGATACCAGCCAAGATTTGGAATCCAAGCTGGAATGCTTGAACGTATGCAATTCTGACGTAGTTCCCTAGTCTTGGATCTTTGGATGCTGCTACAGCGTCGTTGATGTGGGGGATGGTATTGGCTCCAACTAGAGAACTTAGGCGCATTCGGAATGTGTTGTTGATCACTGTATAAAGGATATGGTGAGCAAGTAATGACAACAACCTTGATGCGGGAGACATACCTGTTCCGATAATACCGACACCAAGGACGCCTCCCAGGTTAGGCGTAGCACTGATTAAAGCAGTGACGGTCGGAAGAAGATCTTCCGGCAGTCCGATTTGTGCAATAACAAGGGAGAGTTGAGTTCCCTGAAGTCATGTATCAAAAGTTTGGGCCGTTATGTCAGGCAGAGTGACTTACCCCACCAAAGCCAAAACCACAGATAAGGGAGTATCCTACGATCTGACCGATATGACTACTGGCATTGAGTGTAGACATCAAGCCCTGCGTAACATGAGTTCTACCTCCCAAAGCTTTGAGCAGGTCGATGGCTTACCTCGCCTATGGGCAAAATGACAAGGGCGATGAGGAACAAGGGGCGAGTCCATCCGGTTCTCTGAGCTATGTAACCAGCCAATATGCTTGCGATGGCAGCCATTAGCAGGAACGGAATAACCAGGGCGGCCGCCACGACCTCTGGTTGTCCTACCACCTGAAGGAAGACTGATCGCACGAGATCAGTAAACCTCTGCATCACAATTTGGTAAGTAACTCACTTGGCACGTAGAAGGTCTTGTTCATAACATCAATTAAAGATACATGTCGTCCGAATAATGAAAGGAAACGTACCGTGGCAAAAAGATGAAAGAAGAGTAAACATCGGACAACTGCACTCTATTGAATACGATTCGTGCGAGGAAGGCGTTGAAAAGCCTACTCGTCATGATAGGGACATTCCTCCATTTGAGATCAGTGAACAAGCTAATCGGGACCACCGGATGAGTTGCAGATCGCTCGGCGAAGATGAAGGCAAGGAAAGCACCCCCTGCACCCGCGAACAAGCCGATGATGGTAGGTGATTTCCAAGGACGAGCCTCGCCACCGAGGTTTAGGGATATAATCAGGAGAGTGAGACTAGTGATTAGCATCATCATTCCCATGACATCTAGGTTGCGCATTGCGAATCGCCAGTTCAAGGATTGTGACTTTGAATGCCGCAAGTGTACAAGAAAGATTAGCGCAAGGGAAACTACAGCATGTTAGCACATGGTGCGACCTAAGATCATTAGAAACATACTGATAGGCCCGAATGGTGCGTTAAATAGGAAACTGGACGGGAAAGTGAGAGTTAGCGCATCGGAATGTATATCCCGCAACTTATAGTACTTACATCCATCTCCAGTTTCCAGACCTAGCAAAGATGCCTCCGATGATGGGGCCAATAGAGTCAGCAAATATGAAAACGACGTTGATGAGGTTCAAATAGGATCCTCGTTGACGTTCATGAGTCAACTCTGTGAATGGTAAGCAATTGGAAGTTTGGGGTCAAATGAACACCGCGGGATACATACGGGAGACCATGATAGTTGAGAGAGCTAAGAGACCCGCCCCACCAACACCACTGATCAGTCGTCCAGCAACAAGCTGAGGCAATGTCTTTGCGGCGCCTGCGATTACATTGCCGATAATAAAGACCCAGACTTCAACCAGTAGCATGCGCTTAGCTCCAAAAACGTCCTAAACCGAGTCAGATTATGGCTGCACTTTGCAATCATACAGTCAGTGGCACAACCTACAGAAAGTCGCCCTGTAATGGGCTGGATGACGGTTGTCGTCAGAAGATATGAGGTTGTGATCCATGTCAGAGAGCCCGTGGCGTGTACTCCAAGTCCAATATCTGAGACTGCGGTGGCAACGATAGTTTCCTCTAACGAAAAGGTATTAGCTCAGTAGCTGGGCACCACGTTGAGGTGCAGATCAGAGGTACCTACCAATGGCATAGAGAAAAACGCAGAGGCCCAAACTACGAGTCTCAGCGTTCAAACGCGTTGATTTCCAGGAGGACAACAGTGTCCTACCTGAGTAAAATGGCTCCTACACGAGCTTTAGACATGTCGTCAAATTTTTCGCATGGGACTTCGTCAGAAGTAGCCTCGACTTGCGACTCTGATTGACGATTGTTTGCCAACATCTCATCGTTCTCCTCGTGAGTCGTCACAGACTTCACCCGTGGAGAACATTGGTGTCCTGTCATCTTTAGAGGTGCACTCTGGATGCTTCGAAGCCTGAAGGAACAGCTCGAAGTCCCCGTCCAGGGTCAAGGTGCGAAGACACTCCCATCAAAGAGAAAATATGACTCAGATCTTCATTCCAAGGCGCTTGCCTTTTTCGTCTCACCCTGTGATCTTGCATCAAAAGTCAACATTTACAGTCAACGTCAAGTCCAACTCAAGGTTAATCGTGTCGACCACGAAGATATAACGAGAGTGACTGAACGAACCTTTCTAGAGGTCTCCAGGATACCATGAGCGTAAACGTATTGTCAGACCACCTGGGCATGTCTACAGCGATTCTAGAGGCCAAGCAGAGTCGCAAAAAAGGAGGCATACCTATTGGCTCTGCAATTGTATATCACGGAGATAGTGCTGTAGGACCACAAGTATTGGGTTCTGGGCACAACCAGCGCATCCAGAAGTCCTCGGCGATACTTCATGGAGAGATTGCCGCCCTGGATTCAGCCGGCAGACAGAAGCCAGAAGCTTATCGAAACTCGACAATCGTAAGTTCGAATATCAATCTGTTGAACTTTTGAATGCCCTGTTTCGCGGTTCCATTTCTACGGTCTCCTTAGGAGCTGTAGACCTCGATCCACCCGACATAATTTCATTACTGACCGAGTTCTTAACCCCTTTGTATATTTGAACTAGTATACCACATTAAGGTGAGTAAAGGAAGTTATCAACGTGTTACATGTGAACCTCCTGATCTTGTCCTGATCTATGCTTAGTCCATGTAGCATGTGTACTGGAGCCATTTTGTTATATCGCATACCTCGTGTAGTAATTGGTGAGAGCCGCAATTTCCGAGGAGACGAGGACCTTCTTCGAAGTCGTGGAGTTGAAGTTGTAGTGTTGGACAACAACGAATGTTATGAACTGATGAAAGAATTCATCGAGACACACCCCGAGGTTCGCCCAACGTCCATCTATGTGCTATGTGGTCATCTGACGAGTGACCTACCTCTTTGTACTTAGGAATGGAATGAGGATATTGGAGAGACTGTAGCCCCGCCGTCATGAGGTGATCAGGATATTGAAATGCGTATCGTATAACCGCGGAAAGTATACAATTATATATGGATGAAAGCTATTAACAGAGAACGATAACACGAAAACTATGTGCTGAACATTTAGCAAGTACAATGTGCCATTGTATAAGTACACGAGTAACGGGACGAATTGCAATATACGGTAGATACATGGTATTACACCCTGGGCATATAAGTAGGTGTATGTTGGTCAATCGGAAGAAATGCGTGTGACAACGAGCTAGATTGGCTATAATCACAGGACATCGACGGGCTAGAATATTGCTCAGGAGGAAAGATGTTCCAGTCCTGAACATCCGTGTCCCATTGGTATGCTGATAATTGATCCAAAAACATGTCTTCACGTAATGCTTGGTAGTTGGAAGACGGAGAGGCGAACGATGGTGATGGTACAACGGGACTAAAGTCCGACATAGGTGTATATGGGTATAAACATGAATAGGTATCGAGCTGTTGAGTCGCCATTGTGCTATTGGGTATAGGGTGGACGGAATGGGGACGGTTTATTAGTTGACGAGATGTGATACGCGCAGCATGATGTCGAGTGTATGGACTGTACGCCTTCTTGTTCAAACGGTTCTCCGACGTACGTCGAATGCAACGATCCAATAGGAAAGGATTGTGGACATCTGGAAATGGAGTGACAGGCCTGTCGGGTTCTGAACTAGGAGAAGGAGACGGGGATTCGCTGCACCGAGACGAAGGATTCGTGTTAACTTGGACCCACGTAATGCTTCCCGTATCTTTCAGCGGATATGTAGAGATAGCATCTTCATGTTCGCTTCTAATAGGTGAACTGTCGGTGAGCATAACGGGTCAAATCAAATAGTGCCACTGGCAAGCTTACACAAAGACCAGGCGACCCGCAGTATCCGTTTTTGTACGAGGAGGCTGGCGAAATTTTGAAACGTTCGTAAGAAGCTCCGAGCTGATCTTGAGATCACGAAGCATCATGATAGATGAAGGCGCCTGCAATTCTCCAGATCGAACGTCGGAAGGCTTATAGTACGATACGAGATGATGGATGATCCCATTGATCTTGAGGGAAATTGTCTGAGACACATGCATTAGATAGACAAGGAAAAGATGTTGGGAAGCACGCGAACCTTCTTCATCATGCCATCTTCCTTGAGTCCACGACCTTTACTCCAGCTACCGTAGATACATTTCTCTAGGTCCACGTCTCGTTCTTTAATGGAGATATCGGTGGGTTGAATTTCAGAGTACGAATAGGGAGACTTTGATGCTGATTCCACATCTTCTCTTTCACGGTATATCATCTGTATTCTCCATCAACTACCGATCAACCGTTATGACAGTCATCAGACCCACAAAGTTACCCAACATCCGGGATGCTGACCAAAGGAAAGGGTCCGTCCAACGCTTGATGCCACTCTCTTCTTCCGTAAAGACGAGAATGGCTCCGCTCTTGATGATGTCGCGTTTTTCCGCGTCGTGAAATCGACGAGTAACGCGAGGGATGATACCTTTCCTGCCTGCCTCAAAGACAAGAAGAGCATCCTTGGTTGTCCTGAGCCAGCCGCGGAAGATGTTTGTGCCCGAACTTCCGCTTTGCGACGAAGCAGGCATCATTGGGGGAGCGCGGAAAATGGATGAATAATTACTGAGGGGCGCGGGGCGAGAAAAATCCCCGATTGTGGAGGAGTAGAAAGAAATGCTGGATGTTAAAGTACCAAGAATCCGAAATGCCAAATGTCAAGCCCCGGTCCAACTGCGTTTGAATCATTTTGGGATAGTGGGACAAGAAAACAAGAGCGATTTCCTGGTCCCTGCTTGCACGTTACCCGGATGTCACCAAGACAGGGTTGTATTTCGAAGCGAGATCTAGTTTAGACGGATTAGACTGCGCTGTGTGGGCGTACCGTGGGATCCCGTCGTTCTGGCCTCGTCTTAGCCTTGACAAGTGGTCCGGTGAATTGCTTGTGGAATCTTGTGGAGACTCCACTTGGTTACATTGTCTGCTGGCATCGCCACTTAGTCATTGATGCTTCGCTAATGACGTTAGTACCTGATGGCCGGGTGGAATTGACCTTGTTGCCCCTGTAGATATTACAACAACCACACAAATAGAGATGGCGGTATGGTTGGCGGAAAATGGTAGTGTATCGTGGGGCGGGGCCACCTCAGTATCGTTACAGAGATACGGCGTCTCGTGACTAGTTTGTATCTCTTGGAATACGGATATCTGAGTTACCACAAGTGAGATAATGAGACGGGCATCTGCGAAGCGTAAAAGGGTCACAGCAACGGTAGACAATTACATCATAGAACTCAAGGTAAAAGACAAAGCACGCCGCTCGCCTTTCGGTTGGGAATATGCAGCACCCGAGGCGGAGATGTACTCATTGAGCTGCTGTCGCTGAGATTTAGGTGATGTAATGTCAGAGGAGTGAAAAATTTCCGAGGTCACAATAGGAAGGGGGGGTCGACGTTTTGCACATGTTCGCTCCGCGCATGAGCAGGAAGAACATTTCATTGTTTGCTTGCATCAGGGCGATCAAAATGGGGGTGGGTTGTTAGCTCTTCAGGTCTCGTCGCCAGGTGCTCACGCGGCCCCGAATGACAGGCAGAAATGATCGAACTAACCGGCGCCGATACGCTTCCACACAAACATAGCATGCAATGTGTTGCATTAGACCATGTATAGAACCTATGAATTGTCACTTCCCCGCATTCTGTATGCAACAACAAGGTGTTGTATTTCCTGTCTAGGTAAGGTGCAAATTAGTACCCGACTTACTTGTCCGTCGAGTGCGATAAGAACGGCGAAAGAGTAGTCAAGGATCCCCATCTGCAGGTAAGACTGCAGCACAGTTATCCCAGGCCCAGGCCCCAGGGTAGCGTTGGTACCTCTACTGTACCTCTGATGGGATGCCCTGGGTTGATGGGAGCTGGTCATCGTGCCTGTGCCACCTTGTATTTCTTCAAGTCTGCGGTTGAGTAGACAGTAAGACTACTCAAGCTTCAAGACAAAGAAAATTGAAAATCTCTTTGACCTTGCATAAACGAAATATCGCCGTCAGCCTTCGCGCCCATTGACAAAATGTCCTCCACAGCACCTCCGCGCTACTGTATGGTTTCTCGTATTAGTGCATGTATATGCAAATGCAGAAATTCGCCAAAGCCAGAGTATCAAAGCTGTCTTTCGCGAGACGATAGAAACTGGAACTACTCGCACCCATAATAAGTAACCGGCGTTTAGACGCCCAGCGCGTCGCGTCGCGTACGGATGTAGTTTTGTTTAGTCTGTACTCCAGCATCCACCTATAACACATGTGCTTGTTATGCTCATTACTAAATCTTCTCGCTCTCAACATGATTCTCCTAAGAAGAACCGGCTAGTTGGAGCCATCCAAGCCGGCATGAGCATCACTGAAGCGGCACGGCTTACAGGCATCCCACGCCAGACAGCATCAGACATCTGGCACAAGTACATCAAAACTGGCACCACACACAATCGCCCCCGTTCTGGTCGTCCACACAAAGTCACGGATCGCATGAAGGCTCTGGTGGTGAGGAGGGCAGTGAAAGAGCGGAGGGTGACATTTGCAGAGATTGGAAACCAGGTAGACCCGAAGATCAGTGAGGGCACTGTTCGGAGCATTCTCAAGGAACGAGGATATGGTCGTCGGATTGCTCGTCAAGTGCCATTCCTTACTAAGAAGCAGAAGAAGGCTCGCATGCATTGGGCACAGAAATACAAGAGCTTTACAAGCCAGGATTGGCAAGAAGTTGCATTCTCCGATGAGTGCTATATTTACTTGGGAGATGATCGAGGCCGAATCTACATTACACGCCGTCCTGATGAAGTCTTGCGAGAGGAATGCCTAGTACCAACCTTCAAGCAGTCCTCCATCCGTGTTATGGTCTGGGCTTGCATTATTCAGGGGCGCAAGGGGCCATTGATTGTGTTGGAATACCCAGGAGGGAGAGGTGGGGGTATGAACACTGCTAGATATCGGGAACAGGTGTTGGATGGGGTTTTTTTGGATTGGTATAAAGAGATGAAGCTACAGAGGGGTCCCATTACCTTCCAACAGGACAATGCTCCATGCCACACCAGCAAATCAACCCAACGATGGTTCACTGATCATGAGATACCACTTCTCTTCCATCCCCCCAATTCCCCAGATCTCAATCCCATTGAACATGTTTGGCATGAGGTCAAATCTGCTCTGCGTAATCTCAGGCATCCTCCGAATACCCAAGAACAGCTTCAAGCTGCTGTCCATTGTGTGTGGGATGAATTACCTATAGAAGATGTGAACAAGCACATCAATCGGATGCCAGACAGAGTTGAGGCTGTCTTGGCTGCTCATGGTGGACATACAAGTTTTTAAATACATAGATAGCTAGAATAGATATCTAATACATTGTATATACAGTTGTAGTGCCGTCTGTTCCATAGACAGTCGGTTGTCTCCTCCTCAAATCGATGTGAGTCACGTGACGCGACGCGCCGCGCGTCTGGCGCCGGTTACTTATTGTGGGCATGAGTACAGTAGTAGAATCGAGCAAATGCGCGCGAGAGGGTTACAGTCAGTTAGGAAGGTTCTTCTCACGATCATGCTTTCAACCAAGTTGTAGACGCTCGAGTACAGTATTCTCTCCATCCGCCTTCAAGCTTTCAAGCTTCAAGTTAACCTTGCTCAGACCAGTTCTTCGCAAGTCCACCTTTTCCCTACATCCATGGCTCGCCGTTCAGCACCGCCAAACGCAGGTCCTGCATACTACGGAGCACCCACTCAACGTCGCCAGCTGAACGACCCCAATGAGTCTGCTTTCTCTCGATTCATGCGCGAGGAGGTTTGGGCAGCAGAGAAGTTGCCAGGAAATGTCAACATCGTAACTGGTTTGGCACTTTTCTTTGGAGGAATCTTCGCGATCAGGACTTGGGGAGACCAGATGATTACAGTTTGAGGTCGAAGGGAGGATGATGACGACGTGAGGACGTCGCATATGCCATCTTCACACTCCAAAATGGTAAGTACACTATACTTTGGCATCTCAGTGTTGTAGCCTGACATATCTTCAAACTCTGTCTGGTAGCACAGTTGCTGCTATCATACTTCCCAACGCTGCGACGCATGCGCCCATGCCAACGCTTACCCACGCTCCTGCACCTTATACGTTACGTTCCTGTAATATATCGACGCCCACTCTCATCAATGAGTACTGGTCCATCATGTAGTTCTCTGCACTGTAGTGGATGCACGACACCAAGGCGACAGTTTGATAGTTGCTTCAGCGACTTAGTATCTGGAGGCGCTGGGAAACCGGACTCTCCGCTGCCATCCCCGTCTATCATATTCCAGGTCGCCAATCACAGAGGCGCGAGCCAGAGCTGTTGTGGACCACAACCAGGTCTATATCCAGGTATCCTACATTGAATACATCGATCCGCTTCATGCTCGTACGTGAGATCACAGGCATGAGGTACGATATTGCTAACATTCTCCAGAGATTCTCAGGCAGGTATAGTACATAGAGCGATAAGTCCGAGAAAAGGAATAGTAAAACATACAAGCATTGAAGCGTTGAAGCGTTAAAGCGTCCCCGTGAAATGAGACATTCTATGGGTTAATGAGTGTCAGCATCTGGTCTACCCCAGCGCACAGTGCGGACAGCTCCGTCGTGCCAGTCCTGCACCCGTCTCCGTGCCACAGTCGAGAATGTCGAACGGTCAGTGCCAACAAAACCAAGCCCTGCAGACTGTACATATGCATCTAAAATGACCGGATACCTGAGGAAATGACATGACTTCAGTTATGGCTCATACACAAACAAGTGAGCATGAATGGTACGTACCATTCACCATGGGTCTCCGCGGTGCGTTCCTTGGCATGATCTATGCGAAGCCATCCCATGGCCTTGACTTTGTCCCACCACTTTTCGTCTTCTTCATCACTAGTCACGATGACGTGCTCAACATGAACACCTTTGCGCTCCAACAGCTCCTTCTGAATCTCCGCAATTCGGACAGCAAAGACAGACAGTGGAGCGAAACAATCCTGGGGGTCTAACTCGTTGCACCAATTTTTGAAGTCTCCATGGCGAGCGTGGATTGTTATGTGCTAGGAACAGCAGGAGATGTAAGTAACCATGGGGTGCACCGCAGGGTCAACATACCAGTGGAATTGGATCATGCTCGGTAACATTAAGAACCCGTCTGAGGTATTCGCCACCCAGCTTCTCAACCTCCGATGTCCATCGAAAGTGTCGTTGGACCGCATGCCATGAAGGGTATACATCCCTGTCATACTCAAACGGCTATACCCATATGGTCAGTAAGAGAACATATTGGCACAGCGCCCAAGGAACCGAAGACAGCCATATACGACGGAAATTCTCAACTCACCACGTCGGCAGAGACATAAAACAAATAGTCAAAGCACAGCAGCTGCTCATCTGGCGGTGTTGACGTCCCTGTGCGCACTCCAGGGGTAGTAACCACCTCTGGAGAGGCTAACGCTTTCGCACGCATGTCGGGAAACGCGAGCGGAGCTAGCGCCCAGAACGATGAGTGTGCGTCGTGGATGAAGCCTGGGATAAGTTTCACAGATGTCGGGGCACGGGTATATGATATGTCTAACGTGCAATACAAATGATGTCTAATTAGTGCGAGGTAGCTTGACGGGGCGGGTATGTATAGACTGAAACAGGGTATATCGACTGTACGTACCTAGGACGAGTGAAATGGGATTCCTACTCTCCCTGGGACCTGATGCCCGCATGTCATCTACTTCGAATATGTTCCAGCATCCGAGGATGTCGGTCTCTTCGCTCCGAGGGTCCTTGACTTCTTGCCATTCTAACACCGGGATGTTGAGTGCCCGTCGGAGCCGTGGAAGGTCGAAAATGGCCGAAAAGGGCATAGGATTAGGACGCTTCCCGATATATGAATCCACAGGAGGGAGGATGGGGATGCGATTGGTGATCATGGCGAGGTATATCAAATTTCCCTGAAAGACAGTACAGTCATGCTGCGAACCGCAGTGGGATATACGACGAAACGTACTAGAGTCATCACATCGTTTGCTACAAACAGATGATCAGGTACCGTCAGATACATCGCAGACGTCGCGCTTACTGAAGCCGGCCGACAACCAGGACGTGAGATAACGGGTCTCGTTTCGCAGGTTGTCTATGGTACGTTCCTTCAGCATCCTCGATCTGGTATTGACATCTAAACATACCTCTGAAGTGTTTCGTAGGCGGTCCCACAAGCACTTGGGACAAATCTAATGAAACGTCCTCGTTGGGGCGGGCAACGACCCCCTGTGAAGGAAAGGTAAAGGCTTCGTCTGATATCCTCCATGGAGATGATTTGGGGCCAATCGCCTGAGATAACAGAATTAAAGCGAAGAAAGCTCCTAGTCCCAAAGCGATCCACTGCCTCGAAGACATCCTGGGAATCACGACAGCCTTGAAAGCCTTGTGAGAAGCGGACATCGAGTTGGGATATGAACTGTGTCGTGAATGTAGTGGCTTCACTTCAACAGAGCGTCCCCTCCTGTGGGCATCGTCGCGGGGCATAGAGCGAGCAAAGAAGCCCTTGTTATCGTAGAGCACGTTGAACGCAGACTTCTGGAGCGCATTAGAGCCGTCATTGCGGCCACAAAACCCCTATAGCAGTAACAATGTTCGGGCCAAGCGTCGGAACCTAAACCCCTTACAGCCGGCAAAACCCCAAATAGGGTGTAGCAAAACCAGAGTGTTGTTCTGCAGGTTCTTAGTTACGAGGATAATGGGATGTGGATGTACCCACATTATACATCGTTTTCATTCCATGGCTTCAACGGTTCAAGCATTCACTTGGTATATCGTTAAAATTCATTGTCTTTGGCTAGGCACAAGCTGCCGTACAGTGCCTTGCAAGTTGCAGCCGCAAGCCTCGATGAACCTAGTGTGACGGAGTCACAATGCACCGGGCACCATTTATGGAGGTCACACTGTTGGGAACAGTAGCGACGGCGTTACAGTAAGTGCGCCTTCAACGTCACCAACGCTCACATCGACCCTCCGTGAGGGTGTCATCACGACATCTACGGAACAACAGTCGGTGCCTTGCGTAACGAAATAGGGATAGTACTACTGCGTATTCTTCTCAGCATCCCTCGGTCCCTTATGAACCATCACTTCTCCCAGGATCTGTCAACAAGTGCATTGCATCCTACTAAGACGCGTTTGCCAATGCCATAGCCCACCACGCATAGTGTCAATTTGCCTGAATTCTCCTTAGTATGCAATGCACTTCTCAGCGGCCAATGATGGAGGCGCTATCGGAATATTCATTCACATGAAGCGCTCACCGCCTCCATCTTTCATCTTCGAAAAGCGGAACAATAGTCATGAGAAAAATCTCACTATCTCAAACGGTAAGCAATGTGAACAGCGTCTGTTCACTCAGATTTTGACTCGAGAAAGCTCCTCTCAACTTTCCTGTGCAGTGTTTGTAAACATCTGATAAAATGATCGATGCGTAGTTTTCCATGCAACCTTCATCTCATCGAACTAAGGCCAAAGCCGAAATGTATTCTGTTTATGTCATGGTAATGACATATTATTGTATCACGTTTCATGGGTTTGAGTCCTCCCATGGCCATGTTTCTGACCACCGCCGATATGCTAGATTGCAGCACGTCTTTCGAGACTGGTGTGTGAGCTACATCATTTTTATCCTTCGTTGACACAATGTCCAAACTTCACACACAATATTGCGGGTAAGAACCACCCGCCTCTAGATTGGGCCAGGACTCAGCGCCCGATCGTTTTCCTGTCGCAACATGGTATTCTCGATGCCTTAGTTGAATGATGATCGGAATGCATCCCGGGAACGGGGTGCCTCCATCCAAGCCCACATCCGTGGGGCTGGACAAAATCGGAGAACAATCCTACCTATGGGAAGGTCTGCCTTACCACTTCCCCGGATGTCAATCCCACAGTACGGAAACTGCAAGTTTCCTTCTCACTGACTTCATCGTGCCTCAACGTCGGGCGCCACCACTAAGGTGTCAGAAGTCGAGTTGAGTATGCACGCCCACCGATTGGGTACCAGTCTACTGATGACAGCTGTATTCGTTCATTCACACAAGGATGGTTGGTTCTGCTGAAGTGACTCGAAAATGCCGATCTTCACGTTGCATTCGGCAGTTAGACGATTCATCCTGAATTGCAAACGCCCCTTTTGACATTTCCTGTGAGCATATGTGAGCAACGGGGCAGCCATTTGTTCCTTCGAGGCATCGTCCCGGAGGCGCACAGCGAGATCCGGCATTCCAGTCGTCGCGGTCCTAGTTGTATCCTGTTACCACGGACAACGCTTCTGCGGGGCACTGTCACTGCAGCCTTCATCGAGGTATATAAGCCGCGCACCTCCAGACTCCGTCCTTTAGTGCTCTTTAAGTTACTTGCATCACTTGCAGTCACTCCTTTCATCTTCTCCATACCCTCCTCTCATAATTATAAATGTCTATCAAGACCGTTTTCGCGTTGGCTGCTCTCATCGTTGCTGCTTCCGCGGCCCCCTCCAATAGAGCTGTGTGTAGCAAAGGTCGAACAGCAGCCCATGCTACTGTGAATAGTCATGGCATGTTGTTTGGGTGAAGACCACTGATTCATTAATAATTGTAGTGCTGCAAGTGGTTCGACGTCTTAGATGACATCCAAGATGGCCTGTAAGCATGTTGTTTGACTGCACTCTCTGTGTTCTGTATTAATGTTACTTAGGTTTGATGGCGCCGAATGTGGTGAGGAAGTACACGAGGTAAATTGTTTCATTGTTCATATATCAATGTCATTGCTAAAGCTCTTCTTTACCGCAGTCTCTCCGAGTATGCACATTCCCCTCATGCTTAATACTTCGCATTAACGACCTGAAATATAGCTCACTTTCCATGATGCTATCGGGTTTTCCTTGACACATCCTCTCACTGGGTAAGCTTTGGACCGCTCGCTAATGGATCTAATTACTTATATGCTCATCTAGTGGAGGAGGAGCTGGTGCATATAACGTATTGGTCCTCTTCGTGATCAACTTGCTGAATTGCTTTCTAGATGGCTCCATCATGGCGCACTCTGAGATCGAGACGAAATTTCGTGAGTTTTCTGTACCTACGAATTGTGGAGCCTTCGGAATAACCGACCTGGTCAACAGCGGCCAACAACGGCGTGGACGACATCATCGAACAGCAACGTCCCATTGCGATCAAACATGGCGTCTCCTTCGGCGACTTGTACGTAGTCCTCTACATTAATATAAGTGTTTGAAATTAACTTTGCGACTCTCACAGCATCCAGTTCGCTGGTGCCGTTGGCGTGTCCAATTGTGCCGGCGGTCCGAGACTTCAGTTCCTGGCTGGCCGCTCCAACTTCTCTTTCCCGGCTCCGGACAAGACTGTTCCTGAACCACAGGATTCTGTCAACTCTATTCTCGCACGTTTTGCTGACGCTGGATTCTCGCCGAATGAGGTCGTCGACCTTTTGGCGTCTCACAGTGTTGCTGCGCAGGATCATGTCGACGAGACAATTCCTGTCAGTCGAATCTCTACTGGCACCATGAGCCATATTGACGTCTATTACAATATTAGGGTTCGCCCTTTGACTCCACACCCAGCTCCTTTGATCCTCAAATTTTCGTTGAGGTATGTCCGTTTCAGCCAGACATGTTCTTCGCTCGTCCGCAGTCTTGACAGATACCTGTCATTTCCAGACACTCCTCAAGGGTACGGCTTTCCCTGGGAACGGTGCCAACACTGGCGAAGTTCAATCCCCACTTCCAGGCGAATTCCGTCTCCAATCCGACTTTGCCATAGCTCGTGACCCCAGGACTGCTTGCGAGTGGCAATCCTTCGTCAGTAAGTAGTATATCATTCATTTCTTCAGCAGCGTGAAACCAAATGTGCATAAATTTCAGATGATCACGCTTCCATGGTCAAGAAATTCGAAAAAGCCATGTCCAAGCTTGCTGTCCTTGGTCATGTCCCCGCTCTGCTCACCGACTGTTCAGAAGTCATCCCCCAGCCTAAGGCTGCCGCTTCGAACGTCGGGGTCATCCCTGCCGGGAAGACCCTCAAGGATATTGAGGCCTCTGTATGTATTCTGCGACGTAGTTTGTCATAGATTGACAGCTGATGATTCTCCCGCGTAGTGCAAAGTGAAGCCATTCCCGTCCCTCTCGGTTCTGCCTGGACCTATCCAATCCGTCCCGCCTGTGTAAGTACTCTTTTTTCTTGTTTTGAAAGCCGAGACTGAACTCCCTGGCTAGCCCTGCTTCATGAACGGCCACCATTGCATTGAAACACTTCTCTCACTACTTAATTAATCTAAAGTGGGCTTTCCACTGGCACGAACGGTGTAATATATGGGTGGAGTATCTATTATTACTTATATACGGATCATACACATCTACATAGGTATCCTCGGGTTTGCTTACCCGTCGTATACATACTCGACTTATAAACTGGATTCGCATGACGTTTGGATTTTGTGATCACATTATCCTGCGTTGGATTTGAAAATTGAGCAGTGAACTAGTTTCGATAATTCCCTAACTGCGGCGCATCTTGGCGCAAACCATATATCATACGTCCCTCATGATCACTCATCATGATTTGGCTGCCCGTGTGTGAGAATGCGTCGCTCGTATTTGAGCTCGTAGATGTAGGTTACTACCCTGTTCCGTTAGGTCGAACACTCGGTCATCTTACATCGATATCCGTACTAATTGTACCCAAGAGCTGGTCATTCATAAACATACTTCTTGAAGTCGCGTAATCCTCGACACAATAATCCTTCACCTACCATGGGCTCAAATTAGATCTCCACAGGTCTCAGGAACGACCTTCCTCTGCTTACCTGCTAACAAGCGGCAGAGCATACGCCGCTGACATAGCCATGGTACCACGCTCACGGTGATGTGCCTGTTAGGCACGACCTTAGATGACTCGATAGTCGAAGTTCACCTGTCAAGCAACCTGTGGGTCAAACGAAGATAAACAAACCCTTCCTATCTTCGTCTTGCAAATCGAAATCTTGTTGCGCTCGCAATGCTACGGAAGACCGCTGAACGTCGTAGAAGCCAATCGAGATCGTCCGGCGCGCATTATCGGTTTCGATTGTTTATTACTTCCACAATCGGTTGGGAGCTGTAACAAATCTTGAGTTCTCGATGAATGACACGTATGTCCTCTCGGACTTGCTCTCGGATCCCTAATTTAGTGTTCATTATTTGGTTTGCCGCGCCGACGTACCCCAGGCCTACTTCGAACAACACAATATAGCCATCTAGATCACGGGACGCCCTGTGAGATTCAGATGCCCGGGTGAATTCACATGAAGATGACTACAGAAAATATGACGTTGTCTGTAGGGATCTGTTAATTAGATAGCGAGTATTGAGGTAATCTCGAGTTAGGCGTGTTATACAAACATTAGCCGGACAGAAAAAAATACACACTCACCTGTCGTTGTGGTATGCTTTTACGAAAATATTCATCATTGTAAACTCACGAGGAATGATGCGCACTGCATGTTTCCAATGCGATACCAACCAAATAGCATCTGTCAAGCGACCTGAATCTTGAACGAAATCACCATCCACTGCTAGAACGACGCCTCGAACCCCAAAACCGCAAGACAATCGCACAAGCCCATCCGCATACCATATTTTATAAACAATGAGAGACCTTAAGAAGATATTGGCTGGTACAGTCGGACGTGGCAGTAGGATAGATACGTAGGAACAGTTGAACAAGATTGAAAGACCAAGCCATTTCGCGCCACTGCCAAATTGCCAATAGCTAAACTTGGGCGTCTAATGCTATGTCAGCGTCTATATCTCCAAATAAGGCAAACCCCCCAGCTCGTGCCTGTCTCATTCCCTTCCGAATACTTACACTTCATACCTCCCCTCCAAGCGATCAACACCCATCATTATACACGATGTCTTCGGCCCAACGAAAACCAGCTCCACGACTCCCGCGACCAGCTGCACGTTACTGGAAGGGTAAGGCACCCAAAGGCGCCGGCGCATTACCTTCTGAGTCGGAGGAAGAGGAAGAGTATGAAGAGCAGGAACAAGTTGGTGAAGAGGAAGGAGATATACCTATAGAGGGTGTTGAAGAATATGAAGAAGGTTTAGAGGTTAGGATGAAGGCTCAGGTGGTGAAAGGGAGAGGTATGAATGTTGCGCTTAGAGATGTGAATATCTCGAAGGAGGGGAAGGTGATCGTTGCTGGGAGGGAGGAAGTTGGGAGGACTGAAATTGAGCAAGGTACGTTTCTATTTGTTTTGATGGCGTATGTTTGTGTTGACGTTGAGGTTTCGTGTAGAGGAGGAAAGCGAGGAAGAGGAAGAGGAGGAAGTGGGTGTTAAGGCTGAAGAGGTATGTGTTTGTCATGATTCATTTCAGTGCATCCTCCATTTGCTAATTGGTGCCAAAATGCGTAACAGTTGGAAGAATACGAAAGTGAAGAGGAGGAGTCTGATGAGGAAGCACCGAAACTTCAGTTCCGACCGGTGTTTGTACCAAAGTATGTTCCCTTTCTGTTCATTCCTTACTTTTGCGCTCACTTTCTACCTCTAATTATACAGACGTGTTCGAGTAACTATAGCCGAGAAGGAAGCACTAGCACAAGACACGGAAGAGGCACTGAAGAAGAAGGAACAGGAAGCTGAAGAGCGGAGGAAACAGAGCCACGACATGGTTGCAGAAAGCATCAAACGTGAACTCCTCGAAAGTAAGTTTTAGATTCTTCTCTCATCCGCAACCCATTGTACTCATCGATCCTTGCAGAGGAGAAAGAGGAAGAAGTCCCGGATGTAGATGACACAGATGGTCTCGACCCGCAAGGTGAATTTGAAGCCTGGCGTTTGCGCGAACTCGAACGTATCAAGCGAGACAAGGAAGAAGCCATGAGAAGAGAACTAGAGAGAGAAGAAGTAGAAAGACGGAGGGCATTACCTGAGGAGCAGAGATTACGTGAGGATCTGGAGAGGGCGGAGAAAACAAGAGCGGAGAAACCCAAGGGTCAACAAAAGTTCTTGCAGAAGTACTGGCATAAAGGCGCTTTCCACCAGGTACGTTGACTCCATCTAGTTCATGCCACATTGTCTGATAAATACGCCTGTTACAGGATGAGGAGATTCTCACGAAGCACGACTACACGGAAGCTACAGAATCTACTATGGACGTGTCGCTCTTGCCCAAAGTCATGCAAGTCAAGAACTTCGGTAAACGTAGTCGAACCAAGTACACACACTTGCTTGACCAAGATACAACCATAACTACTGGTGGCTTTGGCGGAACAGCGTCAGTTAAAGCGGGTGGCACGTCGATTGCTGGTGGAGGTTGTTTCCTATGTGGCGGTCCTCATTTGAAGAAAGGTGCAGCATTTTTTTTCCGTTCATTACGCTTGAACGTGATCTCTAACCTATGGCTGTGTGTGACAGATTGCCCTCAGAACAAAGACCTACCTCCAGGTCGTATAGGAACTGGCGCCAATAGCACTGGAGCTGCCACGGTTGGTTCAAGACAATGGGGAAGGAAAGGAGATGAACGGACTGATGACCGAGGGTCATCATGGCGAAACCGAGACGGTGGCGAGAGGGAGCGTAATAAGCCAAGAGGAGGAGACGAACGGGCTCGCGACTGGAAAGATGAACGAAGACGAGATGACCGTGAGCGCGACAGAGGATGGGACCGAGAAAGGGAAAGAGGGAAAGGTAGCCGATACGACGACAGAGACAGGTATGAGAGGAGGAGATCAAGATCACCGTCGCCAAGGAGGGATAGATGGAGAGACGATGACAGAAGACAAAAAGAGAGACGGCGTTCTCGGTCGCGAGAACAGTCCGTTGAACACGAGCGGGGTGAGAAACGCAGGAGGGTTGCTGCATGATTGCCAGTCCCTTCGTCGATGTAGCCTGCTTTTGTATTTCTATCGCTTGGAATACCATTTCTATACCTTTTGCTTGATTTTGAGTGCACTTACATTGAGATTTCTGCTTGACATGGAAGACCAATAGAAGATGTCGTATGACTGCGATCATCCTTCGATCGAGGAGAGCTTGGCAACAGCCTCAGCTCGGGGTCTCACGCGTACTCAGCCGGCTTGGGGAAAAACACACCACTCACCCTTCAAATGCATCTCCAGAACCGCAGTCCCCTCTCTTACTCCTCCTCTTCATGATATTCACGGACCTGTAGTGCCTAATTTTTTGCTCAATTTACGCGAATTATTTGCCCCAAAATTAAGGTCGACCAACCCAATTTGAAGAATGCCACGAATAGTGAAAGTTGCGGTCGTTGGCAGCGGTCTTGCAGGTCTCACCGCTGCATACAGACTGAGCAAGTCTGCATATCGAGGAAATGTCGAATTTGAGGTGCATCTTTTTGAAAAGGTACGCATCATCAGTCTATTAAGTTAAGCATTAGACTAAAACTCTTCGGGTTCGGGTTCGGGTTCCTAGACGTCATCATTAGGAATGGACTCACATTCCGTGTCATTAGACCTACCTGGCTATGATGGAGAATACAGAGTTGACGTTCCCATGCGTTCGTTCCAAGGAGGTGAGCAGCATCGTGTTATTTTTGCGTTGGCCATGTTTTACGTTTCGCTGTTAAATTTAGGTTATTACCCTCAGCTCATAGCATTGTACAAACACCTTGGCGTGCAATTTCGTACAGCCGACTTCTCATATTCGTTCTCCACATTGTATTCATCAGGGCCGCGCCCTCGAGGAGATAGTATGGAGACAACCATGATTTACAACGGCGCGTCTGGCCGAGACGGCGTCGGTATCCCATCCTCATTATTCCCATCCAAGGAACTCAAGGCAGAAGGAATCCTTATCGAGTTCTTAGCAACAGCGCGTGGATATCTACTCTATTTCTTCTCCACAGTCATCCTACTCCTATTCTACCTCCGCATCCTTCTTTTCTCTCTCCCACTTCGCGTCAATATCCCCCCTACCACTGAACTACCCATATTCCGCATTCGTATCAGCCTCCCACAAACATCCGTAGTTCGTCTCCTCGCGAAAACCACAATCCGACCGGCACCTAACACGACGCTCCACTCATGGATGCAGTACACTACTCCCACCTCCCCTCTCGCCCAACTATTAGGTCTAGATCGTCAATGGCGAATATTCATCATCAATGTGATCGTCCCGTTGTTCTCTGCTGTCTGTACAGCGAGTGAAGAACATATCTGGAATATGCCCGTTGAGGAGATATTGGATTACGTGTGGTTAACGTTCGGGACACATCATTATCTGGTTATCAATGGTGTAAGGGACGTCGCGAGGCGGATGGTGGCTTATTTACCCCAGGAGAACATTCATCTCTCGTCACCTATCCTTTCGTTGACGCGTTCTGACACGGAGGACGAGTCGGTAGACGTGAGGTGTACGAATGGAAAAGTCTACACCGGCTTTTCGCACGTCATCTTCGCAACCCAAGCCAATCACGCAACGGCTCTTTTGGAGACCTACCTCGACTCTTGCCCAAATTCCCCGCCTCTTGACTCTCACAGAAAAGCTGTCCAAGATCAAATCGACTGTTTATCTCAATTCACGTATTGCAAGACTATCGTGATCAATCATACAGACAACTCCTTGCTTCCTCCGAACCCAAACGACAGACGTGACTTGAACCTTGTTCGAATGATCGTTGAACCTATCTGCACTCTTGGAACTTCAGATTCCATCCCTGCACCCCTATCGTCCTCACCCACCCCATTACCGTCAGACAAGACCTCTGACTCGGAAGAGCTTGGTGATTTATGTCTACCTCCGACGTACACAATGGCTACACATATCCTACCTCCTCCCCATACGAAACAACCCCAATCAAAATCAAGTTCGTCGAATCCTAAGCTTCCTATTCTTCCAACACAAACACGCGTATACCAAACGACAAACCCCATTATACCTCCTCAACCAGAAACGATATTGAGTGTAGCCAAGATGGAAAGAGCGATTGTTAATGTGAAGGGTAAATCCGCTCTTCGAAGCTTATGGCAAGAATCTTGGGACTCCTCTCCTTCTAATCACACAATAAGTGGTAAAACATGGAAATGGGGATGTGCAGGTCAGGATGGGGGTTTACTTGGTCCTTTGCAAGGTGCTGGTCGACTAACCTCAGATGGAGGAGGAAGATCAGAGAATGAGAAAAAGGTTCCTGGACTTTGGATATGTGGCTCGTATGCGCATTGTGGGATACCTCTGTTGGAGGGATGCGTTGTGAGTGGACGAAACGTCGTTGAGCAGGGTGTGTGGGTGAGTGAAGGCGTGGGGGTTGTACGTGGTGAGGAGAGGTTATGGTAGGACTAATACATTTGTCAGTGATTAAGTTGGATCTGTGCACGGAATATGTACAGGGATAGTTACTTGGTCATACGTAGATGTTTCGATGTGGAGTAATTGCTTTTGAGGGAACCTGCTTTTCTGATGGGTCGTGCATATCGTTTAAAGTTTCTATTACATGATATGAAAGATGGTATGCGACAACGTTTGGAGTGGAGTACGCGAATGTAGTCCAAAGTAGACAAGTCCATCTAGTATTTCACGATAGTATTTCACGAATCCGGCACCTGAGGAACGTTACCTTGATAAATACCCAACGTATTCGTCGCGTTCCCGCTCCCACTATCAATTCCACACAACCCCACAAAATCCCCATACGTCTGCGACCTCTCTTCAACATACCTCATGAACTCCCCCAAAGGACAACTCGCCCCCGGACCACTCTGACACCCAGGAATCGGAATCGGCGCAGAGTTCACTAAAGCTCTCACATACGAATCTGTCGTAAAGCTTGGTATATCTGGTTCACATTCCAGTCGTTCCAAAGCGACGTGTCCCAAAAACGGAAGGATCTCTGACGTTTTCCATGCCCTCAAGTAGTTGATCTCCGTAGTGGGCATGGTTGAGTTAATGTTGGAGTTGGCAGAGTAGGCAGAGTTGTTGAATAGGTTTAGAGCAGTTAAGATGAATGGAGGTTCTTCTCGGTGGGTGAAGGAGAAGTAGAGAGGTTGTGAGGGAGTGGGGGAGGTGAGTAGGGCGGTTGTTGCGTTTAGCCAGGGAATGCCGAGGGTCGGAGAGAGCGTTTGGCCATAACTAACCCGATAGGTTAGTTTCAAACTTCGAGCGCGTATATGTAGTTTACCGTACATACCCCAGTGAATACCAGTACATGAGATCGTTAGCATATTCGAACCCTAGCCAGTCATCGGGTTCGAATGCCTTGCAGAATTCGCTAGAATTTGTGATGACAGTCTCATAGCCACAAAGTTGCTGCATAGCGTAGATGTCTAGAGCGGTGAAGTTGAACGTGGGGATAGCAACGTTGAATCGTTGGATGATAGGCACAGTATACGTGTTTATCCACGTCATAGACTGGTTTGAACCTGCCGCGGAATCGAAATTAGGACATGTTTCCTGACAAGACCAAGGATGTCAACTACCAAACTTCAAATACCAAGTCCAAAACGAAACAGGACGTACGTGCGGGACCAAGGTATTGGCACTAAGGGTTTCGTTATCCGATACCCGCACGAGCGTAGGCCCAGCACTTGTTGCAGTAGTATTCTGTACATTAGGGGACTTTCCAAACAAGCCTTCAATAAACGGTGTTGCCGAATCAATGGCCCTTTCAGCTTCCGAAGTCCATACATTGAACACAGACGCATTCGAAGCAGTCTCAATCAATTGTGGATACAAACCCGCAATCAACTTCCCCAGCGCCTGTGCAGAAGTCTCTCCAGATGGAGTCAGCTTTTCGACTTGTTCGGTAGCATTGGTGATAGGTGTAGACCAATTTGCCAGGAATGCGAGTTGAGGAAGGGCGGAAAAGTTCTGTCGTTGGGAGCCGAAGTCAAAAACCTTTTGAGTGAAAGGTTGGATATATTGCTCGTAATCAAAGTCATTGGCGTAGATATTCGAATGTCGGATGATGTATGCTGCTGTTCTGACATGACAGGAAGGTGGTGGTTGTTTGGGAAGTGACACGCCTGGGCTGTCAAAGTATGGGGATATGCCAGCGAGATCTAAAAAGGTTGACCGTTCAGGATGTAGATTCATGATAGTCTTGTAGTTCGTTGACATACGTTCAAGAATGTTGAATCCTTCAGTAGAATTAGTTCCTAATACTTCTGGCCTGACTAGATATTCATGATTATTATCCTCTGCGGTGTCAAAGTAGATAGTGATACTCACCATGGGGAATCTCAACCCCGTCAACGTTCCTAATGTTCAGCAGAGCTCGGGAAACAGGTGTCGCATAGGTCCTAGTGATCAACAGAGCAAGCAACGTCGTCCTAAGTGCAGTCATCACTCTCCGAATTGATTTAACAGGATGGCAAGACTTTGGAGCGCTGAAAGACGTACATTTTTATACTTGGCGGTTCTCTCTGAAAGTGACGTCAAATTAATGGTCCGCATTGAGGCCAGAGGTGCCGGTAAGCAATTACCCCACGGAGGCGCCACAGTGATGGCAATTTCTGATGCAGCAAGGAACAGGAAATCCTCAAAGTCAACAGGGACTGAGTACTGAGACTGAACGTTCACATCGTAGCAACTCAAGCTGCGTCAATCGCAAGACAGCATCACGTAGACTCTGAACGGGATCGTCGATGGTAGTGGGGACTCGACGGCACTGCCAAGAGAAACGGATCCTAGAGTCGGTCCTGTGGCTGTGTAACTACTCGCTTCTTCAGCTATACGCTAGAAAAGGAATGTGTAGTAGTGTTAGAGATTGATCTGCACGATGTCGAGACAGCTAAGGGATGGGCTTTTAAGAGCTCGTAGACAATCATGTAATGTTTTAGAGAAAATCTTCAACACAAGCACTAGAAGCCAACTAGTACCAATATTTGAGGTACATACTTGGTATAAGTATACTTCTACTTTGTGGAGTATTGTATCATAACATGAGTAGTAGTAGTTGCGCGCGTTTCATAAAATATTTTCGACGAGTCGATCCTCCTTGGCTTGTCCTTGAAGCGACGCGCCGAAGCCACAGACGCGATCGTGACAAAGTCGCGCATGCGTCACAGTGACTTGTTACAGTGCTGTATGGTAGACGCTCGTAACTTACGCGTCTTCCAGCTTGCCGTTACGCACTCTGATTCGTCTTTATCTTAACTTCTCCCCCTCAGAGTCATTCTCGACGACATGGTTAGTCTCAAAGCTATGATGTGCACTTGATTGTTCAATGAAGTTTTATCTCACAGGACCCATCTCTTCGCATTGTTCCCTCGAGTGCACCTAAGACCGCCTCGGTCCAAGATACCTCCAACAGCTTTGGTCTTCATGATACTCTTCGGTATGGACCCAGGAGCCTTGCCACTGAAGTTCAGACCACAAGCGCTATCAAGGACCGATTAGAGAACGTAAGCCCCCTCGTAGCTGAAACTGAGATCCAGTGGCTGATCAACATGCCTTCTGGGTCATATAGTGGGAAGCAACGCAAGACAACTTGAAGCTTACTACCCTTCGAAATGTCTATGGTCTTCACGCACCGGTAAGGCTGTTGATGGAGCGAAAGGCAGTTTCATATGTACGTTTGCTTCCAACCCGCCTGTAACCTATAATACTTATTCGTCACTTTGGTGTCAGAACCCACATATGCCTGCACGTTCAACATCCAACATCCACCTTGATGTTCTCATGGGACGGGACGAGAGTGTCGACTGTGCAGACTTTATGATGCCCAGTACGTCATTCTATTCACCAGATCTTTATTGCAGTCTGACTCCATTCTTTTTTCAGGCTCAGAACTTCGTCAACCATTAGATATTCACGCAGAGATGGAGAAGAAGCTTCGCATGTAGATCACCCGTGTATTCTAGTTATCGTTGGCATTTCGTAACTGCATCCATCATTTTGACTTGATTCTCATGTTGCGCGTCCTTGACTTCTGGGAATGAGAATTGCGTTGCACTTCCTCCTTCCGTACTTCAGCGCACTCTGCAATGATAGTCCTCGTTCGTTATTTGTATACATCTTAAGACCAGGAGTAAAGTACTTAGGGCTCGTGCTTCGTTTCTTGTGCTTGCAATTGCCACGCTCGATCATAGGCACGAGTTAGACGCCCATATATTTTCTCGACCTTTTGCAGTGAACTTGAAGGCTGTCACTAACCACCACTGTGGTGTTCTCTGGCTCTTTCTCCGCTCTCTTGTTTTGCTTTCTCGTCTCCTAAGAAGGCTACACCTTGTCTACTGATATGAACATCTAGACTCGCTATATATTATATCGTACAATGTCTCTCCTTGCTTCATCGCGACCACTCACCAAAGCTCACCATCTTCCAACGGAACTGCTAGCATGTCTCTTTCATAGTTCTGCTCCCACCTCCTGTGAGTCGCTTTCTCAATCATTCTTCCACCTAGCCAGAGTGAGATTCTGCCACTAGTACAGAGCATTTTGGCAGATACGAACGCTCTTCTTGCTAAAGACATATTGGCTCATTGTTTGAATTCAATCAGCTTTTCCATCTCGCACCAAGCTTGCAAAGAGTTTAAAACCAAATTCTAAAGGCAGAGGAGCCACTGGACGTCTCGAAGTCGCCCCTCGAGAAACTTTTACTCGAGATGCGGTACCTCATACTGAGGCGGAGGATGCCTTCAAGGCTCGAGAGAAATGGATGCGGGAAGGCGGGCCTAGCAGGAAACGGACTTCAGAACGTCCGAATAGTTCTTCTGAACGTCCGAATAGTTCATCAGACCGTCAGCGTTCAAATCGCCCTCGACCGCAGTTCGCGACAAAACCGCGGGTTGACGAGGAAAAGCTTCCGAGTGTGTTGAAGTTACCGGACCCGACAGGAACGACTGAGGTCCTCAAACCTTCACGAAGACCAAGAGTCAATAATCCGCTTAGTGAAGAGTTCGAACTCTCACCCAAAGCTGTTTCGACTCAACAACTCCCATCCGAGTTTTCATCCCCTCCGCTCATGGAAAGTTTATTATCTTCTATAATGGATATTCTGGGTCCCAACGCTCGTCCTACACCTATACAAGCATTATCTTTGAAGCATTTATTTTCTCCGTCGCAGGGCGACTCTCAATGGCGACAATTCCTCCTCGCTTCGGAGACAGGTTCGGGAAAGTCAATAGCATACCTCTTACCCATGCTTCAAGATCTCAAACAGACTGAACTCGATGGTACCGTCCCGCGTTTAACCTCGAAACGGCTAATGGCTCCACGCGCACTCGTCCTCGCACCCACTCACGAACTCTCCCGACAACTGTCTGTCTTTGCCAAGTCTCTCTTGCACAATACCAAGCTCCGAGTCCTTTGCGCATCACGGGCTAATGCACCCACACAGTCCAGACGGCACGTCACTGCTTCGAAGATGGCTTCTGACATTGACAGTGATATTGTGCCTGAAGAAGGAGGAGAGTTCATAGTAAGCTCGCCGTCCAATGCGGCGAAACCGGTTGATGTGCTTGTGTGTACCCCGAGTAGGGTTTTGGAGATGGAGAAAGGGCGAGGATGGGATTACGAGCATAAGGAGCATCCCGAGGATATTGATGAGAATGGTAGGAATATCAGGCCGAACAGGAAGTTCACCGTTGGACCTCCTGAGATTACTCTGGCAAACGTTGATTGGGTTGTTGTCGACGAGGCAGATGTGCTTTTCGGTGAGTATTTTATTGATGAAATGCTTCATATTGGGCATTGACTCAAATGTGTCTCTGACAGATCCCGACTTCCAAGAGTCCACTCGTTTGCTCTTAGCCGATATAGCTACAGCCAAGGGCAAGCCGGTTGCATTCACACCTGAATTGAACCTTTCTTCAACCACGACCGAGCCCGCGCCATCCATCGAAGTTCCGAAGTACCCTTTCAACCTAATCCTTACCACTGCAACAATCCCGTCATCACTCGCGTCCTACCTGGACACCTATCACCCATCTCTCATGCGACTTGCCTCCCCCAACTTGCACAAACTCCCTTCTACACTCCAGACAGAGTACGAATCCTGGACTGGTGGCCGACGTAACAAGGACGTCGAGAACCGTATTAGGAGAGTATGGTGGGAAGATGCTATCGCTGCTGGACGACAGGCGACTTCAGAATCTGTGATCAGTGATACTAGTTTCGAGAAGAGCAAGGTCTTGATCTTTTGTAACAAGAGCACAAAGGTTGAGGAACTTGGGAAGTACCTCACTGAGAGGGGAATCCCGAATATCGCTTTGACGAGTACGAGCGATAGTCGGCACAAAGGAAATAACCATCATTTGGATGGGTTCCTCCGTGAGTGTGCTGGAGGCCAAGAAAGTTCATCGGATGCTTCTGCTGGAGCGGAAAAGACTGAACAACCCCATGTTCTCATTACGACCTCTCTGCTCTCGCGAGGCTTGGACTTCTCACCTTCCATCAAGCACGTCTTCATCATGGACGCTCCAAGGAACATGGTGGACTTTTTGCATCGTGCTGGGCGGAGTGGACGTGCGGGTGAGCAGGGTAAGGTTGTCGTGTTTGGGAAGAGCAAGGGTAGAGGTGCTGGGAAGGATAGAGAGGTCAAGTCGAGGGTCAAGGCGTTGATTTCTTGATTGCTTTATGTTACGGCTTGCGTAGTTTGTATTTTACTACTCACTCTCGCAACTATTTCACCACTCACTTTCACCACGACTTCATTGTTCGAACACGTTCGTAGAATAGCTTCCAAGGACCTCCTGATTGTGAAATATGATTTAGCACAGCAATTTAACTCCGTAGCTCAGTGGTTAGAGCACACGATTGCAATATACTTATGATCGTGGGGTCCGCGGTTCAAACGTTCAATCCTCGGCGGGATCTAACCGTTTTGCTCCGATGCTCCAGCCTCCCTCAAGGACTCTAACGCAGCAATATTTGGGTCTTCCTGAATATATGGAGTGGTGTATCGGAGCAGTTGCTACGTTGAGCTGTTTACTGCTTCACGAATATGTGACAATATTCACTGCAGCATTTGCTTGATCAATAATGCGGAACTGTAGTGCCTCGGCAAAGGTGATACTAAAGCTCTTGCCATATTTGGTAGAAGAAAATCAAATGGGGAAGCTAGCCTTCCTGCTTTAAAAGATCATAACCTCGATATCACAGCTTACAGGTTTGCTACAGGATGATACATTGAGATTATACAGAAGGCGTATCATACGGGGATTTCAGTCAACATTAATCCCTTTGCGGCCAAGTCACATCGTTTCTTGCCGCTAGAATACTGTAATAGCTGCTGGTCCCGTACGTGCAAATAAGTACCTATCCAACCTTCAGGCCATCCGATGAGTTTGAACAGCAAGAACGAGCATGATATATGGGATGGCAACAAGGGGGTGCGGCATAAGCATGATAGAACTGGATCATTGGTTCTCCTGGAACATATGACATCACGATGGCCGGATATGCGACGATATCCTGAGCGATGCTACGACCAGAGATGTCGTCACTGCTCGTTGATAATAACTTATTGTTCGAACGTTCGACGAGCATTTACATATCATCGTACATACGTAGGAGACACCGGCGCCATGAGGAGCTAATGTCGCTGGGTGTACTCACGAGTGAGAACGTTGTCATAAGTTGGTTCCAGGTGAATATGAGTTCATACGGTGAAAACAAGCGAGCGTAAATGGTACGCAGAATAACCTAAGAGATGGTTGCCATAGTTGGCCGTGGTGATCTTAAAAGAATGTTGTAAGGAGAGTCGATATCAAAGTCTAAAGAAATCAAGCTCACGATGCCTAACACCCTCATTTCTAACACATGCGTGATCGTCCCCTCTCATCTGTATACCATGAAATGCTTCCTAAGTGCACTCTACCTCATCTTTTGGGGTCGTGAGTTTAGAGGGCAAATAGGCATTCCAGACCGGTGATGGTTCGTATTTGGTCGGTTGAGGCACTGGATGGTCGTCAAGTTCGGTACCTCCATTCCTGAGTCAAGTTGGACATATGTTAGACATGGCATATGGCGAAAGAATCCGCAGAAGAGTCTGGACTGAATTGCAATGTATGCATGAGAATGATGAGGAAGGTCGTAGTCGGTGGTCAAGTCACAAGGTTCCCCTTTCGGGTCAGACGACCCCAGGCGCAACTCTCCTTCCTTCCACCACCACGCTCACCTTTTCATCATCCTCCCTCGACACGCTGCTGCTTACGACTGACAACAGCGTTATAGTCTCATCTTCGTCCTTTCTTTGACTCACCTTTCAGTCTATTCACGAGTCGGCGTCATTGGTCAGCCTGAAGACGACATACCCCGATTGAATACAGGCTCCTTATTTCGTTAAGGTTTCATCGGTGGAAGAAAGGGTGATTGAGCTTAACATACGGTTCAAGGTGCGGCGTTGATGCGTCTCGCTTCCACCATTGTACTTACAACCCACTATATGCACAGGCTGCACCTACTCGCTCTACCCAAAAGTACTCCATTTATTGGTCCCGAAGTCTACTTATACCCTGTCCACCCGGTATCTTTCTTGGCTGTGGGGAACAGACACACTTGAGAGGCCTATTGCCTACCAGGTACGCAACATAACCACGTTGCTTGACACACTCCCTCATATGCATCTTGCCTTCGTTCTTCAGTGACTCCCATCTTTTGTGTCCCAACTCATCATCATCATCATCATCATCATCATCATGTCAGCCCGACAATCCAGGTCAGCAAGCATTCCGATTCCCGCCGCACGTAACATCGAGAATGTCATCTCGATGCCATTCAGCACAACACCAAGTGCTTTAAGCACCACTCGCCCTCGTCTCATCTCTAACACTCGTCCCCTCACCGTACACGGCAGTCCTGACCGAGGAGCCATGTCTACAAGCCGGACAAACGTCGCTAGCTCCCCGGGCAGACCCGTAACAAGCGGTAGCTACTCTTCGATCGTCGCGCGTCCTATCGTGGGCAGCAATAATGCAAATCACCCTCCCTTTGAGCCAAGGATCATTCGTGCGACGAGTAGCCCTGCACCTCCTGTTAACCCCATTGATACTACTTGTCTTCCTAACCCTACGCCACCTGCTACTGCTCGCGTCAGGCGTCCAAGCACCGGAAGACATACAAATGTCACTGCCTCTTCGGCTAGCCACATCATCCGTCCGGTTCTTACTCCTAATGCCTCCATACCTGCTCCTTCAGGTGGTGCATCCTTACACGCTTCCCCCCAGGCGTTCCCTCGCCCCGCCTATCTCGATCATTCAGCCTTCAGGGATCTCATCCGCACTAATGCGACTGTTCCCGTTCAATTTACAGAACCGCTCCAGGTTCAGCGTACTCTCACAGGTACAACTTCGAACGCCCCAATCCCAGCGCCTTACCCATACCTCCGGCGTGCGCTGAGTCCCGCAATTGACAGCGACGATGAAGGCAGCGCGAGTCCTCCTCCTCCTGCTGTATCCAATACTACCTCCAGCAAGGGAATATGGAGCGGTAAGGCAACTTTCCCTCTTCCCACGAGATGGAGTGAGATGGATCGTCATGCATCGTTGTCGATCTCGGCCGATGGTCGCGATTTGACTTTCTGCGGTACGTTGTATGCCCTTGTTTGCGTTCGTCGAGCTCATGTTAGGTGAAGGCCCATCTTGTCCGGGAGATAGAGACTCTGCCGCTGCTCGAGCCAATGAACCGATTCCTCCTGCGTGCGGGATTTATTACTATGAGGTAGAGATTTTGCATAAGGGGAATAAAGGGTAAGCTGGTGTACCTTTGTCTTTTATGAAATTATACTAAAGGATGTTACACAGACACATAAGCATCGGGTAGGTTTAGGATAGCGTCATCCTTTTCTGCGCTGACACCGGCATTCATCATTAGTTTCTCTTGCAATGACGTCCGCCTCTCCCGCCTTCCTGGCTGGGAAAAACATTCTTGGGGATACCACGCTGACGATGGCTGGTCTTTCCCTGGACACAGAGAAGGGAATCCTTATGGTCCTGTCTTTGATTGTGAGTACACCTCTGATCTTGCCTGTATTGCTGATGTAGACGATCATTGTCACAGCTGGAGACATCATTGGATGTGGTGTCGATTTCAGTCAGAATAGGGCCTTCTACACCAAAAATGGGACCTTCCTTGGTAAGTTTATCTGCATATATACGCACTTTGATATGTCCATCCTAACACTTGTCTCCTAGGCATGGTGTTCGAGAATGTCGGAACAGACCTCGAAGTCTATCCCTCCGTCGGTCTCCGCCACACTGGTGAATCCATTCGAGTCAACTTTGGTCACGAGCCATTCCGCTTTGCCATCGAAGACCATGTCCACTCTGCAAAGAATCGCGTGTGGTCGAACATACAGAGCACACCTATCAACTGGCACGTTCTTCGTGGTGAGAGTGCGAAATACGGAGAGGTGGTCGAAGGAAAGAAAGCCGGAACTCATGACGAAGATGATGACGCGAAGGAATCGTTGAGAAAGTTGGTGTTTGGCTACCTCGCTCATCATGGTTACCTCGAGACTGCACATGCATTCAAAGCTCAATGCGAAGGCAAGCCCACTACTATGGAGGATAGTGAATTTTCGGATGCTCGTGATGACGAGGAAGATATGGATATGGATGAAGGGCCTTCGGGCTCTTTATCAAGCATTGACGAAGAACGTAGCTTACGTACTCGCGTCAATATCATGAACAATGTCCTCAAAGGCAACATCGACGCTGCCCTGGATCAAACTTGTGCACACTACCCATCCGTCCTCGAACGCGAACAAGGTCTCATGCTATTCAAGCTCCGTTGCCGCAAGTTTGTAGAATTGATCTTGGATGCTAGCGAGGCTTTAAAGAAAGTCAAGTCTGGCGACGCTGCCTCTCATGAACGCGGTCGTGACACTACTGTGGCGACAAAGGTTGACCAAGAGGGTGGTGAGATGATGGATGATGGGGGCGCGATGGATGTGGACGACCCATCGCCCGAGGCCCAAACACATACGTCTAATTCGCCTTCTCTAGATGTTTCGTCCTCTACGACTTCGACTACCGGGAAGAAAGAAACCACGTCTCGTAGTCCTTCATCCTCTTCAACAGCTTCCTCTCCTTCTCATTCATCCTCGGGCTCAGCTCTTGCCAAGGCGGCGCTGCACAATGCCCTGAAGTACGGTCAGACCTTGGAGAGCGATTACAAACCGGATACAAGGCCTGAGATTCGCTCCCATTTGAAACGTACGTTCGGTGTGGTGGCGTATCCGGATCCTCTGGCTGTCGGAGGGGAAGTTGCAGAAATGGCTGGTCAAGAAGCGAGAGTTCGTCTTGCGAATGAACTCAATCAAGCCATCTTGGGTATGTGCTCTTACGAACTCTTTATCTCAGACTTTGCTAAACTTGTTTTCGCATTCAGAATCACAAGGCAAACCTGCTCATCCTGCACTGGAAATGCTCTATCGCCAAGCAGCTGCATGCGTCGCGGAGCTTGGGACTCAAGGTGTCGGCGCAGCAGCCTTTGCTGACATGTCAAGGGAGTTTCTCGACAGTTAATCACCATTTATTTGACCGACCCCTTGGCTGTCCAGCAGCGAAGGGGCAATGCTTCATCTTGTCGAGGATGAGGGTGTATTAGTATCTGGATGGACTCTTGAGGTGATCATATTTCTACTCTACCACTGCTCAGCGCTTTCTGTACGTGTACCATTATGTCAATTTTGTTGTGAAGCTTCGGCGTTGTGTCAGTCAAGGGATAATGTACGGCAGAGGCAGAGTGTAAGGAGTTATCATATCGTGCTATTCGTCGTGCTATTGTTGAACATTGCTGCTCTCTTGTCAAAGAGAGCGGGCTTGAAGCTTGAGTTTTCGAACTTACAGTATATACTGGAATTTCAGTGAGTCCCGCGCGCAGTCTTGTAACGAAGACCTGCCAACTTTTGTGATTATTGTCTGCGCCGGACTTTCTGTCCGCAAATAGCTCCAACAGTGTCATTCACTTACCGCCGCCAAATCGGTCCAAAGTCGAAGATCTTACGCTGTTCTACAACAAATCCAGGCGATCAGCGGGTGAGCTATCGGATACAGAGCGACTCGGAGATGATAGAGATGATTACATATCTCTCAATCTCATACCCAAGCAACGTCTTTGAACATTTTACATATCTTCTTATGACGAACCTAATCTTCCGCTTGACATTGTATTCTGAAAAGAAGATCATACCGAATCACAGCAGAACGGCCCGGGGGCGAAGAGGCTTACCCACAATACCTAAGCGCAAGTACAAATCGAAGTCAGCTAAAAGAGAAAAGACATACATAGCCAACGCATATCTCGACGTACCTGGTAACCTTACATTTCGAGCATCGCTGCAGATCCCTCCTCGCAGTTTCTTCGCGTTTACACTTGACACAACTCGCAGCTAGAGGGTACTGTCCCTCAATCGCAGGAGGTTCACGAGGGGGGAAATTAGGCTCTGAACAGTTTTCGACCTGCATGCGGATATAAGCTACCCTGAGTTGTTCAGAACAGGGACCTATACCAGAGTCACATATGTTGTGAATCTTACATTGAGATTCTTAGAATGTAGACAGAAAGGAAAGGAGATGAGCGTAACATACGTAGACTCTTAGTGTGGATGGCGTTACTAGGTGCATCCAAGAAGTCGTCTGGCAGACTGGCAGGTTTATCTAAGCATGAATCGAAGGATCGCAGCATTAAACATCTTCGACAATCTCAACTACTTATATGCTGCCATTCCGCTTACCACAAACTTCGCAGTACCATTTCTGTGAGTGTTTCACGTCAAAGGCCATCTCGATTAACAACCTCTGAGCCCATGCCAGCATTTCATACTGGCTTTGTAGCATCTTCGCATTAGGGATGCGAGGACGAAGTCGAAGCTCAAGTCGACGTTGGTTGAGCACATTAAATCGTTCGGGTGCTGGAGGATCCGTGGCGGAGGAGCCGTAGAGAATGATGTTGAGTTCGAGCTCTGGGCCTGACATGTTTTGGTTGTTGTTAGGAGGTAGATATTAGAGTAAGTAAAGTGGAATGAGGAACTCCGGCCAATTGGACAAAAGCGGATATTTTGCCACACCTTGATCATTGAAGCGCGCTCGTTGAAGCTGGTATCTCAACTCCGATACGATACCAATCAAAGTACTCGACTCAATGTAGGGAGTGAATACAGAGAAGTCAGAAGATTTCAGCAGAGCATGATAGTAGTAGGACAACAGGAAAGATGACGGCAAGAAACAAGAGACAAGACCTGACTGGTAGACGCCTAATTGTTCTGAACCATTCAAGCTTCAAGGACTGCAGTAAATTAGAACGCCGGCTCAGATTTTGATGGGGCAAAAACGCAGTATGCAATGGTCTAGCAGTCATGTGGCGATCTCTTAGTCCCATACCCAGGCGACGTTCTTGACCATGCGGCAGACCACTTTGTGACGTACCCAGTCTTCACGTTGACAATTCACGCTTTACGACACAAAGTCAGGCGCGTTTAACACGAGAAACCGGTAGTTGGCTTACCAGCAATATCTATGATAAAGTGTCGTAGAGAGGCGAAATGAGCAAGTATCGCACACCAAATGGGCGGGGGACGAGACGAACCTGATTAACTTGCATCTTGAGCAACGCTGAAGGTCCTGTTCCGCCGTTTCTTCGCGTTTGCACCTTGCACAACTGGCAGCCAATGGATATTGCCCATCAGCCGCAGGTGGGAGACGAGGGGGGAGCCCGGGACCGCCTGTGGCAAAAAGCGCTGCCTCAGCTTGGATTGACCTTAATGTCTCCGAACATCGTCCAACCCCAGCGTCACAAATATTATGGACCTGGGTCAAACGACGCCTCAGCAAGAGCACGACAGTTAAAAATTGACAGGTACGCACATAGACGTTGAGCTTTGGAGGGTTAAGGTGCATCCAAGACATGACCATATGCACAGTCTCCCTAGCCGGTTTAGCTTCAAGTATGAAAGAAAGGTCGCGTCAGAACACGCTAAGAACATGACAGCCATCTAAAGCACACCAAACACGTACTACAGAACTCGCAATGCCACTTTTGAGTGTGCTTCACGTCAACACCAACAGAATTCAAAACGCCTTGTGCCCAGGCGTTCATCTGAGTCTGGTTCCGAAGCATATCACGATTAGGAACGCGAGGGCGAAGCTCGATCTCCGCGCGTCGCTGACGTTCGCCGCAGAACCGTTCATTGCCACTTGGGTCGGTCTCTGAAGAACCGTACACGATGATGGTGAGATTGAGCTCTGGTCCCGACATGCTCAGAGGTTTGCTTTAGACGTTAGATGCGCTACGAAGTGAGTGAAAAGGACAGGAAAGCCGAAGTAGGAGAGGATACTCACAATTATGCACTGGGATGCTGAGGTACAAAGGGAAAGGAGAGTGGATCCCTAGGTGAAGCTCGTGAGGCGCAATTTTACTGTGCCAATTCACATGACTCATTCGTATCCGCTGCGAATCGTTGTCGCCTTAACCCACTCGATTTCCCTCGAAATGGCTCGTTTTGCTACCGATTAACGTTAACACTCAAAGCGGTCTTCTCTTTGGAGACGGAAACGGTTCTCGTTCAACTTGTGTGATAAGATAAGATAACGGATACTGCGGCGCTCAGGACAAATAACGCGTAAACAAACGCGTCGCGCGGACGGGCTTTCACTCATGTATGTACTTACTTGCGAACACATGTTAAACAGGACCCGTCACGATGGGATTTACAGTTAACCGCTTTGATTCTATGCCAGGCATGCAAAAATTGTGAACATAGATAGAGTATGCATATATGAAGAGATCGAATAAAGAGGGAGGAGTAAAGAGGGAGGAGTAGCGAGTAACCCAATAAGAGTCATACGATGGCGACCACTTGCAATCCTACTTGCCAATCTCCTCTATTAGTTACGTTGCAAAACTTTCCATGTTGATCTTAATCAGTTCAGTGACGGACTGGCCGTCGAATGAGGACTTAGTGTTTATACTGCATCTTCTCGAATCCAATGGATCGACAAAACTCACCCGCACGATCTGTCATTTCGCATTGGTGAGTAAGCCAGAGCCCTTCGGTGGGAAACCTCACTTAAAATTCGAACAATGGTACACACCGTTTTCAATACTGGCCTCCAAGTTATGGTGAGCATAGCTGGCCGCGTTAGCGTGGGTTCCACCCGGCTCAAGCGAGCGAACAGGAGACGGGTCATATTGATATCGCCTATACGCATTGCAAACCTATACGTCTAGGCACTGCCCATGAGACCCGCAAATCAGGGAACAACAGGAAATGATTGTCATTCTAGCATATGAAAAGAGGAAGTGCTACGAATGCACGTATATATCATTGCTGATGGTCCGAGCTGTAAACATGATGCGACCAAGGACCCGCATTCCTCCGCGGGCCTATCTCAAATCGAGGACGTGTTTGAAACTCGATCATATTTGCCAGATAATAGGTTGTCTACCAAAAAGCTCCGACGGCGAGTTCAGCGCCTCACGAATAAAATAGAGGAACGCTGGGACTCAACGTTGAAGCCCAATTCGATGTTAAAAGAAAAATAGCCGTCAGGTGCATCAGGTTTGTTTTATACTTCGACTGTTTCCGTTGAATGAGGCTGGGGAGGCTAGGACACGAGCGGACTAACGTTTGAGGAACCATACATCACAGCTACGAGATGGACCAACCTGAGCGTCTTGAGGCTACGAGATGGCGGATTCGGTAAAGTGACATACAGCTGGAACGAAAGTGTCGAGTTTCAAAGCCTCACAATGAGCAAGGCGAAAGGAGGCCATATCGCAGAAGGTCAGTAACGTATTACGTGCAGGTTCCAAGAGGCCTTTGTATCAGCAGTGTTTGTAGCCGTTATGAGCTCAAACCCAAGTCAAAACTTACAAGAACCCAATGTGACATTTATGATGTACCTGCATGACGCAAAAAACCTAGGTCTCAAAGTCAGGATATACTGTAAGTATACAGATGTGTATCGAATTGTTAGGAAATGATGGTGGTGATCAGCTACGCTGCCCTCACAGGGCTAAGTCATTTCCAGGCCCAAGTGACTTCAGTTATGGCGTTGCAAACCTTCTTATGACGCCCCCAGTCAGCTCTTTGGCAGTCCACTCTATGAAGATGAGACATGGTAAATAGGTTCGGTCAATAAAGTTATCAAGGCACTTACCCGCAATATCTGACATATTACAAGTATGCGTCGTCAGTTACGCCGTCACTTCATATGATGCCCTAAGGCTGATACGAACGAACCTTGATAGCTTACACTTCGAACAACGCTGTAAATCTGAGTGGGCACTCTCTTCCGATTGACAGCTAACACAACTAGCTGCCTGTGGGTACGTCTGACCAAACCTTAGAGGTGGACTTGCGTTTAGAGTCAACACAGCGTCGCGTGCCTCTTCGCCGCACGGCCCACTTGCATCACATAAGAGGTGAACCTGGGTGAGACAAAGGAAAGCAATTGAGCCCCGTAAACTTGCAGCATCGAAGAGACGGTCGCGGAAAAAATATTTACAAAGATGTTCATGCGAGGCGGTCGAAGGTGCATCCATGACGCAAAGGATGAACTACTCTCTCTTGCTGGTTTGTCTTCGTATGCATGAAGGAGATCAGCGATATCGCACTCCTTACCGCGGACAGTGCATGTACATATAAGGCGGTCGTTGCACGTACCACAAAAAGCACAACGCCAATCTTGGCTATGCTTCAAATCCGCATAGACAGAATGTGTATACAGTTGTCCCCAAGTATCGAGTCGCGCCTGATCCTGAAGTAGGCCGGTGTCGGGTATACGGGCTTTAAATTTGACTTCGACTCGTCGCGGCAACTCTCCAAATGCCTCGATTTGAGCGTCGTCGTCCTGAGGATCACCCGGTGCTGAACCATAAACAACTGCTGTGAGGTGAAAAATGTTTGGATCTTCTGACATCGTCTCCATCGTATGTGAAGTCGAGGTATGGAGGTAAGCCTGGGATACAAATATTTGAGGGGGATAGACAAAAACGTGCACGCTATCTCGCGATCGAAATTCTCCTCTTGAGCTTATCCTGGCATCTTTACGTCTTCCACCCTCCTGGATGATATGAAGACCATGACTAGCGATACAGAGCTCTCTGACAACAATACTAACGAACGAAAGTGCAAGAACTTACATTAGGGATGCCACAAGAGGATGGAAAACAATAAATGGGAGGAAGCAAAGTAGGTTGTAGGCCGTGTGGGTCCACCGTCGCTCACTGATATCATGCTGATGCAAAAGGATGTCAATTTGCCATAGCCGCAGGCCGGGCAACTACTGCGCCCGACACCCGATGCGCCGGGCCCGCCGTTTGATGACGCCGGCTGACTCGATGTCCACGTCGTGAGGACGCATTTACCCAAAAAGGCAATTCCCGCCCTCCCGACGTTGCCAAGAACATCAGCCGCCCATCGGCACGCCCAACGCGCTCACGTGGCCGCGCCCTACATAAATGCCCGCCTGGTCCACGCCGTTACAACGCGTTCTTCACCTCCGTTCTCATTTCCCCCCTTACAGAATCCATTGGACATCATGCCTCCTCGCAAGAAAGCTGCTGCCGATGTCGATGGCACAGCTGCCACTCGAGCAACGAGGTCGAGCACTAGAACTAGGGCCCCCAGTGCTAAGGCTCAAGCAGTGGCCGCTGCTGCCTCAGGATCTGCTTCTTCTTCGAAGCCTCCTTCCACTAGCAAACCTGCTTCCTCCTCCAAGCCGCCTTCAAAAGTTAAACCGCCCTCGAAGACTAAGGACCAGTCGAAGGCTAAGGCTCCTGCTTCCAAGGCAAAGGGCAAAAAACGCCCTCGAGATGAAGAGGAAGACCCGGCTGAAGACGAACCTGAGGCGAAGAAAGCTAAGGCCGATGATAGTGCTTTGGACGATATTGCTGAAGACAAGGAAGAAGAGGAACAGAATATGGTAGGCGTCCTTGCTGAGCTGCCTACTTTTCTTATCTGGATGTCATCCTATAGGTCACTGTAATCCAGAGGGGCGCAGCTCCTGTTGACTCTTGTTCTGGCATGGTCGGTGAGTATAACACCCTGAAGAGTTATCATTATTTGATGTATGAATTCTTTGAACTTTTAGCCACCCACCAAGTCTATGCTAACGGTGAGGGCGTTTGGGACGCTATGCTCAACCAAACTGACGTGGGCAAGAACGCTAACAAGTATTTGTCTTCCCACTGCCTCATCGTCAATGTCTAACTGAAGTACATCTAGATTCTACGTGATTCAACTCCTCCATCCTATAGGCGTTGACTCCAGCTGCGTCTTATTCACGCGTTGGGGTCGTGTCGGCGAGAACGGCCAGCAGCAACAGAAGGTTTGTCTGTGAACTTCAGTTTCTGTGCACGTCGTTGGTGCTTATGAGCGTAATCCTCAGGGCCCATTCGCAGCATCCCTTGCTGTCTCTGAATTCAAGAAACAGTTCAAAGCCAAAGCGGGCGTTAATTGGGAACAAAGGCATGGTATGGTCCCTAGGAAAGGTTTGTTCCCGCCCGTCCCGAAATATGCGTTCCCTGACTAATTATTCTTGTAGGCAAATACACGTTCCTTGGTAGGTTCGCTTCAGATCAGAACCGAAGTCAAAGGAAACTGATGTATTTCATGATACAGAGCGGGATTACGAAGAAGAGAAGGAAAAACCAAAGTCCTCAAAAGGTGACGCCTCCAAAGGGAAAGAACCAGAGAAAATCCCCGATTCCACACTGCCTAATGAAATTCAGGTTGATTTCCCCTTCAGCGAGCTTCTTTGTTTTCTCTGAGACTGAATTCTTTTTCAGGCTTTATGCAAGCTGATCTTTTCCATCAGGCTCATGGATGCACACTTGAAGTCTATGCAGTACGACGCGAACAAGCTTCCTCTGGGTAAGCTTTCAAAAGCTACTATCATGAACGGCTTCGCCGCCCTCAAGGTATGTTTCCCGTTTCTAACCTGACTTTAACAATTTCATTACCTACCTGTCATATCTAGGCTCTGTCCGAGGTTTTGAACGACCCTACTTGTGACACTGCTAAGGACCATGGGGGATTCAGATCTGCCATAGAGCTACTTACAGGACGTTACTACTCGTGAGCAATGACCGTTGGAACCAAAATCTTCACGGATACGAGCTAAACGTTGACTCATCTTTCAGTATCATCCCGCACGTCTTCCCTCGTACTGCACGACCAACCGTTATCGATGATATCAACGTTCTGAAGAAGGTCTATAATGCTTGCTCCTACTCTTTCAATAGTTCTACTCACCGCCCTTACAGGAACTAGACCTAGTAGATGCACTGGGTGACATGGAAGTCGCCTCCAAACTCATCGCATCGTCCATCCTCACCGACGAATCTGGTGCTCCAATCAATCCGATCGACGCTCACTTCCGTTCTCTGCGCTTGACTGACATGAGTCCTATCGACAAGGGAAGCAAGGAGTTTAAAGGATTGAATCACTATACCCACGATACCCATGGCGCGACACATGGACATTATAAGGTTCATGTGCAGTATGCTTATCGGGTCGAGAGGTGAGTATTTCGTTGCCTCGTATACGTTGTCGAACTTGAACTGATTGCATTGGTTATATGTAGGCAAGAAGAGACCGACGCTTGGCTCAAGTCAGGCTTTGACAAATTGTCTGATGGCGACAGACTCTTACTTTGGCACGGTTCTCGTACAACCAACTTTGCTGGTATTCTCAAACAAGGTTTGCGTATCGCTCCACCTGAAGCTCCCGCTACTGGTTACATGTTCGGCAAGGGTGTCTACTTCGCCGATGTACGTCTTTCCGCTCTCGACCTTGATCCACAAACCTTAGTGATCGTCTTGTGTAGATGATGTCCAAGTCCGCGAATTACTGCCACTCATAGCAAGCTTCAATCCTGTTCATGACACAGATGGATTATTAACTGATATTCTTTTCGATTCGCTTAGCTTGAGTGACAATACTGGTCTCTTGCTTCTTTGTGAAGTCGCCGTAAAGCCATTCTATGAGGAGAAGAACGCGAATTACAACGCTGACAAGGACTGCGCGAGTGCAAAAGCATTGTACGTATGTTTCACTGACTTATCCTTTCATCACTGTCTGCTCTTAGACCAATCTTCGTCCCCGATCTTAGTTTCCGACCATCTTAGCTCTTCGTTTTTCATTTTCCTCCTCACCATACCGGTCGTACTTTTAAGCCGATAATAAGCTCATATTAACTTCCACAGGTGCACGAAAGGTCTCGGCCGTACCCAACCCGCTGAATGGCAAGACGCCGGTTCAACCCTCGAGCACGATGCTCTGAAAGGCTGTCTCATGCCCAAAGGACCAGGCAAAGACATTGATGATCCTCAAGTCTGCTTGCAGTACAACGAGGTTGGTTGAGAATTATGTTTTCTACTTTCCCGCTCGTGCTTATCGATGATCTCTGCTTTTAGTATATCGTGTATGATGCATCGCAGATCCGAGTACGATACCTGCTGATGGTCAAGATGGAATGATTCGAACACTCAAGTGGGTATCGCTGGAGAATTCTGAATACGCTATGACTGGTATGGAGAATTAGAATATTAATTGTGGTGGATTCCAATTCATCGAGAAGTTGCATCTAGGGTGGGCAGGAAAGTGGGTTTTGTTTCGTCCTTTGTTGTAGATCGTTTTCTTGCTTTGCTTTTTGAGAGAAGCTGCTACCAGTTTGGATTCTCGGTGTTTGTATCTTAGTCTAATTTCACCTACTGTAATCTCGTTTCTTGTAGATCATATGCTCAATTTGAATAGCTATTTCAATTTCATGAGCTATTCGTTCTAAACCCTACTCTTTCGCAAGGACCTTCTTATTCGTTGCTCTTCTGGCAGGTGCAAAACGCTCATTCCGCGTTCTGTTCTCGCAGTCCTCAACGATTTACAAAATCGTTCCGGAAACTGTCTATCCTGGCATGTCTTTATACAATGACAACGAGCGCAGACCTCCCTATAAAGATTATGTATCTAAAAGGAAGTGAATGTCATTTGAACGACGGACGACCGCACACTGGCATCGCTTGGCACAGCTTGGCACACCGTGATGTTGGTCAACGCTTCAGCTTCAGCGCCCACGCTTTTCAGGACTGAGGTTGGAAGAGTGAGAAAGCCTCAGGCCCGGGTATGCAGAGGCACGCGAGAACAAGCGTCACGCATCATGTTCATTTGCCAGCGCCTTCTACTTTGTTCCTCAAACAACACGCACACGTCGTGCTACTGCATATTACTTACCAACAGGCAGGTCTGGCTCCAGTACTAACTGGCTTGGTGTAGGCCTCAAGGTTGGCTCTCCTCGAGATAATTTGCTTGGACGAATCCAAGAAGCTGCTGCGGGACATGGCGACGAGCATGAGCCAACTGCTGCTCTCCACTCACAGTGTCAATGAGACGGTGAACGTTTGAACTTTTGTAACAACTCAATTGGTGCGCATTGTGAGAACACTGGACAGCAAGCAAGATTCTAGCCACGAGGCAACGATGCTTGCCTGTGTATGACGAAACTTCGTTCCTGAAGTGGATCCCATCGTAGTCTGGATCTGACAAACACACCAAACGGGAATGTTCAGGAGGCAATCTGGGCACACATTGCGGACAAGGACTGCGGCAAGTATAGGAGGCTCTTAAACTGCGGACAATCGACGGAAGCAAAAGAAAAGAAAGTGTGCACCAGGACGGATGCGGAGAAGAAAAGACGGAGGGCACGCAAGAATGCGACTTTCCGCTTGACGTCAGTTGCGTCTTGGATAGTTTCATGCTTGTCTAGTTCCACCGACCGGCCACTGACTACACCGCGGATTCCATATTCGTGACCCCGCTCCGTCTACTATATAACCCCCTACCGCGCACGTTTACTATCCAGCTCATCCGCTTTCCCCCCTCCAACCAATCCTTACACCCCTGTGTTCTTCTCGCTATGAAAACTTCTTCAATTTTGTTGGGCGCACTCCTGCCTGCAGCTGCGATTGCGCAGATTGAGCAGAACGAAACGTTCATTACGGGTCTCTTCCAAACTCTCCAAAACTCAGGCGTCACAAGTCTCTCCGACGTACTTACACAGATCAATTCGAGTGAAGTTGGTCAGGGTTTACTGGCGAATATTTCAAGTGGTAGCCCGTACCTATTATTTGCTCCTAACAACGATGCCTGTAAGGTGTTTCCCTCCTCGGATGTAGTGTGTGCGCTGAATAATCCCTCCAGTGTCGTCTGCACCGGAGAACATCACTGGTGACGCTGGACTTCTGACTGATACCATCGGTTACCACATCGTTCCAGGTAATTTCAGCAGTTCCATCCCCACTTACCCCAACATCACTATCGGTCGAACCCTCCTTACGGACCCCAGATTCGTGCGACTTGAAGGCGGAAACAAAGCCCAAGTCGCCGCATGGGCTGAGCGTGAAGACGGCCGAACACATGTGCTCAATCAGCGCAATGACTCTACGGTTGTCGACGTCACTTCGTTCGAGAACGTCACCGTGTATATCATCGACCACCTTCTCATCATCCCTGAGAACTTCAGTTCGACGATTCCGACGAACAATGAAGGGTTGACGGCCATCGAGACAATACTGCAGACTGTGCAAACACCCGTATTTAATACGTCCACGAACGAGACTGCGAATGTTACATTATTCCAAGCTTTAGACGTAGACTGGCATGGATTCACATTCTTCGCTCCTAGCAACGGTGCTGTTGCGAACGCTTCCAGCAGCTTGGAAAGTTTGGCCGGGAACGAAACCGCCATTCAGGCCGTTCTGTATAATCATGTACGTCATATACGCCATACTTTTCCATTCTTTATGGCTGAGTCAAGTAACCTTCGGCACGTTTCAGATCATCAACGGCACGACTCTATACTCCCCTCTTCTCGCTAATCAAAACTTCACGTCTACTGCTGGAGCGACGCTTGCCTTCACCATCAACGCTACTGGTCAATACGTGACTTCTGCTAACACTACCGCTCGCATTCTCCAACCTGATGTCCTCCTTCCTAATGGTGTCGTTCATGTCATCGACTCGGTTCTATTGAATACGGAGGAGGATCCCGAGGCTGCCAGCTCGGCGTAAGTCTGTCCACCCCATTCCTTCGCACCTTCCCTGAGTATCGGAATATGTGTGCTGACTTGATTCTTTGTTATCACAGCATCGCGTCTGCCACGTCTGTCGCGACTGAAAGCCCAACCGAGACTGAACCCGTCGGGTTTTCCCAAACTGTTTCTCTCGACGCAACCGCTACGGGAGGCGCCGACAGCACCGACGCAACCGGAGAATCTTCCGGTGCCTTTGTTGTTCCCGGCAGAAATGCTTTGGTAGGCTTGAGTGTCAGTGCTTTGGCGGTTCTTGTTGGCGCACTTGTCACCTTGGCCTAAACGAGAAGAGGAGGTGTTGGATTACTACGAAGATATTCGGATGTAAAATACACGATTTCTATTCTCGAATAGTGATGTAAATGCTCTTTCTAACTTCGTTTCGTTTCGTGCGTGATTTCATGCTTTTCTTCAGAATTTTATAAACTTGTATCTGTACGCTTGTTGCATCACTTGCTCCTATCATACAATGCAAGGCCAAGGAATAGATGACGACCCGTTGCCAATCGTCTACGCATGGCCTGGCTACAGGCCGAGAATAGAAAATTTATTATTGTGATACAAAAGATACCATGATCGTCGTACTTGCGTGGATCACTAGAACATTCGGGGAATGTGGAGTACAGCCTGAGACTGGCGGCGGCTGGCCATTCCAGCTCCGTAGGGGCTAATAGGGATATAGCTAGATTGATTTCCTCTCGAGAAATGAGCATATGAAAAGACTAAGAGACAAGCGGATGAAGAACGTACGACCATATCTCGTACAATGATACTTAGTACTTGTCGATTGAGAACCTATTTATCACTCTGATTTGGAGGGTCAATCTTGAGACCGGGGTCAAAGTAACATTTCGAAAGCAAGTTCGGCTAGGTGAACGGACTGAGTGCCATTGCCACTTTAGTCACTGGCTTGCGGCGCATCGTGAAATACAGGTAAAAGAAGCGAGAGGCATAAAAGGCAACACCGCCATTCCAAGGGTGCCCATAAAGGCGCCCGTCGACCCTTTCGACCCTTTTGCGGCACGTGACCGCCGCTTTTGGATGACGCTCGATGATGTTTTTCACTGCGCCCACGTTGAACTCCCTTTTAACAACAAAACCCCCTCTAGGAACATACAATATATGTCCAAAAATAAATTTAAAAATCATAAGAAAAAGAGAGAAGAAAGTTGAATACAAACCCTCTGGCTGAAAAGGTTCGGCTTCACCGGAGCCAACCCCGTGCTGCTTAAGCGCCGCCTCCGGCGGCGCACAACCCTTGGAATGACCCATTTTCCGTCGAAAGGGTCGACGGGCGCCTTTATGGGCACCCTTGGAATGGCGGTGTTGCCCGATGAGGGCATATTAAGTGCATGTTGCTGTGCATGTTGCTGTACGTAGAATTATCAGTAACAAATTATATACTATACTACCAATATTCCATGGCGCTCAACTAGGTATCTAGAGGAAACAGAGCAAAACAAAGAAGAACTCAATCCCTTCCAACTGAATATCCATAAGCGGTCCAGAACATGACCACTCCCTGTATCCAACGTCTCAGACCGAAATGACTCCCATGCACTGTAGTCAAATTCTCATGGTCAACGACAAGGTCGGTAGAAGAAAATGCAAGATACCTACTTCTAGTTCTTTCTGTCACGCGTGAGAGTGCACTGCGCAGTCGCGTGCATCATTTAGAATGGAGCCGGGTCTGCAATGTGAGCCATGCATCTGGACATTTAGCAAAACCGAAGCACCAAGAAGTGCACCGTAAGCGAATGCGGTTAGCTTGTGACGTTGGTAGGTTGACATCTTTGATAGTTCGAGTGAACTTGAGATGAGACGATGGATTTGACCAGAACGAACTTACTGTGCGTTGTAGAATGATGGCTTGGCGCCACGCCGACACTTATCATACGAGTCTGGAGACCATCCTTCCGTTCGTTCCTCCTGTTCGAACTCGTCGATACCCTCGAACACTTCATCTTCCGTCTTCTTAGCGTTAAGACATATCTTGCATGATGTTCGCAACTTTAAGAAGTTTCGTCTCTGCGGCCTTAGCGGTTTGCAGATGGTCTTCAAGTTGAGAAATGTGTTCCATTTGAGACTGGGACTTGGCACCGAGTTCAGAGAGCTCCCAGCTATGTGAGGGGATGACGATAGCACAACTGAGCAAAGACGATGGTAAAGCCATGATGCGATAAGATCGGCATCGTCCCCGAATGCGAGGGCAACAATGAATAGGCCACTTGGATGGTCTACTTTCTCGTCTTGACAACCTTGTGCGATCGGCTCTTTGAAGCATGGAATTGAGACAGCAAAAGAAGGCTGTCGAATGGAATGAGATTCTGTATCTGAATGGTCAGATACCTCGCAAAGCGCTGTTTCTGAATGAACGATTAATGAAGGCGATGGTATGACGGAATGGGTGAGTTCCTTCAGGCTGGCTGCATACTTCGCGATCTGCGTGTGGATAGTGGCTTGTCCGTGAATGACATTATCCGTAGATACCTTTGCCTGGACTGCTTGGAGAAGACTTGCACACTGTTTGGAGAGCGTGAAAACCTTGCTGCGAAGCACCGAGGCATGCTTGACAGCCATCGAGTGGCACGTTTGCGCTTCTCTGGGCATTTTGGCATCTTTACCACCTTATATACCTGACATATGACGTTAAGAAACGAGGAAAGGAATTCAGGAAAGAGAGACGAACAGGAATCTTAGACAAGGGGATGTACTGGAGATGGACGCCACCAAGCGTCTTTCTATAACGCTCCTGACGGCTTGTGTCCATAAGAAAGCACCATGTGTTCGTAGAATCGATGAAAGGATGTATGGAACTGTGTATTGTGAGTGGCAGCCGCATACAGATTAATATCAGCAAACATAGGACAGGCTTTTAATGTCTTCAAAGCAACCCGTTGAGGATGACTCGATCTACACTTGAGGAACTTGAAAGTTGTGTCAAACAGAAGACCCTGCAGGAAGTTAACGGTGACGACATAGACCAAAGTTATGAGGAAGAGCGGAATAATTTCTATGAACTCTGAGTCTGCGATGTCTGTAAGGAGATTGCGTAGGAAGAAGAGAAAAGGAGGTTAATGAGTGAGAACAGGAATCATGCTGAGCTGCTTGTAGTTGAGGTGGAGGATGTTGAGGAAGAAGGCGAAATACGGAAACGGAGTAGAGGAAGAAAGCCTTATGTTGATATGTACTATCACCGGTCAGCCCCCTAACGGTAGCGGCTAGTCGTCATTGAACATGGTTCAGTGCATGTGAACCCGGCGTTCTAGACTTCCCCTTCTGCGTAGGTGGCGACGAATCCGAAGTGCTTATCAGTTATCCTCACCTGGATCTCTGGTTCGGTATATTGATATTTGAGACCCGCATATATACATACAACGGCCTGTGGGATATATACAATAAACATCCGAAAGCTTTAGGTAGAAACAGATGAGATGTGGTACTTATACCCCTTCCCTCTTCTCGTCTTTGGTTCCTGCGCCAGCGCGAGTGCTTGAAGTTCCTTGTGTAGAGCGATAGGATCTGAACAGTTGATGAAGCCTTTGGCATGCAGTGTGCGCACCGCATGTCGAAACCATGCGACGCAGTCAAAATTCAAATCGGCATCTTCAGGAGCTGAGTCCATAGGAACGTTTTCTAAGATTTCAGACAAAGTGCTCAACCTATTCTCCGCCGTGATGCCACCTGAGATTGTAAGGAAAGTCAGAGGAGTGTCAACAGACTAGGTTGAAACTGCTCACCGATCCTTACTACAACTATAGCACTGGGTGACTGGCGTAGAGTGTATCTTTGATTACGAAAATGCCATTGCATACCTGCCGCAGTCAACCCATACACGGCATCAAAGCTAATAACATCATTCTGGCTGATCGGTACGACGATGGACCAGTGGAACATGCCCGGAGAGCTTTCGAGAGTCGAAAGGCATGCACAAATCGTACCAATGCGAAGCGGCGGCGACCGTCTGAAAATAAACCGCAACATCGTCTGAAGTAGCGTATATCAGTGTTTACTGTTACTATAGAGGTCATGAAGCAATATATACTGACAAAAGAGGTGCGTGTCTAGATGAGAAAAGAGCACGGTGGCGCAAATCTTGCACTTGTCACTGACTTCGCAGAAGCAGATATTCTCAATCAGGAGGGGGTGCGTATAGCATCAAAAAGGACACGAATAAACAGCCTCTGAACTACATAGGATTCGTTGGCGAGGTGAGAGTACGGATCTAAAGACCACAGACCTGCAGACTTAGCCTAAGAGTAGCGCTCCTTGGTTTACTTCAAGGCGCTTACAAATCAGCGCCCGATCGGTTCGATATTCTACTGAGCAAAGCGCCTGCAGCTTACCTCTACACTACCACCTCCTTGTCTTCTACTCTCCGTCTTTTCGCCGGTCCTTACTAGAGGGAACACGTATCACAGCCGGAAACTGCTCTATGTCCTCCCCAAAACATACAGATGACGCCTTTACTCACGAACTTGCGATCAAACTCTCTCGTGCACTGAATCTGGTTAACCCGAATGATCTACTTGCGAGAAGGGTACAAGATATCGCAAAGAATAACACCTTAGACAGCTTTACTGTTGGTTAGTATCTTTTTCCTACCTATGATGGATCAGTTCTATATTAATTGTTCTTTAGCTGCAAAGTCTTTCGGCAAGTTCAAAGATTCGTTTCTAGCTGAGATTCATTCCGAGATCTCGTCGCATGTCAAGCAGGAGGAATCAGGACTTTCCCCTCAACCAGTACATGGGATAGTTGTGCATGACAGTGAGGTTCTTCCGCCGGAGCCCGTCCGTGCTGGTGGCCTTGTACGGGACGATGCGGTATGTTTCGTCTTTATCTCTTTAGGAGCTCGCGCTCATTTCCATGCAGCAACATAGGTTTCGCAAACCCGCCATACCACTAGAACCTCCCACCCCTCGAACATCACTGCTTGGACTTGACAAACTAGCACTAGAGAAGCGTACAGCCGCAGCTGCAAACGGTGAGGGCAGCAGGAAGAAGCCAAGGTTGGAAGAAGATGGGTCAGAGCCAATGTTCAAAGGTACGATATCTTGTCTTTGGCACGCTTTTTTGCTGACATTTCACCCAAGTGCCAACTTTGCCTGCTGCAAGAGCGAGTAACATCCGACAGCGAGGCAACGAGACGCCGTCACATCCTGGTGGTCTTTCTGAAGTTGCTAGAAAGAAACTCGAGGAGCACAGACGTAGCCGAGAGAAACAACGAGGTAGGTACTACTTCGTGCAGATGACCATGCATGCTGACACGATTTCAGAGGGTATTGCTGCACAGCACCAGCGACGTGATGATGCCCCACGAGGTCTCGGTGATTTTCAACGACGATCGAACCGTGACCAAGCGGCTTACCGAAGAGACCATAGGGATAGACACGACAGGAGAGGTTGGGACGCCACTCCCCGGTCAGAGCGTGGTTCTCGAGAAGATGCTCCCAGTGTCCGTGTCCCCAATGTGGGATGGGAGTCTACCCCTCGTAGGTTGGAAGATGGCCCTGGCTGGGGTCCATCTCGAGTTCGCAGATGGGACGCACCGACTCCAAGGACATCGAGACGTGGTACCCCAGGTTCCGACGATGAAGCTCCCATCAATCTCAATGTGAGAGAGTGGGAGGAAGAACAGATCCGTTTGGATCGAGACTGGTATAACGATGCGGAGGAAACTGGGATTGCAGGTGACGAAGATTTCAATCCCCTTGCTCAATACGAGGACCTCGGTGCAGCGAGGCAAGCGGAGCTGGCGACAAGACAGATGGTATGTTGCATGTTTCATAGGCCCCTTTTCACTCGCTGACCACCTTCATTTTCCATCTATAGAAGAAGATATCTGCAAGGCAAGCGCAATATGTAAGTTCTACCTCTTCGCCGCTGTTCATGTGTTCTGTTGTTTACTTTTGTGTGCACCCTTTCTAGAACGCGGATAACGATCTTTGGGAAGCCAACCGAATGCTCACGTCCGGTGTTGCCACTCGCAAGGCGATTGACCTGGAGTTTGAGGATGAATCCGAGTCGACTGTACATGTTATGGTTCATGACCTCAAACCACCTTTTCTTGACGGACGCACAGTCTTCACCAAGCAACTCGAACCCATCAACCCCGTTCGTGACCCAACGAGTGATATGGCTATATTTGCTCGCAAGGGCAGTGCCCTTGTCAAGGAAAAGCGTGAGCAAAGCGAGCGAGCAAAGGCCGCTGCGAAGCTTGCTGCGTTGGGTGGCACCCAACTGGGAAACATTATGGGAGTTAAAGATGAAGACGCTGCTGCTGAAGGTACGTGCACTCGAACTTTACTCTTGATAGTTGTTGCCGGATTGGACATTCACGTAGTCTCCATTGTTTTATTCTTGCAGCTGAGGCAGAGGCTAAGATGAAAGGTGGAGAAAAGGAGGATTACAAGGGTGATTCGAAGTTTGCTTCTCACTTGAAGTCTTCTTCCGGTGTTAGCGCTTTCGCCAGGAACCGTACATTGAAGGAGCAACGAGAGTACTTGCCAGCATTCGCTTGTAGGGAAGAGTTGCTGAAGGTCATCCGAGACAACCAAGGTGTGTTCCACCCATATACTCACTTGGCCTTTGTGATGCTGACATAGTTCTAGTGGTCGTTGTTGTCGGTGAGACTGGTTCTGGAAAAACCACACAGCTCACACAATTCTTGTATGAGGATGGCTACTGCACACATGGATTGATTGGCTGTACTCAGCCTCGTCGTGTTGCTGCTATGTCAGTCGCCAAGCGTGTCAGCGAGGAAATGGAGGTATGTCATACTTTTCTGCCTTCTGCATCATGTTTACTCACCGATTCTGGTGAACAGTGTAAGCTGGGGTCGACCGTTGGTTACGCTATCCGGTTCGAGGATTGCACGTCATCGGAAACAAAGATCAAATGTAAGCACCGCAATTGTTGCTTCTTTTACTGTTTATTAACAGAACTCTTTAGACATGACAGATGGTGTCTTACTCCGAGAATCACTCAATGAGGGAGACTTGGATCGTTACAGTGTCATCATCCTTGATGAAGCTCATGAACGGTCACTCAGTACCGACGTTCTCATGGGTCTTCTTCGCAAGAGTATGTATATACCTCCTTCTGTTCATCAGTCTATTCATTCTGACTTCGTGAATAGTTTTGTCTCGTAGGCGCGACCTTAGGCTGATCGTTACCTCTGCCACTATGAATGCTGAAAAGGTGAGTTCGAGTGTTTTCTTAAATGCTTTTTACTGAAATTGGTGTCATCAGTTCTCAAGCTTCTACGGAAATGCTCCTACTTTCACTATCCCTGGTCGTACCTTCCCCGTCGAGATGTTCCACGCAAAATCACCTTGCGAAGATTATGTTGACAGTGCAGTGAAGCAAGTACTGCAGATTCATCTGTCGTTACCTCCCGGAGATATCCTGGTCTTCATGACTGGCCAAGAGGACATTGAAATTACGTGTCAAGTTATCAAGGGTCAGTTATTCTGTTACTAAAGAAAAATGTAGTACTGATAGATTGTGCCCCTTACAGAACGTCTTTCGCAGCTGGACGAACCTGCCCCTCTCGCCGTTTTGCCGATCTACTCGCAGATGCCTGCCGATCTGCAGGCGAAGATCTTCGAACCGACAGCAGATGGACGTCGAAAGGTCATTGTGGCTACAAACATCGCCGAGACATCACTGACAGGTAAGTTGCCAAATATTGATTTTTGCTATGTGTACTGAACGTTCCGTAGTCGACGGTATTCTATACGTGGTGGACGCCGGCTATTCCAAGTTGAAAGTATACAACTCCAAAGTCGGTATGGATGCTCTGCAGATCACTCCTATCAGTCAAGCCAATGCGAACCAACGTGCGGGTCGTGCTGGACGTACTGGAAGCGGGTATGTATTTTTGTGCCTGTTCGTGATGACATACAGTACTGACTCCTGATAGATTCTGTTATCGCCTTTACACCGAGATGGCATACCGCAACGAGATGTTCGCTAATAACATCCCAGAAATTCAACGAACCAATCTTGCAAATACAGTCTTACTTTTGAAGTCTCTTGGTGTCAAGAACCTACTCGAGTTTGACTTCATGGATCCCCCACCACAGGTAAGCTCATATCCTTATGCTTCAAAAGACAACAGGCGCTGACGTGACTCTGCTTTAGGCGAACATGTTGAATTCCATGTATCAGCTCTGGGTACTTGGCGCGCTTGACAATGTTGGTGATCTTACGCCAGTCGGTCGCAAGATGTCCGAATTCCCTATGGAACCGTCTATGGCTAAGATGCTCATCGCTTCGGTGGAATACAAATGTTCTGCAGAAATGTTGACCATTGTTTCTATGTTGTCTGTGCCGAGCGTCTTCTACCGACCTAAGGAGAGGATGGAAGAAGCCGACGCTGCCCGGGAGAAGTTCAACGTTCCAGAGAGCGATCATTTGACTTTGTTGAACGTTTTCAACCAATGGAAGAGTCATGGGTAAGTGACGGAAAAACCCACACCCTCACCTCTTTTACTTATGATTCTTTAGTTATCGCGACGATTGGTCGTTGAAGCACTTCTTGCATCCCAAGTTGCTACGCAAGGCTCGTGAAGTACGGGTACAACTCGAGGATATCATGAAGTTCCAGAAGATGGACATTATATCCGCTGGGACAGACTTCGATGTTATAAGGTCAGCATTGCGTATCTTCTCTGTGACGTTTCATTTTCTGATCGTTGGTACAGGAAGGCGATTACTGCGGGTTACTTCCATCAAGCTGCTCGAGTGAAGGGCATTGGCGAGTTCGTCAACATTCGTACCGGTCTGCCTACGCACCTGCATCCCACCAGTGCATTGTATGGTCTCGGCTGTAAGTTGTTTTATTTTTCCTACTTTCTCGTCACCATCTTACTGAAGCACTTTTAGATACCCCCACTTATGTCATCTACCATGAGTTGATCCTGACATCGAAGGAGTATATGACTCAGGTCACAGCAGTTGACGCTTACTGGCTCGGTACGTACCTCCTGCTGTCCATCATGTTGTGCACAATGTACTCATACACGATTCTCTAGCCGAGCTTGGTTCTGTGTTCTACTCTGTCAAGGAGAAACACTTCGATGAACGTGGTAACCGTCGGGTTGCTGACCGTGAATTCTCAAAGCGAGCGGAACTCGAAACGGAAATGGCAAGACAACGTGAAGAGTAAGTTTATATGCCTTCAGCAAATCGAGTTTTGATTCTGATATTTCTGTCAATAGGACGGCCAAGAAGGCTGCTGAGGAAGCAATAGCTGTGAAGACTTCAAAGGGTTCGTCTCAGATCATCGTGCCGGGTACACCCCGCCATATTGGCATAGGGGCAGGAGCGAGAGTCACACAAACACCAAGACGAAGAGTAGGGATCTGAGTGTCCTTGCATAGATGTATGTTTGTAATATATTGTTTGCCAATCAACTGGTCCGGTGAATGCGGGGATCTTACAGTCGAGTTCTATATACTGTATCCCAGCACCAATAGACTTCCCTTCACTTTGCTCACTAGACAGATTCCAACCTACGTTGTACGTTCGCGATGAGCACCCAGTCAGGGTGTTATCCCCTTCGTTCGTACCTCAACGGGTCCTGGGTCCTCGGGACTACCGCAGAAGGTATAATCGTTGATTAGAACGCCTGATTTCATTGTATGGAAGTTTCAAAGGCTTGGCCGCGCACTTCCTCGAGTTTCCTTCAGCCTACAACAGAACTTAGAGATCCCTTCAGTGGCTCTTCGATACCTCCGAAGGGAGTAACGAAGACATGGTTGAAGCTTTTTGTGGAGGTTTTCTAGCAAGCGATTCGTGCTCTGAATGCCAAGTCATATATTGTCTTGATCATGCTGAAGCGCTATGTGCTGAGTTGCTTCCCCTTGCTGTGGAGAATGGTATAGACGGATGCAAGAAGGGAGAGGGTTATACAATTTACGATTCGCGACGGTCGGACTCGAGCTGAACAGGGGATGCTTCACCAAAGCTCATGTTTGGATCGGAAACAGAAGAGTCCATTGCTGTTGGTAGAGTTAGTACTCGCTGGGGTTAATGAATGGCTCTGCGAAGAAATGATATGGACATGACCATATGATTCTACTCCATTCACCGTGGCACATCCTTACAGCGTGATGGAAACTCTCTTTCCCCAATTGAGCCACGGCCATGATAAAAAGCAATTACTGACCATGCACCTAGGTGTCTCGAAATCTCTTTGTCGACATGCATTTATACGCAGGTTAGAAGGGTAAAATTACAAAAGCAAATGTTGTACGAATAAGATTGCTTTGCATTGGGGGTGTTTGGATCATGGAATTCTGCACAGCTCGTGTACTGAACACAAGACTTAATATGCTTCCTCCGGGCTCGTCAGCGTCGCAAAATCGTTAAGTCGAGGAAACAGCGACGTGAATTTTGAAACCTCCCTTGCCATGGATGATATCCTCATCATTGGCGTCAGCATAGCCGAGAACTTCAGCCTCAAGTTTGCGCGCATCTGGGCAGTGGATGATGCGAGCATGATGGAGAGCACGAATGGCCTGGCGAACCCAAACCTTAGTACCGAAAGGCTCATCAGCTTCTTCTGGGTTGGTAATAGTCATAGGAATATCCTTGAGCAAACTGTTGAGTGCATCGATGGTATTGCTGCCGAGCTCTCCTGAGATGATGATCAATCCCTGGAATGATTGAGAGGGCCTCGAGCAACCCACCAATTTTCACAACCACAACAGCCGTGCGAGAAGATGATAACACTTCGTCGACGGATTTGTATTGCCAGGGTTTGTAAAGCCAACCTGCTGAACCTCGGTTCGTAGCATGGAACTTAGCAGCATAGTAACGGTCAATAGGTGCTACGATCGCCCAGTGATAGGTAGTATCCCCATGAGAATACAGCGTGATGCAAATGGAAGACTGCGGAAGTTCAGCGTTCACAGTTTCGGACATGCTATAGAGCTAAGGCAATATGAATTGTCTGAGTATTTGTCGAGCAATATTCACTTACCTGGTTTATGTGAGACCAAAAAAAACTGAGGATCGAGGGTAAAGGGATGATCTTTATAGGTCGTCTGACGGAACTCCCATGTAGTGGTACGATTATCGCAGTGATGCCAATACCATGAGCATGGGCATTCGAGGCTTAGATTGGACGTATGAGTCGTGCAGCAACTCTGGTATCGAGTCATTATACCCTATTATCGAGGAAGGCAGTGAGCGCGACGCACAATCTGAGAGATCTAGTGGGAATAATTCGACATGTTCATTGCATGAGGCCTCATTCGGTTCTAAGGGGTTCTAAGAAGGTCTATCGATAATGCCGCGTGCATCGATACGACGGACTACGGGGCCGTTGAGTTCGAACAATGAGTTTTGTGAACAAACGCTCACTGAACTTTGACCGTGGATATGAAGAACAATAGAGGATCTTCAATCGTCTGCAGGCACTGTCATCCGGTGAATTCTGAAGCTTTCAGACCCAGTGGTGACAAGTTGGTTAAACTCACGGTGGTGAGACTCTTTTGCAAGAACTCGGCTAAATGTCGCTTGCCACGTTCTCTACGATCAGATCAATTGATCGAAGTTCGTATAATCCACACGCGTGGAACGTCAAGTTGACTCTCAAGTTGAACCTGACCTAACGGTGCGGGCCATTGTGCACGTCCATTCCTCCAAAGGCCAGTACTTGTCTGCCTACGATGGGTTATCGGTCAAGCGACCCTTTTGGTCTCAAAGATGCAATTTGGTACGTCTTCGGCCCTACATCCGCGCTCCTGAATGTAACCGAATATGCTCTTGCCAGTTCTTCTACGCCTGCAAAAGGCGTAACCCATAGGTTCTTGAAGTTTCTCTGGAGGTATGTATTTTTGTGTGTGTCCATCATGATACCCATTGGTGAATCTGTGATCTTTCAAGACCTTGGACAACCGTCTGGCTCTCCGTTCCCGCAAAGTACAGATTTTGGACTTATCAAGCTCTGGAACGCATTGGCGAAAAGCTTTACGATATGCGTCCAGGGTCTGCAAAACGCCTTCCATTTGGCCTCTATCTGAAGTTCGGACCGGTAGAGGGACTGAGATCCGAGGCCCTCGCGACAATGTTCGTCGCGTCAAATACCACTATACCAGTACCCACGGTACTAGACTTCGTAGAACATCCTAGAGGTGCAGCGATGATCATGACGTGTCTTCCTGGAACCAGCGTCAGTCACGCTATCCATAGCGGCGAGCTCCCTCGCGAAGAGTTTGAAGCTACCATGCAGGACTGGCTGTCGCAGTTACGTGGATTACCAACACCCTCACATGATATTGTTGCCAGCTTCGATGGCAGTAAATGTATGTGTCATCGAGTACTCGATACACGCTTCGGTCCATTCCCGAACATCGCCGCTTTCCACGAATTTCTGTTCTCTGGGTTGGAGCACCTCCGAGAGGTTACAGAGAAATCATACAGTAAACCACACCGGATATGCTTCACACATGGCGATATACATATGCAAAATATTCTCTTTTATGACGGCAAGCTATCGGGATTGGTGGACTGGGAATGTGCGGGTTGGTACCCGGAATATTGGGAATATATAGTGGCGATCTACCACACCAAAAAGCTACCGTATTGGGTGGATTCGTTTGGGAATATTTTCCCTCAATACGCTGATGAACTTGCTGCTGAAAGGGAGTACTGGAAGCTACCATGGTAAAGGTCCTTTCCTCCTCCGTTGCCGTCTGTATTACTGCAAATGTCATACCACATACCCAGCTATCAGTAATGCATTATGTTAAGGTTGCTGATTGCATATAGTATCAGAGCGTGAATGACTTGCGTATCAAAGTATTAGTTGAACGAGCAGACAAAAGCGCACGTCCGACCTTCATATAAGTATGATGGCCGTTTAATTACATCGTACGCTTACAAGAAAGGGCGACCACATCGTCCTACTGAAGGAAAACCGCACACCTAGCTAGCCGATCAGGTCTAGAGAGGAAATACTGTTGTGCAGATCATGAGGAAGACATTGTACGGAGTGCGCGCGAGATTACTTATTACTTGCAAGGCATAGCGACCACTGCGTGTTACTTCTTGTGTCGCTTTGCAGGGTGTGGGCTCCGAAGACTTGAAATCGATTTACATTCGTCAAGTCGATGACGCCAATGGTGGCAGCGGGGCGTAGGACGATGAGCCATAGCAGTGTTTCTTGATGGCTGAGAGCTAAAAGATGCATAAGCGAATAGAGCCTGCAAGTTGAGTGTACTTGCAACCGTATCAGATAATCGCACCGAACGGTGTTCAACAGGAAACTCTTCTGGCTCTTCTTGAGCTACACTTTGCCCGACGCCAGAAGATTCGGCGGCTATAGCAAGATGTTCATGACGAATCTGCTGGCAGATAGCTAGATCCCAAAGAGCACGAACGAACGGCAGGAGCAAGGGAATAGGCGGAGGGGACGCTGGCAGTGACTTGTTCAGAGCAGCACTGGCAGAGGGATTAACAGGTAGTAGGTCGTTGGAGTCAGAGATGGGGTAGGTTAGTGAACGACATGTAGACTGAGGGAGAAAGGGGATAATCTTGCGGCGGCAGCGACCAACTCGTCCGATTCATGATGAGGGTGTCGGTGCAGAGAAAGGTGGAATAGAAAGAAAGGTACGTCCGCTTTTCGAACGAGAGCGGACGTGGAGTTAACGGGTATCATTCATCTACCTCGACAATGCTTTGCAGATTTTTAAAGCACTGGATGATTGTCGCATTTGCGTGATGGAATGGTCTTACCATCAGCGATGTGTCCTGTGTCATATCACCAATTTGGCTCAGACAAATTGTGGGATGTCGGAGAACCTCTGGAAGTATCGGTTAATAGCGTTCTATGTGCAAGGAGTGAACACAAGAATTCCGCACGAAGTTGAACGCCTATCTTACATGACCAGATATCCGGGCAGAACGTTGACTATATGCGCAAAAATAGTGAGTGACGCAACTGCTATTCGAATAGTACCTACCTCGGGTCCTAACCGCTTGTATCGCCGGAACTTTCGGTTCAACGATTTCTCATTTTCAACCTCGGCAAGAGGAGTCCTCCGCTCGGAGCTTGATCACTTTGGTTTCGTCGTAAGACATCCATTCTAGATTATAGTTCTCGGCGTTTAGAAGGAATGTCTTGAGCCTCACTCCAATGGACAGCCCAGACACCATCGAATCCCTGAAAGAACTCGAACTGACGTAGGCATCGTTCGTTGATGCACTTGCAGGTGTGACGACAGGGATCTAGTGCTAGCATGACTTCGTGAAGCACACCAGAGGACACCTTGATCCTGTTCTATGATGGCCCTGCGGAAATCCAGATGTGAACGTGCCTTAAGGCCTGAAGCTGAAGTCCGAAACTAGGGCCTTGCTAGGGCCTATGATTCTTTTCAGGGCGAGAAAAGATACTATAACCCTTGAAATATATACCCGGAGACGGCCCATCCGATGTCACCGTATATGAGTCCGTTATACCATCCTGCTATGATGAACATGGGTATGCCAGGTCTGACGCCTCATGGGCACCCTCCTATAACACCTAGTATGCCTAGTTTCATGTTCTTGCCTCAGCCTAGCCCCATGGGCGGCATGGTCCCCGCGTATATGCCTGCTTCGTCGACGTCTCTGGGCGGAGATCATCTCGAAACGCCCACTCCTGATGAACGGAGGGAACGGAATGAGGGAGAGGGTGAGGGTGAGGGTGAGGGTGAAGGGAATAACGGGAATGGGAGCGGGGGAGATTCGAACACTGCTTCGACGATGACGGACTCGTATTCTTGTCATTAAAGGGATGTTTGAAACTTGAGTGTGTAGCCCCCGGAATCTGCTTTGGGTTTTGGGATGGGCTCTCTGTGAAATAGGATTTGCTTTACGCGTAAACACACTGGTAAATTTACCCTTACAATGCAAAGTCCATATAGGATTGCGAGGGTACTGTAGATTAGATGTGTTCTGTATAAGTACCATTGACTGTGTATACGCTCCTAGGATCCATATGTTGCAAAGGTGCGTCCATCATTCGAAGGTTGCCATTCGTCTCTCTCGATGACGCTTTGCAGATCAAAAGCACTCCAAGATCGTCGCATTTGCAAGACGGAATGATCTCACCATTAGTGACGTGTCCTGTGTCGTATCACCAACTCGGTTCATATTTATCGTGTGATGTCAGAGAACCTTCGGAAGCAATGTTTTATAACATTTCATGCACAAGGATTGAACTCAACAACGTAGAACGTCTATCTTGCATATCATCGAATTTGCGCGCAGAGCGATGACTATATGAATAAATACAGTGAGTAACGGACGGCTAACTAACAGGACCTACCTCGAGTTACAATTGGATGTAAGTATTGCTTGGCTCTTTTCGGTCCCTCAATCAGGGCCTAGAGGGCTATGACGCGCGTGTCAGTGCTACGCGCTTTATGCAAAGATGCGCGCTAAAGCAGGCCGCCAAATATAGCTAGGACTCGGTTAAGAGAGAACTGGAGCGACCTTCAATGGGTGACAGTGGGTGACCCGCTGAAAGAACTCGACGGCAGACTCTGGACCTGTCAAAGGAAGCAAGGGGGAAACCAATGGGCAGTGGAGTGAAGCAATTCGAGGGCTTCTGGGTCGATCGAGCGGACGGTGAGTGTTGTGACGTCAGCGGGGTCTGGATTGCGGGTCGATGGAGAGAGCATATCGTCCGCGGGGCGTTGGTTGGCTCTCTCCGTCTACGTCCCTTGTCCCTCCCGTTCCTCGACAGCACCCGACGTCGAGCTCGTCGTCCTAGACAGCGATGGACGCGCCCTCTCGACCACCGATCACGACTCCGGCAGCCAGTGCCAGCAATGTGCAGCGGGAGGCGGCGGATTTCGCAGAGGCGATCTCCGCCAGATTTTCTCGGTCAGGCACTACAGCTCTCATTCCCCTCGATGCTCCACCTCGCCTGATTTCTCCCTCGCTGTCGTTCTCCTCTCATTCTCACTCTTCTTCCCATAGCATGCTTAACACAAGCCCTCCCCCTCCCTCCGCCTTTTCTCCCCTCGATCCCGCCTCTCTCTCCCACTTTCTCGACGACCCCGACGCCCTCATTGTCGATATCCGGCCGCATAATACCTATGTCATCGCTCGCCTGCCTAACGCCCTATCGCTGTCCGTTCCGTCTACTCTCCTCAAGCGGCCACTCTTCTCCCTTGACCGTCTCACCCAGATGTTGCCTTCTAATGCTGATCGGACACGTTTTACACAATGGCACACTGCCACCAGAATCCTAGTCTATGACTCTGACAGTTCTTCCTTGTCCGAGGGTGGCAACCTTCTCGGTCTCCTGCGTAAGTTCCGCAATGAAGGCTTCCCCGAGGACCGCACACTCGCTTGGCTCAAAGGCGGTTTCCATGCTGTATGGAGAGATCACCCAGCCTTGGTGGACCGGGATCCTCCCCCGCAAGATGATGAAGAGGAAGATGCAACAATGCCATTGGCCAAGACTATGTCCGCTCCTGCCGCTATGGATGCGGTTTTGCGAACAAAACGTCTTCCCATGTCCGCATTCACTACGTCGTCAACGACCTCATTACGCTCGGTCCATGCAGAGGTATCCGCGGTAACCTCTACCGCTTTCATTCCAGACCCTTTGCTGATTTGCTTTTGTCAAGCTGCCACAGGCAAATGTGATGCCTGCAACACCCATGACTCCCCGTACGGATCCTTTCTCTGCCGTATCCACCTCTTCCCACCCGCAAACGCCGTTCACTCTCCGCCTACCGTCCATGTCCCGTATGAGTTCGGCTGCAAGCACGCTACCTGGTGTGAAAGAAGGTGAAGTTGTTGACTCGATGGCTTCTGCCCCAGCACAGATAAGGCAGGCCTTTCCTCGATTCGCCGGCCAGTCCAGTCTCCCAACATTGTCGCCTCAGTTTTCGATGTATAGTGCACCTCCGAGGCCGCATCACAATTCAATGCCGCATGGGCAACCGGTATGTTGATTTGCTTCAGTTGCTTGTCGCATAATTGACACGTCCAGTCGGGACAGATGGCATTCAACCCGTTCTTCGACACTATACGACAGAACCTTGAGCTTGCTCGAGGTGCTCAGTCGCACGACGGAAGTGGATCTTTGAATAGTATCCCTCTCAAGCTGTCAAGAAGTGTTCGACGGCGTCTTGGCGAGCTGCCCTTCGAATGGCTGCGCCAGATCGCTCGCAAGAGCGGCAAACTCAGGCCCGTAGTGGAGGACACACAAAGCTCTGATGACTCTGAGAACGACTCCGATGTCCCTCCAAGTTCCACGGAACGACCGTCGTCAGCGTCGCCACGGTCGTCAGAATCAACATCACCGACAAATTCTTCGGCTGAAGACCTCACTCGCGCCCTGTCCATGCAGTTTTACAGGATTGAGCTCGGTGAGCAACGTCGGCTTATGGGCGTGATGGAACATCATTCGAAGGAAAGCGGCGTCGTGATGTCTGGGCCTTCATCAAGTGCTAGTCGTGTCATGGGCAAGACTGTGTCGGCAAGTGGTTCTCTAACAGCCCCATCACCACTGTCTAGTGTCCTTGGAACGGCCACCAGAAGTGTGACCCACAGTGGAGTGCCTGTTACGGGGCCTTCATCGGCGTCGACCACATTTTCGTTCACGTCGTTGAGCGAGAAGCAGAGGGAGAAGAGTAAAGAGTCGGCCAGTTCGAAGTCTTCTCAAACTTTCCCCTTTAGCATCACCGCCGGCGTTGAGAAGGGTGCGAAGAATCGGTGAGCACGCATCATCATTCTTTCCGAGGTGGTATCTAATTGAAATATCAGATATCGCAATATTTGGCCTTTCGAGCATGCTCGGGTCCGTCTGTTACGAAAGTCGGGTTCGGATGACGACGACTACATGAACGCGAGTTACGTTCAACCACTCGGCACGACCAAGAGGTATATCGCCACACAAGGGCCTCTAGCTGCCACCTTTACTGATTTTTGGACGTGAGTACAAGCCTTATGTTAACGTTTGGTATCGCCCTGACTGAAATACTTCCGGATACAGTCTATGTTGGGAACAGAATGTCCACGTCATTGTCATGCTTACTCGAGAAGTCGAAAGCTCCACCGAGAAGTGCGGCACATACTGGTCCTCAGGCAACTATGGCCCGCTAAAGCTCACATTGCTCGAGACGAATGACACGCCTGAGCGAGAACGTAAACGTCGAGAAAGCGAGATGTCATCTGGCTTCTTCAACATACCTAGTGCGCCAAAACCTGCCAGGACTCGTCGTAAGCGACGCAGACGTAGAGGAGGTACCAATGCCGCGACATCTGAAGAGGAAGACTCAGAGAGCGTGCATACCATCAAGCGTGTCTTTGAACTGACACATTCAGGTTATCCTTTGGCATCACCCCGCATTGTGACACAGTTGCAATACCTCGACTGGCCTGATCTGAACGTTCCCGACGACCCCCGAGGGTTGTTGGATCTTATGTGGGAGGTGGAGGATATCGTGGACAATTCGAGAAAGAACGGGGAGAAGGTTTGGGGAGAAGGTCCTTTGCGCAAGCCGTCTGATGCGCGTCCAGACAAACCTACTTCCCCTGTCGCTGCCAATTGGGAAGATCCAGAGAATATCGACGTTATCGGCGGTAGTGAGGTCGACTCTCGGACGGGCGTCGCCAAGCATGCGGTCTCTGACCCACCTCTCCTCCTTCACTGTTCGGCAGGCGTCGGTCGCACAGGTGGCTTCATTGCTGTTGACGCTGTTCTAGATGGTATCCGAAGAGAAATGAGGAAACACCGTGAAACACAGGACGTGAAGGCAGACTCGTCGTCTCCTGCCGAATCAGGTTCTCAAAGTCGAGCGAGCAGCCGTGGTGCAGGGCAAATGGACGTCGACCCTAGTCCAAGCCCGCCGCGCCATCGCCCATCCAGCGAGCTCGCTTTGGGAGAGACGTCCGTCTTGACTATGCCTGTATCCGTTGGCCACAATGAGGTCCATGTCCCTGTCGCAGGGTTCGCTAGTCCTCCGCCTGATGCTATGGACGTGGATGAGGGCGCCACGAGTACTCAGCGTCCAAGTATGGGCAGGAAGAATACCCTGAAGGCGTCTAGTGAGCTAGTGAGCGAAGTCAAGAGAGCAACTCAACTCAAGAGGATGTCGTCAAATAACAGTATGAACGTCCCGGTGGATGTACCGGTCCCATCGCACGCTCATTCCAGTCAAGATTCTGTGACGAGCGGAGATGAAGATTCTGGTCGACGATCTATGTCTCTCTCAACCTCACCTTCCACCTCTGCCTTGGCTTCTTTGTCGCAGTTTGGGTCTAGAGCAGGTTCGAGCCATCCCTCAGCAAGCCCCATTTCCAGCCATGGCGGCAGCTCTACAAGTTTATCGCAGGTGGTCAAGAACGCTGGCGTACCTCTTAGACAAACTTCGAAGGATGCAGCCAATACCAGTGTGCAACCCGCACATTCTTTGTCCCTGCCCACTCTTGCTAGAAATCAACATTCATCATCAAATGGCAGTCAACAGACTACAAAGCCATCTGCCGAGGTTGAGGGAGAGATGGACTTATTGTCGCCGAAGCAGACACATACGCATACGGCCAACCCTTCAAGAACCGCCAGTCGATTGAACACATGGCGTTCTGAAGTAGGCAGTTCACAGACTCAGAGTACGGAACAAGACAGGTCTGCAAGCGAAAGCGAGAAGGAACGACTGGATGAACAGAACAATCAACGATCACTCACCTTCGACTATATCCAACCGAGGCCATTACATGATGATACTTCGCCGCCGTTACTCTCCACTTATGACGAGCCGATCCGGAGGGTCATCGAGGATATGCGGGAGCAGAGGATGAGCCTGTGCCAGAGTTTGAGGCAATATGTATTTGTGCATCGTGCTATCATCGAGGGTGCGCTCATGATTGTGGACGAGGAGAAATTGAGAAAGGCTGAGGCGGCACGGAAACCGAAAGCTCCTCCTCTTCCTCAAGAACGCCACGGTGATCGAGCACAATCATCAGCCCAGACGAGCCTAGGTGCCAAAGGTCCAAGTCCGTTTTCGGAAGTCGTTCCGCGGGGTGTTACTGCGATGGAATCTCCGGAGCGTGAACCTGTCTTGGGGTCACCGTTCGCAGCACTGAAGATTAAGGACAAGGGCAAGGACAAGGAGACCAAGGAGACTAAGAAATGGAACCCGAGTGAGATGACGGACGTTACGATGCAGTCTCCTTTACCCTCACCTGGGCGGCAGAAACGAGGGCCGAGTCCTACCGAGCTGTTGAAGGAAGGGGCGTTGGGGGAACCTATGTTGGTTAAGAGGCCGAGCGTGAAAAGGAAGCAGAGGGCTTCTTTGGATGATGTCGATGATCATGGTGACCAACAGTTGAGGCTTGCGCTTGCGCTTGATCCCATGGTCTTGGTTGAGCAGCAGTCCTTTCCTGAGAGGTAGCTTTGATGCTTGTTTGGGTTTGCCTCGAGTTGTGTTCGTGTTTGGTAGGACATTCTTTTACTTTCTTGCCCTGTTTTCGTTTTCGGATCTCGTCTCGTCTGGATTAAGCACTTACTATAGTCTAACATCCCCATCCCGCACCACCACCACCATCACCCCTCCTCTCTCTCTGCGCATGCTGCCTTGGGATACAAACATGTATCGATTCATCTGTATCATCACTCACTCACCGTCCTCACTCACTGTCAACTCAAGTTGTAAAATCGTAGTTTAGGTTAAATAGGTTAGGCAGTTGCTCTTTAGATCGACTGTTACGGACATTAAGTACATACATACATCATGTAGTTCTCTTTTTTCCCTTTTCATCCCTCGCTTTCACCGACGCTCTCACTGGCAGTCATTACACACGTACGCATTTTATCTACTACTTATACGCCCCCCCCCCATCCCATAGCCATTAGCCATTAGCCCACGCTCCATTATTATCTAACGCATGCATGTATCGTATATATCTTCAACATGACAACATGACAACATGACGCTGCTTGCAGTTTTTGTTAGAGTCATCGCAATGCATCGTGCATCACTTGTGCGAACTTGGTAGGAACCTATAGCGAGAAACTTGTGATCAAGAGCCTTTCATACCGTCCAACGCTGAGGAGGCTCATGATCATACATCCATTTCGTCATGGAGGAGACACGGAACATGCATTGCACCTGACTCCCTCGGTACTTCAAGCTTCAAGCCTTCAGGCCCCAGTTTTCGGTATTAACAGGGCCATCGATCTGAGAACTTGAACGCAAGCTGGCGCGCGAACAGGACTCGGAAGTGACGGTTAACACGTTGATTCCTATAACGAGCGTATCTGCGGCAAGTCGCCGTTCGAACTTTTAACCCATGAGCGGTATGGAGCTTTTAACGGTTGATGAAGATGGAGGAACTGCGGCCATGGGAGTGCATGTTCGGACGGCCGTCCCGAACATATCCGAAGGAGCGAGGAAAGAGCTTTCTGGATATTGTGCCGGAAGCATGCGTTTATACACCTTCAGAAGTTTTTGGAATGTCGTTATGTGGATAAACGAAGGACAACTATGAAGAAGAGTTCCATAGTTGACTCGAAGATCACAGGGTGAAACCGGGAGCCAGGGTTTCAATTCGGCAATACGCTACAGTAGTCGACACTTACGAGTACATTACGAAACAAGCCATCCGAACGCTTGGAACCTAGATCACGCCTTTGATGATATCCGCACCCTACCAAAGGTTGTTCATCAGTATTCTCTATGGTCACAAAGATCCTACATGTTAGGCATACCTTTTCACCAATGGCATAAGCCAAGGGCTGAATATTGCAACAAGCTTCCAATGGTAAGATGGAGCAATCAATCTATCAAGTAAGTGAATGAAATGCGTTCGTCACCGTATCGAAATAAAACTGTACTTACCACCCTAAGGTTCTCCATCCCATAGACCAATAGTCTACTATCCACAACACCTCCGTCCTCTTTCGGGAGCATAGCACAAGTTCCCACGGGATGATAAACAGTACCAAGAAAATTCCTCACATATTCTTCAAGTTTCTTCTCATCGTTCTCCGTTCCAACAGGCGGAATAACTCGATTCTCGACAAATTCCTTAGCAGGTTCCAATTCATAAATCTTCAATATGAATTGTTGCATCTTGACGAGAATGCCGGTATCCACTGGGTTACTGAGATAGTTCATCTTGATGGCCGGCGGGGTGAATGGCGAGGGAGAGGTTATGTGTACGGAACCTCGAGCGAAGGGGTGCGTGTAGGCACCGAGGAGTGACATGTAACGTTTGGAAGTATCGACGGGGAGACCTGGGACTGGGAAGTGCAGGTAAAGGCTCAGGATCCTGATCAAATTGATCATTCGAGTTTGAGTATGTCATATATCGATCCGATTAGAAAAAAGGAAACACTCACTGGGCCATCGGAGCAGTAGGATCATCAAGCCATTTAGCCAAATACTCGTATTGTTTCCGAATGCCCCTCTTGACGCTCTCAGGAGTATCCGCAAACACGTCGGGAGATGAAGCTTCCAAGTTCGCCAACGATTTCCATCTTGCCAAGTCTTCGCTTTCAGCAAAAATGTGTGCGGGGATGAAAGAGCATAAATTCGCGGGTAAGGCAGTGAAGAGACCTTTTCCTTCTTTGCTACATTCGTTACAAAAAACATGTGAATTGTGACAACGGGGTGCATGTGCAAAGAACACAACTGACTAGAGTTCAAGTTGACGAGCGAATTCTTCGTCGACATATGTTGTCTCCATAGTGGGAACCCGGTCGTCTACTTCGATGATCGTCGGTGCATACGCATGATCCTCTGTGGAGCGACACATTGCAATCAGAAAGACAGAGCTTAATTTGCCTGATACGTATGATTTAGAACTCACGCAGGTTCTCGCCCACACTAGGTAAGTCAATACGAGTTTCAATACCATGTTGCTTTAGTATTTTCTTATTTCCGATTCCGGAAAGCTCCAAGATCTGGGGAGACTGGAAAGCACCTTAAAAAAAAAGAATGTCAGCGAGGATGAAAAAGCGACGGTGAGCAAGCAAGTATTGTTTACCAGCCGAGAGTATGATCTCCTTTGAGGCATTAATCCTATATGTTTGCTCATCCTTGATGAACTCGACGCCAACCGCACGCTGCAAACCATCATGCGACGGTTCCAGTAGAATCTTCCGAACATGTTGTTTAAGACAATCCGTTCAACTTCAATACGAGTCACAATGAGACTCACTTTTGTGACATGTGCTCCGGTCACGACTAAGAGATTAGGCCTTTCTGCGTTCGGAGCATAATAAGCAGACGCGGAGTACGATCTGGTGCAATCCTTTTTGTCCACTGTCGTGGGGAATAATAAACTTCCAATGCTATCGCCCCCGCCCTAAACGACGCCGAACAAGGAAATTGAGCATTGTAGTTCGTGGTAGGGGGAACGGTTGAAACACACGCACGGTATCAGGATTACGAGGTAGACCGAGTTTCTCAAGAGTATCCATGAATGCTGGAAATGGTGGGAATAGGTTGGAAGTGTATGATTTGGCAATGGGGCCTAGATTCAAGGCCTCAACAAACCGAGGCAAAAGGATGCTCATGGAAGGAGAGGGGGTACCAACCATCGGTTCCGTGAAGTTTGGGGTCAGGTGAAGCGGCATATCGTAAGGAATCCTCCTTTGATAATTCAGGAGGTTGAAGCCGCTCGCTCTACAAGCAAAAGGTGGAATTCTGGTCTCTAGCTTCAGGAAACATGAGAAAGGTGAGGCACAAACCTTTTTCATATACTTCCAAAGATTATCCCAATTCCATCCAGGGTTCCCTAAGGCTTCCAATGCGTTGAGCTCTTCTTTGGTCGGTCGCACAGCGACGGTAAAGTTGAGCTAAGGATGAGATTAAGGTATCAATCAACATGGACATAAAGGATAAGTCAAGGTACACCTATATACGCACCAGAGATGATCCGCCCAACCCCTTACCCCGAGGCTGAGGAACAGGTCGATTGTTTGTGCCCTTGTGAGGTTCACTCGCGAAAGACCAGTCGAAATCAGGCTTGAACAAGTTACGGCTTGCGAATCCTTTTGCATAGCCATGGTCAATGATGTCTACCTACTTGAATGTGCTTGCTTACCGGGGATATTGACGCCGGCATCGTCCTTGTGGTAAGCTCCAGCTTCTATAACACCGACTACGGTGTTTGGATCTTCACTGAGGCTGAATCTCTAATGTCAGAGTAAGGGGTGAGAGTATGGGCTACGAAATGCATACCGAGCTGCAACGACTAGACCAGCGGTTCCACCACCGATGATAAGGTAGTGGGGCTTTGCAGCAGCGAGTTCTTGGACAGAGACGATAGGCATGTTGTTGAGACAATGAAGAGAACAGGGGTGAATACACCGTTGTGGATGAGAACAAGCTTCAATTACTGAGCTTCTTATATATACCTTGCGCAAGACGCGAAGAGTTTCAGAGAATCGGACGTGGCCTATTTTAGAACGCGTCGTATGCAATTGTTATAATAGAGCTCTCATACTCCGCCCTAGTTGTCATGGCTTGGCTTGCTCAGTGGTAGTAGTCGTCCAGGACCGCCGGCGTCATTAGCAGGGGGCCGCATGAGCACGGCTTTCTTGAAACCAATAATTTCTGAAACTCGTATAGGATGAAGTGTGAGGCAGGAGGTATCTCTAGACCCATGCGATGAGTCAGGAGTTAACGTTAAACATTAAGGATGCACTGAGCAAGAATGGTCGGTTGCTTACCGTCACTTACGCAATAGCATATCGAATCATATTAGCTTAATCTGGCTGTGTGGTTGAAGCAACATAATTCCCGAAAGTCGGGTATACTTGAGTATCGGTGTTAGGCAAGAGTAAGATGTGAGGTTAGGAGACAATATTTGTCACAACGTCGCGTTTCAAACGCGACTTGGCGGTACACTGGCGGTAAATGTAATCAGGAGTAACTACCGTATCAAGATAATGGAACATACCGTATAGAGGTTGGAATGGCATACCAGCGTTGCTCCAGGATCTCTATTACTAGGTAAGATGTTTTAAACCTTTGTCATCAACATCTAGGGATATCTAGGCTCGTCAGAATCTTTCGGTTCCCCCTGTGCCGCCTCTGGAATCTGTAGTCTGGGGTACGCAGACCAATGACGAGTATATTGAAGGACGGAAGGACGATCCTTATAAAGACGAATCCTAGCTAGAACTTTGCCCATTAATATTTGCGACAGAATGCGACGCGACGCGACGGCCAAACACACACAAATAATTCAATCATGTACTCATTTATAGGCGCAGAAGAAATCTCTGACTCCTTATTCGTTGATGTCAAAACTCGCCGGTATATTGCATTGTGATCGTTGTGGACTGGGAAAGTCTTAGTCCATTTTACAACGTCAAGCTTGAAGCTTGAAGGGCCGCCGTAAGTCAGCGCAGTTGACTATTCATACTAGCGTTCACATCACAATCACATTCTAAGTCTCGGAGACACCTCGTCTCACAACCAACCGGGCGTTTCCCAGCCATTTCCTGGGGACACAGCGCCTATACGGACAAGATATAAGTATACGTACCGACGTCAACCTTCTGCTATTCGTATTATTTGCTGGGTCTTCTTCCAGCCGCTTCATCTATCCTGCGTATTATATCAAAGATGCGTCCAACTCCGGGGCTCGTCTATCTTTCTCACAGTTCACACCGTATCTTACTCCCGCTCGTCCTGGTTTGGGCGGCGACATATGTTACTGACCTTCGAGGATTCATTCTCCCCCGTTGGCTGGTACTATGCGCCTATGTACTGGCCATCCCCATCGCCATCGTTGTCTCGGACACGTGGACCTCATACAATAACAAGCGAGATGCTGTTTCCAGAGGGGCAATTCTGCCCAAACTGGTTGGCTACAGATGGCCCTTTGGACTGGATACCATACTTTCGCTTAGAGCATCATTTACGACTCGTTATCTTGGTACGCGTTCATTGTCTGCCCCCTCCTTGTCTGCTTATCTTGGATTAGGAAATGCTGTCTTCGATTGGGCAGATCAATATGGATACATGTTTCGCTTCCGCGTCCCTGGAGAGACCAGGGTAGGATATTTCGTGTTTTCTTCGTTATGGACCAAGTCAAACTCTTCGCAATTCCTTAGGTGTTCACCGCAGAACCGGAACATATCAAGGTAAAACCTCACGTCACATGCTCTTCGAGCGAATCTAGATTTTGTATCAATAGAGAATCCTTGCTACTGACTTCTCCAACTACGAGAAAGGCAGGTACTTTGAAAACATCTGGAATAGCTTGACTTGAATGATTCGTTCGTCGCAGGACCTAATTTCCGTTTGCAAATGCAGACACTTCTCGGAACCGGTGTATTCAACTCCGATGGTGAGCAATACAATTCATTTGCTCTCAATCGCGCCTATCATATTTCGCATCAGGCGACATGTGGAAGTAAGTCATCATTCCACGGGACAACGAAAGGGTTAACCAACTAGCCTGAAATGGCAAGGTTCCACCGTTCGATGACTAGGCCGTTCTTTAGTAAGGATAGGATTAGTCATTTCGACATCTTCGATCGGTATGCAATTACGAAGAAGTCTTCGCACACTCCTTAATCTATTCGCAGGCATGCATCTGACGTTATAGACAAGATCCGATCCCGAATGAGAGAAGGCTATCCGATTGACTGGCAGGTACGTATGGCTTCCGATTTGCGTTCATACTAGCATGTAATGGATAATTTCTGCTTACAGGACCTTGCGTCTCGCTTTACGCTCGATTCCGCTACAGAGTTCCTTTTCGGAAGGGACGTCCAGTCTCTTTCCGCACCCCTCCCATATCCTTCTACGGCGCCGATTGCCAATCATCTGTCAGGCAATTCGGTCGCAATGGCATTTTCAAAGGCCTTCCTGGATGCGCAAGTGACTTCGGCCGGTCGAGCTCGGGTCCTGTTTCCTTGGCCCTTGCTTGAAATATTTCACGACAGGGTCGCAAAGCCTATGGAAATCATTGACAAATTTATTGATCCTATACTGAAGGATGCTTTGGAGAAGAAGACGGCTTCTAACATCAAAGTTGAAAAGTCTGGAGAACTGGAGATATCGGATGAGGACACACTGCTATCGCATCTGGTAAACTTGACCGACGGTATGACATAGAGTCTTCATGCCTGTTCATCTTACAAGGCTCAAATCACCCACAGATCCTCAGATCCTCAAAGACGAAACATTGAATATCCTCCTTGCTGGAAGAGATACAGTGAGTGATCTTGCCGAAACCCAGTCCCCTGCGGCGTACTGACTTCATCTAACACGCCATTAGACTGCACTCACTCTCACTTGTGCGATATACCAGTTGGCAGAACATCCGGATATCCTGCGAAGGCTTCGCGAAGAGATACTTAACAAGGTTGGAAGTGCTAGGCGACCGACATACGACGACATTCGGGATATGAAATACTTGCGAGCGTTCATCAACGGTTTGTGTTCTTTCCTAGCTAAGTTACATCACAATCCTAAAGGATGTCGTTGCAGAGGTTTTGCGGCTTTATCCCGCTGTGTAAGCCCATGCGTTCTTCGTTCTCTGGATCACGATGCTTATTTTCTTTTTTCTTTTTGCATCTCATGCAGCCCGTTCAACGTTCGGTAAGTTGTGTTCGATTCGTATATCTTCAAATTATGCATGGAATTATACAGCTTCACAATCAATCCTACTGAATGGCCGTCTCAAGAGGGAGAGCCGCCGACATACATACCCGCCAACACGCGGTATATTTTCCCCTCCTTACGTTTAGCTTTTCACATCGTCCCTTATACGTTTATATAGATGCCTCTATTCCGTTTTCGTGATGCACCGCCGCAAAGATCTTTGGGGCCCTGATTGTCAGTAAATGTCCCTTCTATATGTAGTTTTTCCAAGACTAATCAACATGCTTCCTCAGCATTGGAGTTTGACCCAGACCGTTTCATCGACGAACGGTTGCACAAATACCTCACACCTAACCCCTTCATTTTCCTGCCTTTCAATGGTGGTCCTCGAATTTGTCTCGGACAACAGGTATGTCCGGGTTCATTTTTCCATGCTTCTGCGTACTTACGTAGGCTTCTCCAATGTAGTTCGCATACAACGAAACGTCATTCATGCTGATTCGCCTGCTACAACGTTTCTCTTCAATTGCTTTGATGCAGGACTCGCATCCAGAGTCCCTCCCTCCTGCTGGTTGGGCCCGGTCAAAGGGATCAAACGGGAAAGATAGGGTCTGGTTAAGGTCACATCTCACTATGTTTGCCAACGTGTGTAATTTCCACACCTTCAGATTAACCATATGCTCATGGATACTTTTGCATAGGGTGGGGTATGGGTAAAGATGGACGAGGCGCAGAATATTGAACAAGTCTAGGAAAGCTAGGACTTCGTGTATAACAGATAACTTAGCCGTGACGTCATGTTTTCACTACCTCTAAATACGGCAACTGCTTGTGGATCTAACAAGGCCAAACATCATGACGTAGTTAAGAGCGAAAAGTTAACTCGACAACGGGACGCTTAGGAATGGACAAAAGCAACAATGATAGATAAAAATAAAATACTATGAGTCACAGAACCAATGGAATTCAATCGGATGCGCCATATGATTTAGCAGTGTAAGCAGCAGGCTACATCGAAGATACCCACCTCCACACTGGGAAAAACAGCGTCAGAAGCACATTCCTTTCTCATATGGTTCCATGCTGAAAATCTGTTCCATGCTAAAAATAGCGGGCGAATCACAGATATTTCCCGCATTTTCAACATCTTTGAAGAAGAACATGCAACGTTTGGAACCTAATGTCTAGGTATCAGTACTTCAGTATTTCTCGTCGTTCCCCAGACACCGGCGCCCATTTGATGACCGTGATAAATTATACCTTGGGGTATCCCGCTTGTGAATCGTTTGGGGTCACGAAGTAGTGTCATTGTTTTTTAAGAAGTGTCAAACTGGACCGGCCGAGAGTCGAACTTCAAGTGGAACAACTTCGCAGCATTAATCGAGGCTGTGACTGGAAGAAACCGGGGCTTCTTGATTGGTTGGGGTAGCCTAGATTAGATAAGCAACCTGTACCAGATTTGTCATGCAACTGGTTCGGTCACTTCACCACAGACAACCGCTCTCTGCCTTGCCTCCTTTCGTACCGTCCTCGCCATCGTCGACGACGACGGACAGTTTTTTACTCGATTCTCTGACAGAGTCATTATGTCTGTGTTTCTACCATTGCAGCGAGCACAGAATGCAGCACGATTTCTTTCGTCGCAGTTTGCTTCTTCATCGTCTTCACGACTTATCTATCTCCCGAGTCATCGACATGCCATGATGTCCGCTCTTTCGCGTCCACCAATTCCACCTCCACCTCCTTCTTCAAGTCGTTCCACAAGTCCGGCATTAGGGGAGACCCCTCCTGTCGTTATTCCGAAGAAAACACCATCGCCGAAGGACCTATCGGCTGACGCTGCCTCACCGCAAACCGCTGCACGACCCCCACCGGCGCCGAAGGTTGAACGACCAAAGCCCAAGCTGCGAGCGACCAAAGCGGCGATAACGCTGGTATGCTAGTTAGAAATGGGTTTTTCTGCAATCCTTTAGTTACTATGATTTGTTTCAGACACCAGCAGCTGTTGATCGGCTACGAGCTTTGATGAAGTCACCGACACCCCAACATCTGCGGATAGGTGTTCGGAATAAAGGGTGTGCTGGGATGTCGTACCATCTAGAGTATGTGGACAAGCCGGGCAAGTTCGACGAAGTTGTGGAGCAGGATGGTGTGAAGGTGCTCATAGATAGCAAGGCGCTCTTCTCGATCATTGGTAGCGAGATGGATTGGAAGGAGGATGCCTTGAGGTACGCTCATGGCATCTTACCCCAGCACTGTTCTTTCTGACCGTTAACTCCGTCTTCAGCGCCAAGTTTGCGTTCAATAACCCCAACGTGAAGGACGCGTGCGGCTGTGGGGAGTCTTTCACTGTTGGTTCATGATTCACGATTATCGGACGTTTTGAGTTGCGTGCATTATATTGACTTAATCTACATCCCTCGTATTGTTCACCCGTCAGCCTGTATCCATATTTCTTCAGCCGATACCATTCAATCTAGAGCATTGCACCAGTATAGGGACGTAACCGATTCAGACTTCGCAGTGCATCTGATGGACTGCCTTTGAATACACGGAATCTGCAGATGAAGTACGTTAAATGCAAGGATACCATCTCAAGCAAGCTTTCGCCGATAATTGCAGAGGGAATCGCCAAGCCTGTTTTCGCGTCGCTTCTCCGGGACGGACCGGTCGACATCGACATCGAAATACCCTTTCAATACTGACAAATCCGCTAATGTTCTATCCCAACATTATTCATTGCTGGGCGTGGGTCCATGTGATTCACTGTTTATGATTTGCAGATCTTGCCGGATGCTTCAGACTCGGGAGGGAAGTCCATGACTTGCTGGCCGTTGGACTCATGTTCTAGCCATCGTGATCGGAAGGAACGCTATTTTAAACTGTTGCATCAGTTTTATAGGCGTCGCAACTTTTCGTCAACATGTGGGGGGTTAACGGAGACTGGTGAGAAACACACGTTCTGTCTTACCTCCGTTCGAATAGACTGATGCAGTTGAACGTGTCCTGAAACTGTCTCGCCGACTGTGACCGTTCGCAATACCATCTTCTTTTAGGCAGCTTTCGGACGATGTCTGATGAGTAAGTAGCCTTTGCCATTGCACTTTGCCGACCCTGAAGAGAACCTGTGCTTTTGCAACGTATGAAATGTACGGTGTCCGGAAAGACATGTGACTGGGAACACCTTATAGAAATGTTGCGAACACGACCCTCGCTGCTTACGACTTTGACTATGAAACGTTCCCTCCACCCTCACATTCATTTATCTGTGACATTATGCTACATTTATTGGCATTTATCGTATTCATCACTGTGAGCCTCACAGTGGCCCAAGACCTCACCAACGTCACCAAGACAAGCGTACATGAAGCATACGTAGATGCGAAACTTGTACCAGACGGTGAGTTCAACCGCTGATGGAATGGCTTTATCAAGCTCAAGGACTCTGCCATGGAGAGAAGTTGCGAGGGCACTGAATATACTGAGGATGTGATTGTCGTAGACTCACAGTTTACTGGATCAATGTGAATAAATGTAACTGATGACAGATACTGTTCCATTCTATGCATAGACCCAGTCTTTGAATGTTTCCACTCTTCTACTGGGAGCAGTCAGTCAGTATGAGATTTTCAATCCACTCATTTTCCTGACTTGCTTTTCTTCTCATTCTGCTAGATAGTGTGTGCAGAAAATGTGGTTGAGGTTGAGCAGTTTTCTGAAGAGGATATTAGTCCACTCTGTGTCAGGAAACTCAGGAGGGCCCAGCAAGTTAAGAAAGTTACACTTGGTAAACTTGATATTGACTGCATATTGCTTAAACAAGAAGAGAGTTTGTTCAAGTTCTGGCCATAATGACCTCTGTCTAAGGGCTGAATTAATGGCCCAAGTGAATTTAGATGGATTGGAGCATCCATATTTATACTTAGGTTCATCATTATTGGAGAATGAAGATATACATTCTGAGGAGCAGATGGGAGAGAATCATTGTGTACAATCATAACATCACCCTCATCCATTCTGAGATATGATTCATCTGCTTTTTCTACCACTGATAGTTGAATTATCTCTAGAAGACTCTTTTTCAAGTTCTGTCAGCTGTATGAATAATCAGATGTAAGAGTTGAGGTCACATTTGGATAGTTTATCCTAGTAGTATTCCAAGACTTGTTCAATTTGAATAATTATAAATAGTTTTGCTAAACAGCCCACTTCATATTTATTGACAATGTTCATATACTGTCTGATAGTCTATAGCATCTTTGAAACATCTGAAGCAGTTTTGCTGCTGACTTCTGGTCACTTTTCTACTCTGGTATTGCTACCTGTTGTAGTATGGTCAACTATGAATGTTGGTGTGAAGGCTCAAGCAACTCTGATGATAGAGGTTAATTCTTCACTATTCCAGTTGGCCATAAAATAATTTAATAGATAGAACTAGAAGAATAATAATAGCTTAAAAACTACTTTTAGCTAGTAAATATATATATGTCAATATGAGGCAGAGAGGTGACAGAGAAGATAGTGACAGCTTACCTAGCAAACAAATAGAAGTGCAAGAGAGAGAATAACAGAGTGTCACAAATTTCATCTACTTGCTATAAAGAATGAGAAACTCTGATTAGCTCATACTGAGTATATCAAGATAGACATATATTTGTTAGAATGCAGAAAGCCCTCAAAGAATAAACACTACTCTTATTGATTAGAATTATATAAATAATCTAATTTAAGTATTGTCTACACATAGCTAATGATTATAGATAGAATATTTTATATTATTTTTATAGTATATTGCATATTAATTGCTGAGTACACTAAAGCTAACAGTAAGACTATATCTATTTTATTGTAATAAATAATCTATATATCACTTATATCATCTATAAAATAAATTCACTAATACTTATTTTTAATATACAAAAGACCTTTATCTACTAGTCTAGAAAATAAGATAGGGCTCATATACACTCAATAAATCTAGACACTTATGATAGAGCTGTGACTTTCTGTGACTCTCAGTGATCAAGAATGATATCAGTCTTAGAAAGAAGTGTGCAGTTTATGAACACTAAATATGGTACTTGAGAAAATGAAAATTCAAGTATCAAGCAATACTATTTCTGCAGAGAAATCTTGAGTCAGTTATTAGACAAATATTTTCTATCATTTATTAAGTTATGAGGTTTATAGTAAAGCTTCTATATTCACTTTAGTGAGATCAAGAACTAGACTTAACTTGACTAAAGCCAAGTTCTTATCTGACTGAAACAATATTGCAATCAAATGTAGGCCAGTAGGCATAGGCATAAACAGTCTGTAACTTAAGTGAGCTACAGATGCTAGAATAGTAACACTTCAGAAAGTTATATATAAGAATTTCTAGATATTTGTAAGTGAGATATAGATAGATACAAAGCTGTAGATATAGAAAACTCAATTTTTAGGAGTAGCTAATACTAAGAGAATAGTAATCAGAATATATGAGTTCAGAATACTAAAGCAGAGAAGCATATGAGCTTCAAGTCTTAGTAAAGAGATACTTGGACCTCAAATATCTTATCAGAGAGACACTAGTTCTTATGATAGACTTATAGAAGATATATACTATAGATGTGTCATTCAGCAGATGAGGGTAGAGGTAGAACAAGTGACGACCATTACAGATCTCGCATATGTGTATTTATACTGTAGCGTAGAGTAGGAAAATTGTAAGTAAAAATACTACCTACTGAATAAGATGGAAGTAAATAAGGTGTCTAAGCATGGGACATTACTACTGTAAGTATCCCAGTTACCATATCTGGTATTCCGTTATTCTGTTTGGGCTATATTTAGCCCTTTTTCTCTGGCTACTCGCTTCCGTGCTCTCATGCAATTCTCCCGACTTCTATTCATACACATCTAACTATGTACAACACTCTCCCTCAATGCGCAGACATTCCAATCTTGAGGAGTTGTTGCTCATGGGTTGGTCGAGCAAGTGCCTTGGTAAGTATGTTGGCGCAGTTGTCTTCAGATGCGCAGTGTGTAATTTTTATTTCGTTGGAAATAAGTCATTCGCATATAAAATGATGTCGAATGTCGATATGTTTTGAATGAGCGTGGAATTGATTGTCATGAGTGAAAGCGATAGCAGACTGATTGTCTGTGTATAGAGTGATGGGATCGATGACATCTTGTCCGAGATCGGAGAGGAGTGATCGAAGCCAAATGGCTTCTTTAGTTGCATGGGCTAGAGCCATGTACTCAGCCTCCATACTTGATAGGGCTACCGTTGGCTGTTTCTTGGAGCTCCAACTGATAGCTTCCCCTGCGATCAGGTACATATAACCTGAGATTGATCAGCAATTCATGTGGTCGGTGCCCCAATCTGCATCACTATATCCTTGAACAGTTGTGCTTCCCTCAAGTCCATAGGTTATGCCTAAAGTCTTGGTGCCATTCAGGTAGTGTAGAACTCATTTGATGGCTGTCCAATGGGCTTGAGAGAGATGCGATGTGAATTGACTGAGGGTTTGCACAGTGAAGGAGATATCAGGCTGCATGGCAATAGCGGCGTACATCAAAGATCTGATCACGGTGGCGTAAGGTACATCTTGGATCGGTTCCTCATCTTGTGGCGTCGATATCAAATGTATATTGGGATCAAGTGGCATTCGAACTGGAGTGAAGTCTTGCATCTGGAAACATTCAAGTATAGTCTAAGTATAGCATGTTTGTTGAATAGTAATGGTACATTGTTCTCAGTTGCATTCGACTTCTAGACTGACAAAATGTCGAAGTTCCCCAAGATCTGATACTTCCACCTTGGCACTGATTTCGGCTTTGATTCTGTCCATCAGGGCCATTCCGAGCATGAGTATTGCCATATCATCAATATGAATAATGATGAGAATGTATCCTTCCTCATCTTGACAGAGGTAGATACATGTATCAGCTTTCAGGCGCGTGAATTTGAGTTCCTCACAGAATATTTTATTGATTTTGTGGTTCCAAATGCATCCAGCTTGCTTGAGTCTATAAAGTGCTTTGTTGAGTCAGCATATGTATCCAGACTCATCATTGAAATCCGGCGGTTAAGCCATATATAGCTCCTCCGATAGATCTCCATTGAGGTAAGCACCAACTATGTCCATTTGGTGAATTTCCAAATCATGGGCGGCGGCAAAGGCAAGTAGGGTTCGAAAGGATTCCAGTTGCATTACTGGAGCATAAGTGTCAAGGAAATCTTGACCTGGAATCTGTGAGAAGCCTTGAGTGACGAGGCGGGCTTTGTACTTGAGGATATTGTCCTGGGTATCTCGTTTGATGAGAAATACCCATCAGCAACCTATGACATTCTGGCCATCAGGCACATCTACAAGATGGTAGGTGCCTAGGTGCTCCAATTGCGTTATCTCCACTTCCATTGCTTCTTTCCATCTCGGCCAATCAGGGCGACGCTGAACTTCTGCAAGAGTTCTCAGCTCGTCCAGCAATTCTTCGCCCAAAAAGATGTATTCAACTAAGTTGGTATGTTCTTCAGCTTGGAGCGTAGTTCTGTGTTCCTTTTCTCATGCGCGTGTGAGCACACTGCTCAATCTTTGAGCCTGAGGACTTTTTCCAATAGAAGGATCTGGTAAAGTGGGTAAGGCAGATTTGCGAGCTTGAGAGTTACTGAGTAGTTTATAGTCGATACGTGGTACTGAGCATGTTGGATGTCCCTCACTCTTTCCTTCTAGTCCTTCATTGTTTTTAGATT